ACTGTAGCAAAATGCATTAATGTATTAAAAAAATTTAGATATTTATATTTTGTATTATACATGATTTATATTCCAAAAATGTATATATTTGGGTAAAAATATTGCATAATTTTCAGGAAACATAATGGCAAATAACCTGGTGAGTAACACGCACAACATTAACCATAACAGCTTGTGCAACGCAGTAGTTTATATTAATAGATTTTATGATTTATAAAAGACATTCATTTAGCTGTAAGATAAGCTACTTATGTCCTTGGGGATTAATTTGTAGAATATATGCACTGCTGATGTATTGTCAGTGCTGCTTAGTACTGTTTATGGAGAGGGAATTTGGTACCTGTGATATTCCAAAAATATTGCAGTAATTGTGCATTGAATATAATTTCTTAGTACTGTATATTAAAAAGTAGGGATTTTATGAAATTAAAAATGCTATATTATATATAAATGTGTGTGTGTGTGTGTGTGATTACTGTATGTATGTGTATAATATACTTTAAGCCAATGTTGCCTTTATTGTTAAATGTTTCAGAAACTTTTATCTTATTCAGTACATTGATATTTTCATTTAATATAAAGTACATATGTAATTTTTGTATTTTGAACCCAACTAAGATAGCAACCTGATCTAGCTAGCGTAAATATGGCTGTTAACTATGCTTGTTGGTAAATTTGGGCCTGAATAAATTAGTTATCAATTTACTGTATTCTATTCATTTTATTAAAATCTGAGTATATTATGCAGAGATAAAACTGAACAAAATATCTGTGGGCATGATGCAAAACAAATCCTGTGTACATGGTCAAGAAGTGCAGTTCTGGCTGTGATTTATGACATAAGTAGTGTGTGTGTGTGTGTATGTCGTGCCTTATAACCAGAACTGCACCACTCTGCCTAACAAGCAAACCCCATTTTGCCTAACAGCCAGAGTGATTTTGTACATTTTAGATATATTTAAAAATTAGTCTGTCCTTAATACATATTGTTATATATGAAATTTCATTATTTACTTTTATTAGGATAGTTTTTCAGTACTTACATGAGACAGAATTGAGGAACAACAGGCATACGGTATTTAGATTGGTCAGATTGCTATGTTAGCATTTGTTCAAGTTAAAAACATGAACATCTTGTTCTTTAAATTAAATGTATCTATCAGTCAAAAGTTAGAATCTTCAGAAAAATTATTTAACAAAATCTGGCTTGTTAGGCATCTATATACTGTGTGTGTGTGTGTGTGTGTGTGTATATATATATATATATATATATATATATATATATATATATATAGTTGAATATGACCGAAAGGGTAACATTAATGATTTTAATACGAATCTTCTCAATATTTGTTATATTTTTCTTCACTGTTGAGGGAAGTTGAAAAATTAACTCTCCAAAGTTCATTTTTGCACTTTAATAAAGATTAGATTCATGTTAAATAATAATATTAATAAATAATAAATATTAGAATAAAGAAATATTGAGAAGATTCATGTAAAAATCATTAATCTTACCCTTTCGGTCATATTCAACAACATATGTTTGTAAGAAAGACTGCTACCAAAATAAATAAAATATATGTATATATATATATATATATATATATATATATATATATATATATATATATATATATATATATATATATATATATATATATATATATAATAAAATATAATATACACATAGGCATAGTATACCCCACACACACTATATGTATAATATATATATATATATATATATATATATATATATATATATATATATATATATATATATATATATATATATATATATATATATATATATATATATATATATAAATAATATATATGTGTGAGAAAGCTGCATGAACGCGCAAGCCATATATCACTAAGAACTCTTTGACCCGGCCAGGATTCGAACCCATGCCGTCCAGGATCACCCCTAAACGTACACAGTACCGTGACCACCGCACCAATGATCGTCTATCCAATGAGGCGATCATTGGTGCGGTGGTCACGGTACTGTGTACGTTTAGGGGTGATCCTGGACGGCATGGGTTCGAATCCTGGCCGGGTCAAAGAGTTCTTAGTGATATATATATATATATATATATATATATATATATATATATATATATATATATATATATATATATATATATATATATATTATTAAAAGTAGAGAAGAGCTTTAGAGTTAGAGGTATATGTAGCATTAATACATTGTGGTTATGGTGGTGGTCAGCCTAGGCATAGTATCTGGGAGATGATGATGATTTCCTAGAGTGGATTTTGTATGTATTGCACTGTATGTGTGTGTGTGCATGTAGCATGTTACATGCACACACACAATTAAGAAGTGTCAGATGGAAATAGACACCCTCAGTCGTTGTCCTCTGCACGCAGCAAGTCGTGTTATGCTGTACAGTACGAGCAACATCCCCAGGCAAAGCTGGGCAAACAAAGTTGATGTGAATTAATATTGAGAGTGTAAATCCTATGTTGATTTAACATTACTTGAGCATAGTTTGCCAGCTGGGAATATAATCAGGTTTGGCAAAACTGTCCTGCCTGTCTGTTTCCACTTAGCTGAATGGAAGCAGCAGCACTGTAAAATACACTGCAGTAACTGTGGAGTGCACCAAAGAAGAGAGATTTGAGATAATGTTCCATTTCTTGTAGCATATGGTACTGTATAGAAGTTTGTGATATATATATTGTAAACTACAGAACGTGTGTGGTGAGTTACATTTCATTGTCCAGAGTCTGTGAGTGAATGACAAAGTTGGAGAAACAGTTCAGTAATGTATTTCTCTGTCGAGCTACTCACCAGGAAGCTCGAGGTCACTTTTCTGCAGGAAAGATCATGTTTACTGTTTTATGAATGAATGATTTCCTTCACTGGGCTCTTATCAACAATGAAATTCATTCTGCCTTCTATCATTTAGAAGGTGAAACCCTCCATTAGGAGCCAAGGTGGATTGCAGCACACTAATGCCACCAATATATACGGCACGGAAGACAAAGGCACCATATGTGGGCAGGCTTCGTGGGTTGCAGCATCCTACTGCCATGACCCCATACTGACTTTAACCTGTTTAGCCCATATGAATGAGTGCTTGGCGAATGCAAGTTGCACATCCATAATGAGGTTGGAGAAGTGACGGCTCCTTGAGTGACCGTGGTTCTCAGGAATCAGTGAGCTATTGCAACACTGGTGCACATGTATTGAAAGACTTGAACAAATTTGTAGCATTCATCACCAGCAATCTGCAATAAAGGTATGATTCCAGTATTCTCTCATTTTCATTTGACACTCCTGCCTTTGTATATACATTACACATACACAACCAAAACTAAGAAAATGCTCCCTAAAATGTTGAGGCTCGATGACATCAGAACATTTTCTGAAACTTTGCTGCTGGTGTTGAAATATCATCATTCATAGTTGATAATTCGACCAGAAAACCAAATAATAAATGAACATTTTTACATGCTTTAATGTGATGAGAAAGGTGAGCATCATAGACTAATCTTGTCTATGATAAGATTTGTTTCCACCTTAAACGTTTGTTTTCCTCACAAAGCAATTTCCTCAGTATTAACATCATTGATTCGTTTTCTTTTCCAGTGTTCTCATATTTGTTTGTTACTTTGATCTTTATTTTCTACTTTATCTTATGCTTCATTTCAAAGTGTTATATCAAAACTGTTTCCAACTTTGAAAGTTGGTTGATTATAGTGTTTGCTTCGTAATTCGTGTCAGCCTTCTTCTGAGATTACATTCAAAGCTATTTGAAAACACCTGTAGCCCATGACATGCAGATTACAACTATTCTACTGGTAGAAACCCCTAAAACCCATGCCTTAATCTAACCCTGCATCGCATGCATGTTGCCTTGGCGAGGGGGCCATTTGCAAGCTGTTCTAATGCAGTTGCAGGTGGCTTCTGGTTCTCTCATGTGCCTTGAGAAGTGTACAACTAAGACACTCTGAGAGAGTTCTGTTTGGGTTATCGGATCCACCCGAGGAGCCACACTGTGGATGGGTCGAGTGTCCGGATGGCGGGTACTAAGGTGAGTGCATTACTGTGGGTGAATCCTAGTTTGTCCTGCTCACATTGGTGGTCTTCCCTGTTAAAAAAGTCAAGCACTACTAGGAACGAAGTACTCTCTCTGGTTCGGCTCATGCTCGCCCCCTCCCCTCTTTTCCTCCCCTCAAGGCAAAAAAGCCTTGACATGTAACATCAAATCCCTCACTCTTCTCCTTTCAAACCAAATCATCCTAGAACATTTCAGTTTGTGTTCCCATCCTCTTTCATTTTAACTTATACCAGATGTGCATGTTGAGCCATAAGTATTTTTTAATTATTTACAATTTGATATCCAGTACTCAGTACTTTTAAAGTAGTAGTAGTTGATTTTATTGAAAGAATTTGTTATTGTTGGAGATATAATCATCTTACTGGCTATTAAATTTATTTAATCTTACCCAATCCTTTGGTTAAAAAAATCCATTACATCTTATTTTTAGTAAACACAAGTGAGTATAGTCATGTTAGTCTAGTGTACTGGACAATGAAGCAGTCAAATCTGCCATTTAGATGTACTCCCTGCTATTAATCCTATTCCTTTCACAGAGGCACAAATACTTTTAGCATAACCTTGAGTGAATAAGCAGGCGATGAGTCACAATAACGTGGCTAAAGTATGTTGACCAGACCACACACTAGAAGGTGAAGGGACGACGACGTTTCGGTCCGTCCTGGGCCATTCTCAAGTCGATTGTGACTTGAGACAATCGACTTGAGAATGGTCTAGGACGGACCGAAACGTCATCGTCCCTTCACCTTCTAGTGTGTGGTCTTGTCAACTTGGGTGAATAAACTCGTGCCCATGAATTGATCAACAGCTCTTCACTACGGTTGGCCTGACAGATCGCCATGGCAACAAAATATAGTTATCATGAAATTGGTTGTGATGGTTGGGGGGGGGGGGGAAGAGTTATCTTGTGAGGAGAGTAGAACAGACACACTGCGCCAGAAGGTGGCAGCCTTCTTCTGCGGCCACTCTCCGTCTCACACATTCTACTAATATACCGTAAAATATATTATATTTACCAACAAAGCAACAAATACATATTCAAGAGTGTACCATAGTTGCGACAAACATCTTTGTTAAGAATATCAAGAGATTATAGCAGAGCTCAACCAAGATGATCAAGTTTATTGTGTTCTTGGTTGGAGTGACCGTAGCGTTTGGGGACAAGCTTACAGGTAAGTTATCACATCCTGCAAACAGTTGCTTACCAAAATGGCTAGTTTAAACACCGTCGTTGTTATTAGTTTAATGTCACATACTGCACAATGTACCAATTGTCTTCAATGTATGACAGCCTTTGCATTTTCTATATAGAGATGATAGCCTTTGTCACGTCTAATACTAGGCACTTAATGGAACAAAGAGTTACTGTCAAACCTGTATTGTTGCCTTACAGTCTCGCACCTCCCTGTAGAATGTCCTGCTTTTCAGGATGATCGGAAATGTCGCTTTCCCAGTGTTCCTTTGAGTCATTTGGCCCTCGGTAAATCTGATTCCTTTAGCATCACTCATCGTATGTCTTCAAACTTTCGTATTGGCATCCTGAATGATGTATAGACTGCCGTTTAATGCCCGGGCCGCTGCCCAGGGGCCCCATGCTGCCATATAGGGGCCCCTAGAATTATGCACTCTTAATAGAGTGGATAGTTACTCGACCTCTCGCTGGAAAGGCCTGGGATTCAAATCCCTTTTCAAATTATGATCAAATAATGTGTGCATAACTATATGACGGTAATCCTACATTTTTGTGGACGGGTGGTGCCCATCATCTGGGTTGGGGCCCAGTGCATTGCTTTGGCCAGGGCCCACAATGCTGTTAGGACGGCCCTGCGTATATATGAACTGTTTGATAACCTGCGACATATTGCTATATATAAACTACCGGACTTGGCGCTTTATTTTGACAATTAAGTAATTAGGGACCTGGTTGTAGACCGCTTGGCGGGTCATGTGCCTGGAAAGACTTAGTAGATTAAGGCTTACGATGAGCTGTGAGAAGGAAAACTCTTAAGTCTGGTAACAGGTCTATTCAGAAATCGTCTCCTCTCCTACATCTGTCATACGTACGTCTGGATCAATATTTCTTCAGATTTAAGTTGAAGATGAGTTTGGTGAAAATGTTTGATGTTTGAATTTGAATACACAAGTGTTAATTAAGATGTTGTTGACCAGGTGAGAAGGAACGGTGCTACGAGGCTCTTGGCTGTCTGGTCCTGGACGAGGCTTGGTGGCATCCCTTCCTGAGACCTGTCAATCTCTGGCCCCAGGAGCCAGAGGTCATCAACACCACCTTCACCCTCCACACCAGACCCACGGTGAGGCCCTCACACCCCCCACACCAGACCCACGGTGAGGCCCACACACCCCCCACACCAGACCCACGGTGAGGCCCCCACACCCCCCACACCAGACCCACGGTGAGGCCCACACACCCCCCACACCAGACCCACGGTGAGGCCCACACACCCTCCACACCAGACCCACGGTGAGGCCCACACACCCCCCACACCAGACCCACGGTGAGGCCCTCACACCCTCCACACCAGACCCACGGTGAGGCCCACACACCCCCCACACCAGACCCACGGTGAGGCCCACACACCCTCCACACCAGACCCACGGTGAGGCCCCCACACCCCCCACACCAGACCCACGGTGAGGCCCCCACACCCCCCACACCAGACCCACGGTGAGGCCCCCACACCCCCCACACCAGACCCACGGTGAGGCCCCCACACCCCCCACACCAGACCCACGGTGAGGCCCACACACCCCCCACACCAGACCCACGGTGAGGCCCACACACCCTCCACACCAGACCCACGGTGAGGCCCCACACCCCCCACACCAGACCCACGGTGAGGCCCCCACACCCCCCACACCAGACCCACGGTGAGGCCCACACACCCTCCACACCAGACCCACGGTGAGGCCCACACACCCTCCACACCAGACCCACGGTGAGGCCCCCACACCCCCCACACCAGACCCACGGTGAGGCCCACACACCCCCCACACCAGACCCACGGTGAGGCCCACACACCCTCCACACCAGACCCACGGTGAGGCCCCCACACCCCCCACACCAGACCCACGGTGAGGCCCACATACCCCCCACACCAGACCCACGGTGAGGCCCACACACCCTCCACACCAGACCCACGGTGAGGCCCCCACACCCCCCACACCAGACCCACGGTGAGACCCACACACCCCCCACACCAGACCCACGGTGAGGCCCACACACCCTCCACACCAGACCCACGGCGAGGCCCCCACACCCTACACAAAGTCCACGGGGGGGGGGGGGTCACCGTGAATGCGGTATCCATGCGCTCATATAAGGTTTTATCAGTTATCTGGCATGAACTGTGCCCTTGGCAATTAGTGGTATCAGCGGGTGAGTGTGTGGGGTGTTGATCAGGCGTGACGAGACGTGCACTATCACAACCCTTCACCTCCGGTGCATATCTGTGACGCCACCACCTCACTCCCTCATGACCTCTCACTCACACTACACAGCTATACATATAATAATAATAATAATAATAATAATAATAATAATAATAATAATAATAATAATACCTTATTTGTACACAAATTATTTGGCATATTACTGTAGAACTTTTATATACAGGTATTTATATATGTTATAAAGGCATTATAATCACCCGGAGCGTCTGCGATAAACCTTACCAGGTTTTCCTTAGCTTTTTCCCAGTAAAGGTTTTCTCTTCTAGTACATAGTTCGTGTGTAGTTGGAAATGATTCATAGTAGTACTGAGCCTCGTTACAGTCCACTAATAACCTCTTCCCGCCCTTACTGTGCTCGTCTTGTAAGAGAGAGGGAATTATCAGGGGGAAGGGGCCAAGCCATTACGACTATATATCACTGGGAAGGGGTCAGGATAAGGATTTGGGATGGGATGGGAGAAAGGAATGGTGCACAACCACTTGGACGGTCGGGGATTGAGCGCCGATCTGCATGAAGCGAGACCATCGCTCTATCGTCCAGTCCAAGTGGTTGGACGTCTCGTTAGAGTAACTGCTTTTTTTTACTTCTTTATCTGCTAGAAGCTGGGAACAGCAGCTGTGCCAGCCGTCAGTGGTCTTCCGGGCTTGTCACTTGCCTATGATAACTTGTTCCCACGCCTGCCGTTGTCCTGTGTGACTCTTCGAGCAGTCTATCATCATGGCTACCACTTTGTTATCATCCTTGCAACACCATCATCACTTTTGTCATCAGCAGGTGCAGGCGGAGAGGGCAGGACAGGCAGGCCCCAGGAAGCTGCTGGACCCCAAGCAGCAGCTGGACCTGGTTCTATCCCCGCTGGACGCCACCAAGCCCACTAAAGTCATTATCCACGGCTACAAGGAGAGTGCCCAGACTCCCTGGGTCACGGTAAGTCTGATTATATGAATTATAAAGCGCTGCCCGCAAAGTTAAGAGACGGGACCCGATCGCTGAAGCTCGACCCTCCTCACAAACACATCAGGGAAATACACCTAAGCGCAAACACACAGTGTTCTACACTCGTGTTTACTATGAGATCACTAAAGAAAGTTTCTGTTTGAGAAGTTTAGCAAATTTTAATTTTAATTTAAACGTGAGAGTAAAATATGATACTTTTGTGACTATATAATAACGAGGACGAAATAAACAGGACTTAAATTCAGTTGAATTGAGGTAATATTTTGTTAAATGTTCACAGGAGCTGACAGCCGGTCTCCTGCTCTATGGAGACTACAATGTTATCGTTGTTGACTGGGAAAATGGAGCCCAGACTTCATACTTACAGGTACGCTGTCGTCACACCTCCATTCTTACATATACTAGTACAACCTCTGTCTACTGTATGAATTATTAATTACAATTAAACTGCAATGAACATAAATTTTAGAAATATTTGCAGGCACATAGAAATATTAAAGCCATTAGGGACCGCCAATCTTCCTAATGCTTGCTGTAACCGGATTATGACAAGCCAGCCAACAGTTTCGTGTCTCCTCAAGCACACACGTGTAGTGTGTATCCTGCACACATATGTAGGTGTAGTGTGTATCCTGCACACATGTGTAGGTGTAGTGTGTATCCTGCACACATGTGTAGGTGTAGTGTGTATCCTGCACACATATGTAGGTGTAGTGTGTATCCTGCACACATGTGTAGGTGTAGTGTGTATCCTGCACACATATGTAGGTGTAGTGTGTATCCTGCACACATATGTAGGTGTAGTGTGTATCCTGCACACATATGTAGGTGTAGTGTGTATCCTGCACACATGTGTAAGTGTAGTGTGTATCCTGCACACATGTGTAGGTGTAGTGTGTATCCTGCACACATATGTAGGTGTAGTGTGTATCCTGCACACATGTGTAGGTGTAGTGTGTATCCTGCACACATGTGTAGGTGTAGTGTGTATCCTGCACACATGTGTAGGTGTAGTGTGTATCCTGCACACATGTGTAGGTGTAGTGTGTATCCTGCACACATGTGTAGGTGTAGTGTGTATCCTGCACACATATGTAGGTGTAGTGTGTATCCTGCACACATGTGTAGGTGTAGTGTGTATCCTGCACACATGTGTAAGTGTAGTGTGTATCCTGCACACATGTGTAGGTGTAGTGTGTATCCTGCACACATGTGTAGGTGTAGTGTGTATCCTGCACACATGTGTAGGTGTAGTGTGTATCCTGCACACATGTGTAGGTGTAGTGTGTATCCTGCACACATGTGTAGGTGTAGTGTGTATCCTGCACACATGTGTAGGTGTAGTGTGTATCCTGCACACATGTGTAGGTGTAGTGTGTATCATATTCGTTGAGACAGCTCTGCCTATTGTGTTTTGTTGGTGCAGGCGGTGGCCAACGCGCGCCTGGTGGGCCTGGAGGTGGCCAGACTCCTCAACACACTGGCTGGTACCATCAACCTCCCGCCTCGCTCCGTACACCTCCTTGGTTATACTCTCGGGGCGCACGTCGCAGGTAAGACCACACCACCCAGGTCACACTACACCAGGACCCCCGTAACACTTCAAGCTTCAGGGCCCCCGTAACACTTCAAGCTTCAGGGCCCCCGTAACACTTCAAGCTTCAGGGACCCCGTAACACTTCAAGCTTCAGGGCCCCCGTAACACTTCAAGCTTCAGGGCCCCCGTAACACTTCAAGCTTCAGGGCCCCCGTAACACTTCAAGCTTCAGGGCCCCACAGATTATAAATCCGCTACTGGAATGTGATCACGCAACTCTCCATGTTCCTGTGACCCATTATATAATGTTTAGGGTCAGGTTCCAGTTCACCTTTTAAGTTATCTATTACAATCAGTCTACCCTCCAAAAATGGTAGTACCATAAACGACTGTGAATGGAATGTACAGAATATAGACTCTTCCCTGTCTTTTTCCCCGCTAAAAAATTATCGTTTTGAATTAAAGATTTTGTAGATGACCTAAAAATGAAGGCAACAACCAAACATAACTTTTCCTAGGCCTAGTAAAGCATATCATTATTCTAAATGAGGCCTAAACGTGCGTATGATGACCAAACTGCACGTCAGAAAGTGAAGAGACGACGACATTTCGGTCCGTCCTGGTCCATTGTCAAGGCCTTATCTTCACCCACTGCATATTATGACTAGAATTGTTAATTTAGGTCTAAGACAGGTTAAGTTACGTTGATAGGTTGTTGCAGTTTTTGTTATGTCCAGTGGTGGTTCCTCCACTGGTGGTTCCTCTAGTGGTGGTGCCTCCAGTGGTGGTTCCTCCAGTGGTGGTTCCTCTAGTGGGGGTGCCTCCACTGGTGGTGCCTCCACTGGTGGTTCCTCTAGTGGCGGTGCCTCCAGTGGTGGTGCTTCCAGTGGTGGTTCCTCTAGTGGGGGTGCCTCCACTGGTGGTGCCTCCACTGGTGGTTCCTCTAGTGGCGGTGCCTCCAGTGGTGGTGCCTCCACTGGTGGTGCCTCCACTGGTGGTTCCTCTAGTGGCGGTGCCTCCAGTGGTGGTGCCTCCACTGGTGGTTCCTCTAGTGGCGGTGCCTCCAGTGGTGGTGCCTCCACTGGTGGTGCCTCCACTGGTGGTTCCTCTAGTGGTGTTTGTGGTGCAGGTTACAGCGGCGAGCGGGTTGAGGGTGTTGGACGCATCACAGGTCTCGCGCCTTCAGCTCTCTACTTCCAGGAGTTGCCGCCAGTTGTGCGCCTCGACGAGACAGACGCCATCTTTGTCGACGTCATCCATACAGCTGGTGACGGTAAGTTCTCACTGGCGCTACAGCTGGTGACGGTAAGTTCTCACTGACGCTACAGCTGGTGACGGTAAGTTCTCACTGACGCTGCTGTTGGTGACGGTAAGTTCTCACTGGCGCTACTGCTGGTGACGGTAAGTTCTCACTGGCGCTACTGCTGGTGACGGTAAGTTCTCACTGGCGCTACTGCTGGTGACGGTAAGTTCTCACTGGCGCTACAGCTGGTGACGGTAAGTTCTCACTGGCGCTACTGCTGGTGACGGTAAGTTCTCACTGGCGCTACAACTGGTGACGGTAAGTTCTCACTGGCGCTACAACTGGTGACGGTAAGTTCTCACTGGCGCTACAGCTGGTGACGGTAAGTTCTCACTGGCGCTACAACTGGTGACGGTAAGTTCTCACTGGCGCTACAGCTGGTGACGGTAAGTTCTCACTGGCGCTACAGCTGGTGACGGTAAGTTCTCACTGACGCTGCTGCTGGTGACGGTAAGTTCTCACTGGCGCTACAGCTGGTGACGGTAAGTTCTCACTGGCGCTACAGCTGGTGACGGTAAGTTCTCACTGGCGCTACAATTGGTGACGGTAAGTTCTCACTGACGATACAGCTGGTGACGGTAAGTTCTCACTGACGCTACAGCTGGTGACGGTAAGTTCTCACTGACGATACACCTGGTGACGGTAAGTTCTCACTGGCGCTACAGCTGGTGACGGTAAGTTCTCACTGACGCTACAGCTGGTGACGGTAAGTTCTCACTGACGATACAGCTGGTGACGGTAAGTTCTCACTGGCGCTACAGCTGGAAGAATCAGAGAACTCCTCAGTAACCCTTTTGACCTCATACCATATAGTAGGGTTCTGTTTAAATCTCCCCCCCCCCCCTCTCACCATATGTCTCTCCGATCTATTTCATAAAACCAGTTAAACCATTTGCCTCAATAACCCTAGCTGGCAGCGTATTTGCCTCAATAACCCTAGCTGGCAGCGTATTTGCCTCAATAACCCTAGCTGGCAGCGTATTTGCCTCAATAACCCTAGCTGGCAGCGTATTTGCCTCAATAACCCTAGCTGGCAGCGTATTTGCCTCAATAACCCTAGCTGGCAGCGTATTTGCCTCAATAACCCTAGCTGGCAGCGTATTTGCCTCAATAACCCTAGCTGGCAGCGTATTTGCCTCAATAACCCTAGCTGGCAGCGTATTTGCCTCAATAACCCTAGCTGGCAGCGTATTTGCCTCAATAACCCTAGCTGGCAGCGTATTTGCCTCAATAACCCTAGCTGGCAGCGTATTTGCCTCAATAACCCTAGCTGGCAGCGTATTTGCCTCAATAACCCTAGCTGGCAGCGTATTTGCCTCAATAACCCTAGCTGGCAGCGTATTTGCCTCAATAACCCTAGCTGGCAGCGTATTTGCCTCAATAACCCTAGCTGGCAGCGTATTTGCCTCAATAACCCTAGCTGGCAGCGTATTTGCCTCAATAACCCTAGCTGGCAGCGTATTTGCCTCAATAACCCTAGCTGGCAGCGTATTTGCCTCAATAACCCTAGCTGGCAGCGTATTTGCCTCAATAACCCTAGCTGGCAGCGTATTTGCCTCAATAACCCTAGCTGGCAGCGTATTTGCCTCAATAACCCTAGCTGGCAGCGTATTTGCCTCAATAACCCTAGCTGGCAGCGTATTTGCCTCAATAACCCTAGCTGGCAGCGTATTTGCCTCAATAACCCTAGCTGGCAGCGTATTTGCCTCAATAACCCTAGCTGGCAGCGTATTTGCCTCAATAACCCTAGCTGGCAGCGTATTTGCCTCAATAACCCTAGCTGGCAGCGTATTTGCCTCAATAACCCTAGCTGGCAGCGTATTCTACCCCACACACAAACCTATTTCCAAATCAGCTACCGTGTACCGTGCAGGTCCAGGTACGTCGGAGCGATGTGGTACTGTGGACTTCTACCCCAACGGTGGGGGTGACCAGCCAGGCTGTGAAGACGGTACCAAAGACGGTACCCAAGACGGTACCCAAGACGGTACCCAAGACGGTACGCAGGACGGAGGAGCCACAAAATCTCTGCGAGGACAGTCATGCAGCGTGATGCGGGCGGTGGACCTGTTTCTCGCCTCCCTTCTGTGTCACGACTGTTTCCTGAGCCACGAGTGTACAGATCAGTACTTGTACAACAATGTAAGTATTTAATTGTACTTAATTGTGGAACAACATTGAACAACTTGTGTATACATGTTAATATTCGGTGAGAAAGATTTGATAGAGACGTTGTGGTACAGGGAATGTGTCACTGGTGCGGCGACCCCAACACCCGCTGTGCCTACCTGGGCCTCAGGGCCGAGGAGTTCCTCGCCCAGCGCCGGGTTCGAGTCCCACTTCACCTCACCACCTCCGCCACCCACCCGTTCAACGGTAACTCTCTCCTCTATACTTAACTACAACGCTCTATATTGACTTCCCTCTATGATAATGAGATAATTAAGACATATGGCATTACTCTAATGTGGTTTGTGCAGACGACACGCAAACGCATTTTCTCTCTCTCTCTCTCTCTCTCTCTCTCTCTCTCTCTCTCTCTCTCTCTCTCTCTCTCTCTCTCTCTCTCTCTCTCTCTCTCTCTCTCTCTCTCTCTGTCTCTCTGTCTCTCTCTCTCTCTCTCTCTCTCTCTCTCTCTCTCTCTCTCTCTCTCTCTCTCTCTCTCTCTCTCTCTCTCTCTCTCTCTCTCTCTCTCTCTCTCTCTCTCTCTCTCTCTCTCTCTCTCTCTCTCTGTCTCTCTCTCTCTCTGTCTCTCTCTCTCTCTCTCTCTCTCTCTCTCTCTCTCTCTCTCTCTCTCTCTCTCTCTCTCTCTCTCTCTGTCTCTCTGTCTCTCTGTCTCTCTCTCTCTCTGTCTCTCTCTCTCTCTCTCTCTCTCTCTCTCTCTCTCTCTCTCTCTCTCTCTCTCTCTCTCTCTCTCTCTCTCTCTCTCTCTCTCTCTCTGTCTCTCTCTCTCTCTGTCTCTCTCTCTCTCTGTCTCTCTCTCTCTCTCTCTCTCTCTCTCTCTCTCTCTCTCTCTCTCTCTCTCTCTCTCTCTCTCTCTCTCTCTCTCTCTCTCTCTCTCTCTCTCTCCTATAAATGTTACAAATATAAAAATATAATACCGTATAAAAGTATCATAATGAACTGTTCTTCTCAACAGTTTATCCTTACCGCGTGTGGTTCAACTTGGCCCATCCAGAGGAGGCCGAGGACTGTCTGGATGGGGAACTCATGCTTACTCTTAGAGGCACCAACGCTTACCTCACCATCACCCTCCCAGGGTCAGTATCTCCTCCCACCACACTCCCAGGGTCAGTATCTCCTCCCACCACACTCCCAGGGTCAGTACCTCCTCCCACCACACTCCCAGGGTCAGTATCTCCTCCCACCACACTCCCAGGGTCAGTATCTCCTCCCACCACACTCCCAGGGTCAGTATCTCCTCCCACCACACTCCCAGGGTCAGTACCTCCTCCCACCACACTCCCAGGGTCAGTATCTCCTCCCACCACACTCCCAGGGTCAGTATCTCCTCCCACCACACTCCCAGGGTCAGTACCTCCTCCCACCACACTCCCAGGGTCAGTATCTCCTCCCACCACACTCCCAGGGTCAATACCTCCTCTCACGGCACTCCAAGCGTCGGAATCCCCCACACTGTCGTGCTTTTAATTTCACTATAATGCTGATATTTTCGAGAGCGTAGACATGGAGTGCAATGTGATGCAACAATCATTCCTGCAGGGCACCACTTAGGCTGAGCCATGGTCAGCCTCGGGGCTGGGTGGTGGGGCTGGAGGAGGACCTGGGGGCTGTGGAGGAGCTGGTGGTGTACTGGCAGTACCAGCACAAGACCTTCACCGACTGCTGCCGGAAAGACTGCAACACCAACCTCTACATCCAGGCCGTCAAGGTCACCCCCATTGACTACCTCCCGGAAAGGTTAGATTATTCTAACTGGTTAAGTTATTAATCCTTCCAAGTCTACGGTCATGTAGGTCCATACTTGTTTATAGTCATGTAAGAGTAATGATGATTATTTGTATTCAGAAGAATGTGTCCCTTCACTTCAAAGTCAAAGAACATAAGAGTTATGAATTGTAGGGACTGTAGGGACTAGGGAATTGTAGTACCTAGCAGTAAATAGGTACCTGGGAGTTAGTCAGCTGTCACGGGCTGCTTCCTGGGGGTGGAGGCCTGGTCGAGGACCGGGCCGCGGGGACACTAAAGCCCCGAAATGATCTCAAGATAACCTCAAGATAGGGACAGGCATTACACATACTACATAGTCTATAGTCATGTACGTTCATATCAGTTCATATTCATTGTTCATACCATTTAATATTTAATGATACATGAAAACCTTTAGACAGAAGTGCCAGACTCTGTATTAAACATGGGGACAGAGGCTAATGGGTTAACATGTGTTTTGTACAGTAAGCGGGAGAAGAGCACCCGTCTATTGTGTGGCGGCCTTCTCAACACCCCCGTCGCTTCCGGCGGCTCTGTCACTCTCCAGCCCAAGGACACCTGCCAGGAATGGTCCGTGTAGCTCCTGTCAAGCCCACAACCACCACACTGATTGATTGATGAAGCCACCACAAGAGTTGGTAGTTGCATGAGTAGCCCTGTAGGAGGTAGATGTTTGGAGTGAATGTGATGTTTGTGTGTCATCTTTAAGTGTCTCCGGGCCCCGCACCACCATAACTATAACTCTAGTTTTTGTATCATTCTTACACTAACTTTCGCTTCTTAATAATAAACCTAATTTTATTTTATATCAATTTTTTGTCCTTACTACAATAAAATAGTACTATGCCAGAGTAGTACAGTTGAACTCTACAGGAAGTCTACTTTTGGAGTTAGGACTGGTCACCATGATGCTAGGAATGGTATAAAAGGTCGTAATTTGAAAATGAAAATAGGTGCAGAGAGTCAGAATTCACCTAAAAAATCACACTCAGGTGGCAAATTTCCGACATTTCAGATATTTTGAAAACTGCAGGGGGGTTTGGGCAAAATATGACCCAACGCCGTTTTCAGTAATTAGCATATTTTCGGTATAAAAGGTCGTTATTTGAAAATAAAAATAGGTGCAGAGAGTCAGAATTCGGCTCAAAAATCACGCTCAGGAGTCAAATTTCCGACATTTCATATATTTTGAAAATTGCAGGGGGGTTTGGGCAAAATATGACCCATCGCCTTTTTCAGTAATTAGCATATTTTCGGTATAAAAGGTCGTAATTTGAAAATGAAAAAAGGTGCAGAGTCAGAATTCGGCTCAAAAATTACACTCTATTAGATAACGATAACGATAACGGGGAGGGAGACGATAACCCCCCCCCCCCCCCCGTGTTACAAAGCACCCACTGGTCTGAACGAGCACCCACTGCTCTGAACGAGCACCCACTGCTCTGAACAAACACCCACTGGTCTAAACATGCACCCACTGGTCTGAACGAGCACCCACTGCTCTGAACGAGCACCCACTGGTCTATACAAGTACCCACTGGTCTAAACATGCACCCACTGGTCTGATCGAGCACCCACTGGTCTGAACAAGCACCCACTGGTCTGAACAAGCACCCACTGCTCTGAACGAGCACCCACTGGTCTGAACAAGCACCCACTGGTCTGAACAAGCACCCACTGGTCTGAACAAGCACCCACTGGTCTGAACAAGCACCCACTGGTCTGAACAAGCACCCACTGGTCTGAACAAGCACCCACTGGTCTGAACAAGCACCCACTGGTCTGAACAAGCACCCACTGGTCTGAACAAGCACCCACTGCTCTGAACAAGCACCCACTGCTCTGAACAAGCACCCACTGGTCTGAACAAGCACCCACTGCTCTGAACGAGCACCCACTGGTCTATACAAGTACCCACTGGTCTAAACATGCACCCACTGGTCTGATCGAGCACCCACTGGTCTGAACAAGCACCCACTGGTCTGATCGAGCACCCACTGGTCTGAACAAGCACCCACTGGTCTGAACAAGCACCCACTGGTCTGAACAAGCACCCACTGGTCTGAACAAGCACCCACTGGTCTGAACAAGCACCCACTGGTCTGAACAAACACCCACTGGTCTGAACGAGCACCCACTGCTCTGAACGAGCACCCACTGGTCTGAACAAACACCCACTGGTCTGAACAAGCACCCACTGGTCTGAACAAGCACCCACTGGTCTGAACGAGCACCCACTGGTCTGAACGAGCACCCACTGGTCTGAACAAGCACCCACTGGTCTGAACAAGCACCCACTGCTCTGAAGAAGCACCCACTGGTCTGAACAAGCACCCACTGCTCTGAACGAGCACCCACTGGTCTATTCAAGTACCCACTGGTCTAAACATGCACCCACTGGTCTGATCGAGCACCCACTGGTCTGAACAAGCACCCACTGGTCTGAACAAGCACCCACTGGTCTGAACAAGCACCCACTGCTCTGAACAAGCACCCACTGGTCTGAACAAGCACCCACTGCTCTGAACGAGCACCCACTGGTCTATACAAGTACCCACTGGTCTAAACATGCACCCACTGGTCTGATCGAGCACCCACTGGTCTGAACAAGCACCCACTGGTCTGATCGAGCACCCACTGGTCTGAACAAGCACCCACTGGTCTGAACAAGCACCCACTGGTCTGAACAAGCACCCACTGGTCTGAACAAGCACCCACTGGTCTGAACAAGCACCCACTGGTCTGAACAAACACCCACTGGTCTGAACGAGCACCCACTGCTCTGAACGAGCACCCACTGGTCTGAACAAACACCCACTGGTCTGAACAAGCACCCACTGGTCTGAACAAGCACCCACTGGTCTGAACGAGCACCCACTGGTCTGAACGAGCACCCACTGGTCTGAACAAGCACCCACTGGTCTGAACAAGCACCCACTGGTCTGAACGAGCACCCACTGGTCTGAACGAGCACCCACTGGTCTGAACAAGCACCCACTGATCTGAACAAGCACCCACTGGTCTGAACAAGCACCCACTAGTCTGAACAAGCACCCACTGGTCTGAACGAGCACCCACTGGTCTGAACGAGCACCCACTGGTCTGAACAAACACCCACTGGTCTGAACGAGCACCCACTGGTCTGAACAAACACCCACTGGTCTGAACGAGCACCCACTGGTCTGAACAAGCACCCACTGGTCTGAACAAACACCCACTGGTCTGAACGAGCACCCACTGGTCTGAACAAGCCCCCACTGGTCTGAACAAACACCCACTGGTCTGAACGAGCACCCACTGGTCTGAACAAGCACCCACTGGTCTGAACGAGCACCCACTGGTCTGAACAAACACCCACTGGTCTGAACAAGCACCCACTGGTCTGAACAAGCACCCACTGGTCTGAACAAACACCCACTGGTCTGAACAAGCACCCACTGGTCTGAACAAACACCCACTGGTCTGAACAAGCACCCACTGGTCTAAACAAGCACCCACTGGTCTGAACAAGCACCCACTGGTCTGAACGAGCACCCACTGGTCTGAACAAGCACCCACTGGTCTGAACGAGCACCCACTGGTCTGAACAAGCACCCACTGCTACCCACTGGGAGCACCCCTTGCACCCATAGCACCCCGTGACCACTGGGTGCTCCCCGTGACCACTGGGTGCTCCCCGTGACCACTGGGTGCTCCCCGTGACCACTGGGTGCTCCCTGTGACCACTGGGTGCTCCCCGTGACCACTGGGTGCTCCCCGTGACCACTGGGTGCTCCCTGTGACCACTGGGTGCTCCCCGTGACCACTGGGTGCTCCCCGTGACCACTGGGTGCTCCCTGTGACCACTGGGTGCTCCCCGTGACCACTGGGTGCTCCCTGTGACCACTGGGTGCTCCCCGTGACCACTGGGTGCTCCCCGTGACCACTGGGCGCTCCCTGTGACCACTGGGTGCTCCCCGTGACCACTGGGTGCTCCCTGTGACCACTGGGTGCTCCCCGTGACCACTGGGTGCTCCCCGTGACCACTGGGCGCTAAATTCAGGTCAAAAAATCTTAATCTACATCTAACTATGCACAGTATTTTAATATATAGCCTAAGGATGAGGTGTGTGTAGTGTTTTTCATTCTAATTGGTTGAACAGCAAAATCTCGCCCAGCAATATTGGGCGAGGTTTTCCTACTCAAGATCTGGTACGTGGCGACAGTCTCAGTGCTGCCCTGGGAGGCTCCGTGAGGCTATAAGGTCTGTGTTGCCCTGGGAGAATAATCCATGATGCTACGGGGTGTGCTGCCCTGGGAGCCTACGTTATAAGTGTTGGCCTGAGAGACTACGGGCTCTGTGCTGCCCTGGGAGGCTCCGTGAGGCTATAAGGTCTGTGTTGCCCTGGGAGAATAATCCATGATGCTACGGGGTGTGCTGCCCTGGGAGCCTACGTTATAAGTGTTGGCCTGAGAGACTACGGGCTCTGTGCTGCCCTGGGAGGCTCCGTGAGGCTATAAGGTCTGTGTTGCCCTGGGAGAATAATCCATGATGCTACGGGGTGTGCTGCCCTGGGAGCCTACGTTATAAGTGTTGGCCTGAGAGACTACGGGCTCAGTGCTGCCCTGGGAGGCTCCGTGAGGCTATAAGGTCTGTGTTGCCCTGGGAGAATAATCCATGATGCTACGGGGTGTGCTGCCCTGGGAGCCTACGTTATAAGTGTTGGCCTGAGAGACTACGGGCTCAGTGCTGCCCTGGGAGGCTCCGTGAGGCTATAAGGTCTGTGTTGCCCTGGGAGAATAATCCATGATACTACGGGGTGTGCTGCCCTGGGAGCCTACGTTATAAGTGTTGGCCTGAGAGACTACGGGCTCTGTGCTGCCCTGGGAGCCTACGTTATAAGTGTTGGCCTGAGAGACTACGGGCTCTGGGCTGCCCTGGGAGGCTCCGTGTGGCTATAGTCTCAGTGCTGCCCTCAGAGGCTGCGTGTTAAGTTGCTGTGAATACTGGGTAAAATGTACTTACATTGTTTTCTTCAAAGGTCCTAAGCACCATTCTGAACATGTATAGATTATAAAGAATAGAAAAAATGCGAGGAATGCTGCTATATCGCTTTCCTTATCATGTTGTATGCGAATAACATTAAAATATGACATGACATGTCAGACAGCTTGTGTGCTCGCCAACAAAGTCTAATTTTCAGTTATCCTTGGAATAAATTCATGAAATTATTACAATCATGATTATCTATGGAGGGTGCTTCCAGCAAGTTATTACAAGCATGATTATCTATGGAGGGTGCTTCCAGTAAGTTATTACAAGCATGATTATCTATGGAGGGCTGCTTCCAGTAAGTTATTACAAGCATGATTATCTATGGAGGGTGCTTCCAGCAAGTTATTACAAGCATGATTATCTATGGAGGGTGCTTCCAGTAAGTTATTACAAGCATGATTATCTATGGAGGGCTGCTTCCAGTAAGTTATTACAAGCATGATTATCTATGGAGGGTGCTTCCAGTAAGTTATTACAAGCATGATTATCTATAGAGGGCTGCTTCCAGTAAGTTATTACAAGCATGATTAACTATAGAGGGTGCTTCCAGGAAATAGTTGTGTAATAGTTCTCACTAACTGCATTTGGCCTTTATATAATACCTTTTATCCTGAACTCAGATTGCATCGCCACGTGTCCGTACTTCTCAATAATTTAAAAATGTTTGGGATCATTATTATATCAGATAATATTATATTATAATTAATTACTGTGAATCATTACACAAACCACAAACGAAAAGCTGTCCTAACATTTAAAGAATTGTGAATATGAATATATTCATGAATTATTAGTTATATTATTAATTATTCATTCTTTTGTACATTTTTAGAAAGTATATTATTGCTACACCAATTGTAGGTTGATATAATAATGCGACCTAATTTCAGGTAGAAGAAGATGTGGGCGTCGTTGTGGTGGTGGTGGGCGGTTTGTATAGGTTGTGTGGGTGGAGGGCGGCTACCCACCTCCCACCCCATAATGGCTAGCCTCAGAGATACTCCTGTGTCGCCTAGACCTTCACTCAGGTCTGTGTCTCCCCCACACACTCACATATGTATGCAAGTATTGCCAGCTCCTATGCTGACAGTTAGTGGTTTAACCCTTAGATGATGGCTCACGTCTTAGGATATATTGTGTTTCATCCGAGTTCCGCTAACATTATGTGATGTTTTTCACTATAGAAATCTAAGGAAAATTGGTTTTACTTATAAATCTCCTATATTTGTTTAGATTTATCTATCTATTATCAGCTAATCAAATTATAAACTTTGTTATTATACATAAATACTATTATTAGAAGAATTTTGAAATATATAGCAGCATAGTACACAAAAATATTTATTCGAAATATTAAGTTTGTGACCATTTTTTTTTCCAATCATCCATATTAATTAGTTTCCCGGATCCTTCAAGAATAGAAACCTTAAAATTAAGTTTTAACTCTTCATACAAATTTCAAATGCCGATATAATTGTTAAAATGTAATTAAATTGAAATTCAGTATGTTCAAAGAAGTATTTTTATTTTCTTCAAATTTATTTAAATATTTTTAACTCATTTACAAAGGATCTTGATATTTTAAAAATTGCGCCCATTGGTAATCCTGAGCCGAGAGAGCCAGACACTATTAGGGTTAATGCATGGGTGTGTTTGCATACTCCTAGACACCTTAGAGACCTCTGAGTACTTCTTGTACAACTTATTAATGCTCCACATTCTCAGTAAATTTTAATTTGGGCTGTTCGGTAGAGCGACGGCCTCGCTTCTTGCAAGGTCGTTCAATCCTCAATGGTCAAAGCGGTTAGGCACTGTTTTTTAACTCCATCCTCATATCAAACCTCTATGTTCTCATGTTGACCAGACCACACACTAGAAGGTGAAGGGACGACGACGTTTCGGTCCGTCCTGGACCATTCTCAAGTCGATTGTGAGAATGGTCCAGGACGGACCGAAACGTCGTCGTCCCTTCACCTTCTAGTGTGTGGTCTGGTCAACATACTTTAGCCACGTTATTGTGACTCATCGCCTCTATGTTCTCGTATCCCGGCTCCTTGTCTTCATATCCCTTCCAAGTAATACACAGTCATACTGGTTTAGCGCTTTCTCCTCATAGTTACTTAACCTGGATGTGTTGTCAGGTCTCAGTGGCGAGGGGCGGCGACAGACCCGCGAGGGCGCACCATACTGGAGATTGCCTACGACTTCTGCTCCAACAGCCTCAACAACCTCCCCACAAAGCAAATGGAAGCAGGTGGGTTAGTATGGGGCTTTACCTTATAGTCCTGCCTTGTGGGCTGTATTTTTTTTTTTACATCATTATATTAAAATTATTTTTAACTGCATATCTGAATTTACCTGAGGGCCGCTATCTCTAAGTGGCCTCGACGTGGACTTTTTTTTTAGAGCACATATGTACTTCTGAAGGCGAGGTCTCCATTCTTGTATAAAGCAGTCCATATGGGGACGCAACTGAGACTTGCACAGTTGAATTACCATTTTTTTAAGTTAAAAGTTATGTTCATTATTCATAAGGTTTTGTTGGATTATTACTTTTAACAGCAGCCCCTATACTTGTTGAGTATCTTTTCATGTCTCGTTGATCACCAACTCCGACGTTATTTTCTGTATCAAACTGCTGCATGATCGTATTGTTGATGGTTTTGTAATGCCCTAAACGCATTGCATTTTCAAACGTTTTAAACGTTTTGCATTTTCAACATTTAAGAGCATTTGTCAGCATTCTTATCATTTGTCGAGTTCATGCAGATTGCTTTCCTAGGCTTCATCATGGGTTTAGCTTCCAACTTTTGTATATAGATCTCTGTGTCATTTTCAGATTTGAGATATGATTGGTGATTTAATATTATCCATGTTGTTGAATATCATCTGTGTATATTATAAAATCACGTTGTGTTGTTTCTCTAAGGTTGCACTGAGGTGGTGAATGAATGCCTCCCTTAAACATTATCTCCTTAAACATTCAAGTATGACTGGTCTGAAGTTTTCATTTGAACTTAATATGCTGCCTTTCTTGAAAATGGGTTTGGTTGGGTTAAGTTAGGTCTTCATCACTAGAGTATGTAATCTAAAGAATAATGACTGCGGAGATATGTAGTCCAATGTTAATTTTCTTTTTCAAATTTTGTTAATTTTTACTGAGATTATATATTTATATAAATATTTCTACAGTATAAAAATGAAAGTAATAAGTACTGCATTTGAATTATAAAAAAACACACAAGACCCCCACAATTTTAGCTTATAAGAGTCAGCAACACACAGATAATGTTGCGCCTCACACAGTGCCACAGATAGTGTTGCAGTTGAAGCAGTATGTAGTACGAGTTGTCTTCCTGGACAGAGAGCCAGCAAGCAGTGAAACAAGTGTTGGGCGAGGATCCTCCCCCCGGTGATACTATCTCCATTATGGTCCAAATGGTCCACGACACCGCCACCGCCTACGTTCACGGTCTCCCGGTAACTCTATCATCTACATCGCAATTTTAACATGTATTTTGAGACATACATTTTGATTTACTTTCCCAGTTTCTTGTTACTTCTTCCTTTATTTAAAGTTTTAAGATATCCTACACCTGTCCCCCCTTCATCCAACCGCCACTTCAGCCTTTACTCTGGCATAGGTACCTCTGCACAACTGCACGGCATTGATGGCTGCTGCAGGTGTGGTGACGGTAATGGTGGTCCACCCAGCCACCGCCCGTGTCATCCGTATGTACCACCACCCTGCCAACGCCCACGCACGCCCACTCCGAGCCTTCCTTGACACCCTCCAGCCCGGCCGCTTGCTCATCCTTGTTGCCTCCGTGAGTCTTTGTTTTTGTTTTTTGTACACAGGTGGGTACAGGAGATTATTTGTTACTGCAGTTATTAAGCTTTGAGTTTTCCCTTCCCAAAGCTTATCTACAAGCCTACAAGTTTACCATATTGTAGATGAAGTGAGACCGTCGCTGTTCCGAGCCTAGGGTGGGCAGAAATAACCTAGTCCTTTTGGTATGTATTTTATCTCCATAAACTTACTTGAACTTGTAGATTCTCTTCTAGCTGGACCACAACTTTATGCTGTATAAACAAGTTTTCTTTCAAAATCTATTAATTATTTCCGTGTAAAGACTAGACTTATTTCCTTCCGCTAATTCCCATGTTAACGCGGTCTTATATATTTATTAAACAACAGATATAAAATGAAATCGAGTTTAAAACTTGTTGCAATTTTAATCTGATAATTTACCTGATTTGTCTTGAGGCCTGCCATCTACCATGGCCTGGATGAGGATAGGAAGCATTAAGGTTAGTTCCTATTCCCGTACAGGTGGTGTGGGCGGAGGTGAGTGTGGAGGAGGTGGTGAGGCAGCTTGGGGCCTCCATGCCACCACAACCCACCTGGAGTCGGACGGTGTGGGTGTGGGTGGGTGTGGTGGGCGGAGGAACTCTCGGTCAAGTGGGCGGTTCTTGGCGGGTCTCCTTGGAGCTGTACTTGCCCAGAGCCCCAGGTACTGTTATTGGTGTCTGGTAGTGGTGGTACTGGTTGTGAAAGTACTAGAGTGATATTGTTAGTTACCAACCAGCAAGTAACATTAACCAAGGCCCCGAAATAATGTTACTAGTGGTGGTATTACTGGTAGGTATATCCACCAGCGAGTTATACTGATTTCATAAGCCTTCAATATTATATATATGTCACCATTAATATGTATATGCCAATTTTTCTTCCAACTCCAAGACATAATTAAATTGTCTTGTATGGATTTTAATTTTCTGAAGTAATTAACAGCCTTATTTTAGTATCATCGGTAAATGTATAAATCTTATTGTTCAATTCTGCGTGTAAATAATTTATTTATATGTAAAACAAGAGGCCCTGGGAGAGGTTCCTCGCTCGGAATAAAAAAAAAATTGTTTTAAACTAAGACCAGAGTTCATAAGGGCTGTCAATTGACGTACCTAGTGAAACTGCAAGCAAGAGCTGTTATCCTACCTCAACTCATCTGATGGCTCATAGAGACTCATTTATTTCATGAGAAATGTACTTTGAAACTATTACATAGGAAACTATCATATAGTGAAACTGCAAGCAAGAGCTGTAATCCTGCCTCAACTCGGTTAAAACCTACTCCTAGAGACCCATGTATTTCATGAGCCTATTATATGCATCAATAGGAATAAACTTTATTTTTTAAAGTGTATTTATGATAACTGCTAATTAAAGACTTTATTTATGATAACTGTTTCCTTCGAAATAACGAAGCCATAATCCAACATTACAGATATTTCCTCAACACCATGTGCATCTTGCTTTTTCATCTGTCTTTAGTAAGGTATAGTATTAAAGACACTGCTATAACAATCTTTTACACAATCGACTGCTTCAGGTTTGCTGTAAAATAGTATTTGTAACATAAGCGACTCTTAGTGTCCCTTTATTAATAAATATTTTTTAACTTGAGTTGCCTGGTGAAACTACACCTGGCGAAGCAACACATGGCATCACTAAATGAAGTTGACTTGACAGATGTTCCATGGTGTGGGTCAGCTCTTCCGTCCACACTGGACGAGCCACGATGGGCTTCTAGGGTGGAACTGTGCACCACTTATGACGGCTATGGAAACTGGTGCTTCTGTCCACCATCACCAATCCTACCCCCACCACCACCACTGGCAGCACCACCACTACCACCACCACCACTGGCAGCACCACCACTACCACTACACGCTCTCTACAACACTACAACATCCATGCCGCAGGTGACATCATTCCTCTTAATATTATCATCGTTAACCATTTTTATTTTTTTAAGAAACTATTAAGCTAGTGCAGATACATTAGTACACAGGTAACCTATCTTGACTTTACCTGAGGGGCGCCATTGCTAGTGGACTAGGATACCGACGGGTTAATGTTTCAAGCTTGGTCCCCTTCACTTTTCCTGAGGATTTTTTCCAGTTGTATGTTGAACTGGAATTCTGTCTTGATATTACGGCTTCAACGGGTAGGCGAGGTACAAATTGCCCATTCTCCAAAAATGACAGTACTAGTCTGGTAACATTAGTCATACTGGCTTAGTGTTTTCTCCTGATAATTACATTATCCTAGTCTTATAGCAATTATCGGTCAATCATACAAAAATGGACTGTTGTATCCCAAATGTTCATATTACCTATTTATTGTATAGTTAATGTTCCACGTTTTACTTTGACACCGAGCCGGTCGGCCGAGCGGACAGCACGCTGGACTTGTGATCCTGTGGTCCCGGGTTCGATCCCGGGCGCCGGCGAGAAACAATGGGCAGAGTTTCTTTCACCCTATGCCCCTGTTACCTAGCAGTAAAATAGGTACCTGGGTGTTAGTCAGCTGTAACGGGCTGCTTCCTGGGGGTGGAGGCCTGGTCGAGGACCGGGCCGCGGGGACACTAAAGCCCCGAAATGATCTCACGATAACCTGACATTTGGAGTATCGTGCGTATTACAATACATGCTGTGGACAACCATACTTAGGGGTACTCACAGGGCTTGCAGGTCAACCAGTGATACAGTAGTTGTGTCTCTGCCATAGGTGGACGTCTCCCACATAATAATGACCCTTTCTAAGATTTAAACCAAAAATCCATTACCACACGCAATGGCGGACAGATACAAGCCACCAGACAAGGTGGGCACGGCGGCCATCTTACTCACTTGATCTGTCACAAATACTGTACCTTATATGGTACATCATATACTATATATAGTATGATGTGTGTGTAAATCACGAAGAAATTAACACATGATGAACAATGTGACAATGTCAGACCACGAAGGAAGGATTAAGACAGGAGTGTCCTTTCGTATTTAATAATACATCTCAGAAGGATGGATGTACAATTCACTAGTGTGGATATATAGGCAGGAATGAGGAGATTCCTGTCTATATATCCACACCACTGAATTGTAAATCCATCCTTTATTTATTTATTTATTTATTTATTTATTTATTTATTTATTTATTTATTTATTTATTTATTTATTTATTTATAAACGAGAAGGTACATAGGGTTTGTGAGAATACATAGCATAGTATTCACAATTTTGTAAAACCACTAGTACGCGCAGCGTTTCGGGCAGGTCCTTAATCTAACAAATAATTTTAAGTAGGTAAATTCTAGCAGAATTCATAAAATGATAACAGATATATGAAGATATATGAATTAAATACAAAAGTATTTAAGGAAAATCCTGTCTTAATCCTTCTTTTGTGGTCTGACATTGTCATATAGTGTGATAAATAATATAAAATGTTTATATCATATAATTAATGAATAATTGATGTTATATAATATCATTAGGCTATGGCTGCTGGACTTGAAGACGCAGTGACTGTGGTGCTGGCCAGCAGACCGGAGTCTCTCCACAGGTAAGTGTGTTGTGGGAGGGAGAGAGAGATGAGGGAGGAGGAGGAGAGACAGTGAGAGAGACTGGTAGGGATGAAAGAGTAAATATAATAATTATTGTTTTTGCCCTCGAGCCCAGCTGTGGTGGTGTGGACGGCCCGGAGAGAATAGGTCAACGGTACGCGTCCAGAGTGAGCAACGTGTTAAGTCTTAACTGTGGTAACTTCTTATGTTAGCGGTAACAGCGCGTGTTAACTATGATAACAGCATGTGTTAACTATGATAACATGTGTTAACTATGATAACATGTGTTAACTATGATAACAACATGTGTTAAGGGGTACCATCGTATGTTAACTATGGTAACAGTATGCTAACTATGGTAAAAGTATGTTAACTATGGTAACAGTATGCTAACTATGGTAAAAGTATGTTAACTATGGTAACAGTATGCTAACTATGGTAAAAGTAGGTTAACTATGGTAACTATGTATTAACTGTGGTAACAGCGTGTGTTAAAACGGTTACAGTGTTGTTTTACAGACTGTTGGTGTCTGTGGCAGTGGCGGGGGCTCCTCTCTCCTCCGTCCTGGTCTTCGTCAGTGAACTCTCACACGAGGTTCTGAAGGTGCGTCCTTACCTCATGTTCTCTGAAGGTGCGTCCTCACCTCATGTTCTCTGAAGGTGCGTCCTCACCTCATGTTCCCTGAAGGTGCGTCCTCACCTCATGTTCTCTGAAGGTGCGTCCTCACCTCATGTTCTCTGAAGGTGCGTCCTTACCTCATGTTCTCTGAAGGTGCGTCCTTGCCTCATGTTCTCTGAAGGTGCGTCCTTGCCTCATGTTCCCTGAAGGTGCGTTCTCACATGTTATATACCACACTGTCAGCACTTCTGCACCACGGTCAATGTCCCTCACTAAGTTAGACTGAGTGGTTGTCTTGTTTAGTTTAATAATAATACAGCACTTGAATATGATGTTAATAAATCTTGTATGTGTAATAGCTGAGGCAGGTGTCATATTTGGTTTGGGTTTTAGACTTATTAGCCTCTGTAGAGGCTCGTTAAGGCCAACACGTCTACTTACTGACCAACCAGCAAGTATACTTTTAGAGTTCATCATAATTAGACTAAAGTTAGCTAATTAGATTATTACTCTTAGTTATAGCGAATATACACGGCGGAAATTATCACCTATTAATCTAAATTATATCTTATAACTAAACAGATATATAATGAATATGTTTAAGAGTCAATGTGTAATTTGTATTGTATTAACTTAAAAAATCTCTGCAGGATAACAGTAATTTGCCTGAATTATACCATAACTTTGCCTTAAATATACAATAATTATATTGTGCTTTAAACTGCAAGAATAGAACAAGTTAAGAAAAAGATATGAGACGTGAACATGTGCATAACATATGTGTTGTTTGCAGGTGTGTGAGAGTCACGGGGTGCAGGTGGAAGAGACGGGTCGAGCCTCGGACTGTACAGGACTCCATATTGCCCGCCTCTACGAGTCTGCACTCACTGCTTCTCTCATCCTCAGACCCAAGGCTGACTACTTTATCATCCTCGAGGACGACATGATTGTCGCCCCCACCTTCTACAGGTAGGTTGTTCTTAGACTCGAGTCAGCCTCGAGGACCGTTCAGTCTGGCCATCATATGGATGGGTAACCGCGTGATCAACCACCCTCTAAATAGCAGTATTGTATCTCTAGATTAGAGAGCAGCCTGTCCTCCTAAGGTTTCAAAACGTCAAGAAAACGGTTAATTTAAAGTGTCCTCTCCTAACCTACCAGAGGACCCAAAACAGAAAACGGGACAGTACGTCACTTTCGTGAGGCGCTTCCATTTTCTAGTACGAAATTTTTGGCCTTATTGTAACGCAAACGAGCGAAATGCGACGTTCTTTGTAAGAGGACAGTACCACCACCCATCCTGTGAGTGGACTCCATACCCATCCTGTGGGTGGTAGTGGACCCATACCCATCCTGTGGGTGGTAGTAGACCCATACCCATCCTGTGGGTGGTAGTGGACCCCATACTCATCCTGTGGGTGGTAGTGGACCCCATACTCATCCTGTGGGTGGTAGTGGACCCCATACTCATCCTGTGGGTGGTAGTGGACCCATAGCCATCCTGTGGGTGGTAGTGGACCCAATACCCTTCCGGTGGGTCTTTGTGGAAAAAGTTACAAAGGCTCATAATGGGCTCAGGAATTCGACCACAAAATTTATTTACCTGAAGGCTACTATATTTCTGATGGCCCTGATGGGGACGAGAAGCCGGCGGCTTGTCAAAGTTACAGTATTGTTAAACTAGTTACATTACTAACAGTTTAATCTTGTAATATATATATATATATATATATATATATATATATATATATATATATATATATATATATATATATATATATATATATGCGAACAAGCCTGAATGGTCCCCAGGACAATATGCAACTGAATTTTATATATATATATATATATAAAATATATCTTTTTATATATATATATATATATATATATATATATATATATATATATATATATATATATATATATATATATATATATATATATATCAACACTGGGATAAAAATAGGATCAAACAGTTTCAAAGTTAAGTCATTGACATTTGCAGTGAGCTAGTTGCATTTACTTCCATTTACTTATATCATACACTCCACACCTATCTAATGGGCGGGGGTGGAGAGTTTACAGTCATACACATATGCTCTATCTACAGTCAGCAAATTTGGGATATTTTTCTAAGGGTTTCTGGTTGTACATTATATTGAATGAAATCCTGGAATGAATGAGAGAGTGAGGGGAATGAATGAGATAAAATAGAGAAAGGGAGTATGTTAGGGAGGGAGGGGCTGGTGAGAGGAGGGCAGAGGTGGCGATGAGGGAGGTGGGTGATGGGGGGGGGGAAGGGGTAACGGGAGAAGGGAGGGGGAAAGGCCGGCACAGGGCTGCTGGAATGTTATCATAGAGTTGATCACCAAGTTAGGCTGAACCAGTACTGTTAGCAGGAGCAGTATGCCAGGAATGTACCCGGAATGCCGCTCCCCGCCTGCAGGCTCTCTAGCTCCTACACGCTACTGCTGGTCAGGTCTTCAGCTCCTGGGCCCGCCTGCAGGCTCTCTAGCTCCTACACGCTACTGCTGGTCAGGTCTTCAGCTCCTGGGCCCGCCTGCAGGCTCTCTAGCTCCTACACGCTACTGCTGGTCAGGTCTTCAGCTCCTGGGCCCGCCTGCAGGCTCTCTAGCTCCTACACGCTACTGCTGGTCAGGTCTTCAGCTCCTGGGCCCGCCTGCAGGCTCTCTAGCTCCTACACGCTACTGCTGGTCAGGTCTTCAGCTCCTGGGCCCGCCTGCAGGCTCTCTAGCTCCTACACGCTACTGCTGGTCAGGTCTCCAGCTCCTGGGCCCGCCTGCAGGCTCTCTAGCTCCTACACGCTACTGCTGGTCAGGTCTTCAGCTCCTGGGCCCGCCTGCAGGCTCTCTAGCTCCTACACGCTACTGCTGGTCAGGTCTCCAGCTCCTGGGCCCGCCTGCAGGCTCTCTAGCTCCTACACGCTACTGCTGGTCAGGTCTTCAGCTCCTGGGCCCGCCTGCAGGCTCTCTAGCTCCTACACGCTACTGCTGGTCAGGTCTCCAGCTCCTGGGCCCGCCTGCAGGCTCTCTAGCTCCTACACGCTACTGCTGGTCAGGTCTTCAGCTCCTGGGCCCGCCTGCAGGCTCTCTAGCTCCTACACGCTACTGCTGGTCAGGTCTTCAGCTCCTGGGCCCGCCTGCAGGCTCTCTAGCTCCTACACGCTACTGCTGGTCAGGTCTTCAGCTCCTGGGCCCGCCTGCAGGCTCTCTAGCTCCTACACGCTACTGCTGGTCAGGTCTTCAGCTCCTGGGCCCGCCTGCAGGCTCTCTAGCTCCTACACGCTACTGCTGGTCAGGTCTCCAGCTCCTGGGCCCGCCTGCAGGCTCTCTAGCTCCTACACGCTACTGCTGGTCAGGTCTTCAGCTCCTGGGCCCGCCTGCAGGCTCTCTAGCTCCTACACGCTACTGCTGGTCAGGTCTCCAGCTCCTGGGCCCGCCTGCAGGCTCTCTAGCTCCTACACGCTACTGCTGGTCAGGTCTTCAGCTCCTGGGCCCGCCTGCAGGCTCTCTAGCTCCTACACGCTACTGCTGGTCAGGTCTCCAGCTCCTGGGCCCGCCTGCAGGCTCTCTAGCTCCTACACGCTACTGCTGGTCAGGTCTCCAGCTCCTGGGCCCGCCTGCAGGCTCTCTAGCTCCTACACGCTACTGCTGGTCAGGTCTTCAGCTCCTGGGCCCGCCTGCAGGCTCTCTAGCTCCTACACGCTACTGCTGGTCAGGTCTTCAGCTCCTGGGCCCGCCTGCGGGCTCTCTCCTACACTGTACCACTGGTCAGGTCTTCAGCTCCTGGGCCCGCCTGCGGGCTCTCCTACACTGTACCACTGGTCAGGTCTTCAGCTCCTGGGCCCGCCTGCGGGCTCTCTCCTACACTGTACCACTGGTTAGGTCTTCAGCTCCTGGGCCCGCCTGTGGGCTCTCCTACACTGTACCACTGGTCAGGTCTTCAGCTCCTGGGTCCGCCTGTGGGCTCTCCTACACTGTACCACTGGTCAGGTCTTCAGCTCCTGGGCCCGCCTGTGGGCTCTCTCCTACACTGTATCTATGACCAGGACTTCAGTGGTTGAAAATAGTTGTTACATAAAGCACACATTTATTTAAGGCACTATTCCGCAAAGCGTTTTGGATGATTCTAACAAGTAAATGAAATTTGTTGTGTTGCAGATGGATGGGAAGAGGTCGGGAGGTGCTGAAGAGCAGTGAAGAGTTTGTGTGTGTGAACAGCCTGACCCAGTATGACCTGTACACACACTACACCTATCACAACCCTCACAGTCCAGAAGTCAACCAGCCTCACGGACTGGTCCACCAGGCTGTTGAGGCCAGGAAAGTGTCTACCAAGACTCCAGGCTATGTTAGCAGAAGATGGACTTCAAGAGGCACTGAGGGTGACATCTCTGACGGCGCAGACGCCACGACCAGCAGCAGCGGAGGTTACCATAACAATCTTCATACTAGCCACACATCTTTAAACAACAGCAAACGCAATTCTCCTTTCCTGCCACGCCAAATTAAGCTAAGAGAGGCGTCTGCAGGAAGGACGGGTCCTCCGGTGCCGTCGAAGCTAGAGGCGTCCATGGCTGCCGTAAGGAAGGACGAACCATCCGTGGCAAGTAATATGGATGATAAGAATGTAAAGGCAGCCAGGGAGGGCAGCCAAAGGTCTGGGGTGAGGTTGATGGCTGGGTGGGCAGCAGCCCGGACCGTAGTGGAAGCATTGATCAGGTCCTGGCCTCTGGCGGTAAGTACCTCAACTTTACCCTACCATTTCAACCCAACTCCCCTTTCTAACTATCAAATTATCAAAATATATATTCCTATTACGATTCTAACCAATTACCAAATTGCCATGTTTGAGACTTTAGATGAACTTAACTGATAGTATTGGAAATTTGCTTACGTGTTAGGGTAGTGCATTGGGATCTGTTTATATTGGTGTGTGGTCGGTACTGTGGTGGTTGTCACCCCTGGTACTGGTACTGTGGTGGTTGTCACCCCTGATACTGGTACTGTGGTGGTTGTCACCCCTGGTACTGGTACTGTGGTGGTTGTCACCCCTGGTACTGGTACTGTGGTGGTTGTCACCCCTGGTACTGGTACTGTGGTGGTTGTCAACCCTGGTACTGGTACTGTGGTGGTTGTCACCCCTGGTACTGGTACTGTGGTGGTTGTCACCCCTGAGACTGGTACTGTGGTGGTTGTCACCCCTGGTACTGGTACTGTGGTGGTTGTCACCCCTGAGACTGGTACTGTGGTGGTTGTCACCCCTGAGACTGGTTACTTATACAACCACGCATGACCATACAACATGACCATACAACATGACCATACAACATGACCATACAACATGACCATACAACATGACCATACAACATGACCATACAACATGACCATACAACATGACCATACAACATGACCATACAACATGACCATACAACATGACCATACAACATGACCATACAACATGACCATGCAATATGGCCATACAACATGACCATACAACATGACCATACAACATGACCATACAACATGACCATACAACATGACCATACAACATGACCATACAACTTGACCATACAACATGACCATACAACATAACCATACAACATGACCATACAACATGACCATACAACATGACCATACAACATGACCATACAACATGACCATACAACATGACCATACAACATGACCATACAACATGACCATACAACATGACCATACAACATGACCATACAACATGACCATACAACATGACCATGCAATATGGCCATACAACATGACCATACAACATGACCATACAACATGACCATACAACATGACCATACAACATGACCATACAACATGACCATACAACATGACCATACAACATGACCATACAACATGACCATACAACATGACCATACAACATGGCCATACAACATGACCATACAACATGACCATACAACATGACCATACAATATGGCCATACAACATGACCATACAACATGACCATACAACATGACCATACAACATGACCATACAACATGACCATACAACATGACCATGACCATACAACATGACCATACAACATGACCATACAACATGGCCATACAACATGACCATACAACATGACCATACAACATGACCATACAATATGGCCATACAACATGACCATACAACTTGACCATACAACATGACCATACAATATGGCCATACAACTTGACCATACAACATGACCATACAACATGACCATACAACTTGACCATACAACTTGACCATACAACATGACCATACAAGAGTGTATACAGCAAGACATAACCATTAAGGCAGCTAAGAGGAGAGACAGAAGACGAGCGCCGCCTGGACCTACCGTCTAACACCAGAGGTACGTAACTGTCTCTCTCCCTGGTACAGAAGCGAGACGTTGATTGGGAGACCCTTGTGGACGTCTGGGCCGGCCCTGCACCCTGTCTCACGCCCGCACGCCCACATGCCGTCCACGCCCGAGCCTCCCACCACCACACCCTGGGAGATGACCTGCCTCCCATCCTGTTATGACCCCTCACCACACCCTGGGAGATGACCTGCCTCCCATCCTGTTATGACCCCTCACCACACCCTGGGAGACAGGATGCAGGCCACACCTCCTAACAAACCAAATTACCAATAAGCAAAAGTAAAATAAATAAATAATGTGATTTGTATAGCTAATTTTAGACGGGAACTTAGCTATCAAATTTTCCCAGGCCTAAGCTCTACATTTGTCTTCATGCCTTTATTAGTTATTAAAATACTACTTTCATGCAGGAAGTATTAGAGCAGCGCTGAGGTCTCCGGCGGCCGCTACACAAGCGCACTGTGTCACTTGCCGGAGAAGGAAAGTTTCGAGAAATTTCTAGGCAGAGAAATTTCTGTAAAAATATTTCGAAATGTGGGTGGTAGTGGACCCCCATACCCAGGCTGTGGGTGATAGTGGGCCCCCATACCCAGCCTGTGGGTGGTAGTGGGCCCCCATACCCAGGCTGTGGGTGGTAGTGGGCCCCCATACCCAGCCTGTGGGTGGTAGTGGACCCCCATACCCAGGCTGTGGGTGGTAGTGGGCCCCCATACCCAGCCTGTGGGTGGTAGTGGACCCCCATACCCAGGCTGTGGGTGGTAGTGGACCCCCCATACACAGGCTGTGGGTGGTAGTGGACCCCCATACCCAGCCTGTGGGTGGTAGTGGACCCCCATACCCAGGCTGTGGGTGGTAGTGGACCCCCATACCCAGCCTGTGGGTGGTAGTGGACCCCCATACCCAGCCTGTGGGTGGTAGTGGGCCCCATACCCAGCCTGTGGGTGGTAGTGGGCCCCATACCCAGGCTGTGGGTGGTAGTGGACCCCATACCCAGGCTGTGGGTGGTAGTGGACCCCCATACCCAGCCTGTGGGTGGTAGTGGACCCCCATACCCAGCCTGTGGGTGGTAGTGGACCCCCCATACACAGGCTGTGGGTGGTAGTGGACCCCATACCCAGCCTATGGGTGGGTCAACTAATTATCATTATTTACGTGTCAATTATTTCATTGTAATTGATTCTTCACTGCCAATTATTTGTTAAAAGCTTCACGTGTAGGATTTGGATTGTCACTTTTATTTTATGTTAATATTGACAAATAATTGGCATTAAGTAAGACATGTACTATTATAGTTGGAACGGTTAATTCATTTGTTATTGTACAATTCTCTAACTATTGTATTGAAAATTTAAGTAATAAATTTATATTCCTATTCCGAGTTTCGCTTGACCTAGAAATTAAAGGTTTAATTTGCTTATGAAGCCCCTCGAATACTTACACATTTATTGACCAGTAATAGATCTATAAATTCTGAAATATTTTCACCTTCAGTTATATACTGACGTAAGATATGTGACTAGCTGTGCTGACAGTTACTTCAAGAGCTACTACACACTTCCACAGGTACCTTGCTCAAGCCTAGCACCAGCAATCCTCTTTTGGTTCTTTTGATTCACAAGCTTAAGTACCCACAACAATGTGCTGCTACTATGTTGAGTATATATATATATATATATATTTACACACATATATATATATATAATATATATATATATATATATATATATATATATATATATATATATATATATATATATATATATATATATATATAACTGAAAACTCACACCCCAGAAGTGACTCGAACCCATACTCCCAGATGCCACGCAACTGGTATGTACAAGACGCCTTAATCCACTTGACCATCACGACCGGACAAAATGAGGTGATAGCCAAGGCTATTTAAACCACCCCACTGCCGGCACTCGGATAGTAATCTTGGGCATAGCATTTTACCAAATCACCTCATCCTATGCTATGCTATGCCCAAGATTACTATCCGAGTGCCGGCAGTGGGGTGGTTTAAATAGCCTTGGCTATCACCTCATTTTGTCCGGTCGTGATGGTCAAGTGGATTAAGGCGTCTTGTACATACCAGTTGCGTGGCATCTGGGAGTATGGGTTCGAGTCACTTCTGGGGTGTGAGTTTTCAGTTGCATATTGTCCTGGGGACCATTCAGGCTTGTTCGCATATATATATATATATATATATATATATATATATATATATATATATATATATGCATGGAATGAGGACAAACACGAGATGCTAGTCTAGAGTGTGCTAGCCAGCACCAGGGAACAATGGGTGTACTACACATCTAGAATGGGATATTACCTTTTGATATATACTCCATAATACATCATAGAGAACAGTGTAGTAGCACATTGCTGTGCGTACCTGTCTTATAAAATGTCCAAAAGTCTGCTGATTTTATATGATCTCTATATATATGGGGCACTTCCTGCACTATAGTACGATGGTAGATAGAATAACAAGCGTGAATTTCACTTTGCCTCAGGTGTACTGAACTGTGTTGGAGATGTCGGTATATTGGTGCTCCTGAGGCTGCTCAGAGGCAGTTCTAGATGGTAATCAACTCCCTCTTTAAGACCCCATGCTTAGGCTAACTCAGCACTTCTATCATGCATTTAGAGACCAATATGGGACGGCATCCATAGGAGACATATTATGATTTCATCATTGATTATTTTAATATAGCTGTGACTTCCTTGAGGCACTAGCACTAATATGTTGAAGTGTACATAGCCACCTCTTTTTGTTCACAGTCAAAGTTGCATTCTGGAGAATATATAATACTGTGTTGAGCTGCTCTCAGTATGGTAGTCTTATACAAGCATTGCTGTCTAATCATTCATTATGCCAGAATATAGTGACATTGACTAATAACGTACGTCATAATGCTAGCAAAACTATGCCATGCGTTGATTCAATCGCAAAACGAGTTTAAAACTAATATTAATCGCGGAGGAATTATATGGCAAGAATCTAGTGAATTGTTGCAGGACATGTTGAGAATTCATAACTTGTAGTGTAAATAAATTATCTATAAGTCACTGGGTTACTCATTTTTTCCCGACATTTACAATTTTGAGGCGACTTTCAGTGATGTAAAATAAGTTAGAGATGAGTGTGTGAGAGTAGAGGGGCTAGAGGTGTTAGTGTATTATGTGAGGGAGTGGGATCAATGGCCGCTGTTGTACTAGGCCGGCACACACACCCCACACACACACACACACACACACACACACACACACACACACACACACACACACACACACACACACACACACACACCCACAATAACATTCATCAAGGTTTATTGTGATGATTGTTTAGATTAATTTATATATTATGCGCCCCAGCCTTGTATACGGGTAATTATTTACAAGGAGGCACATATATGGGATCAGGGGGCTCAACCCCCCCTCCCCAGCCGTATATGCGAATTTGTTTACTTGTAGTTATACAGAGGTAACATATACTCAACAGTCTATAGGTAATAAGTGCAGAAAAGTGAATTTTGTAAGATATCACGTTTAAAAATTGGCTAGGCCTATAACAAGACCTAATAACGTAAGAGGCCTGACAGTACACATATATACATACATTTCCCTGTGAAGCCTGGGTCTCTGGCCGTCTGTCTGTCTGTCTATCTTTCTGGCTGTCTGTCTGTCTCTTAGAACATTCATTATATGTGCCTCATAAACACACAACATAACATTATTTTTACTTTCTTACTGTAATAGAACGCTGTAACATCATTGTGTGATGAACAACCAAAAAAAAATATATAATGAAAACTCTATGGAAAACCAAACCCCTATTTCAGATGTTGTAGGTGTCGTTGGTTGTCGCAATAGGAACCAATTCTACTTTAAACAAGGGCATGGGGTCTTCCCCGATTTTCCTATACTGTCCTCCATACAATCACATCCTTGTAATATATCCCTTCAGAGGCTGATGGCTAGACCTATAAAGACATACACCAATTAAACATACCAAGAATGTACGATAACAATATAATTATTTCTAAAAATTAAAATATTGGTCGATTTAACGCTTTAATTAAGACCAATATCAAACCATGCCGAAGGATATTTTATACCTAAAAATATGTAACCATATTTTGGTATATATGTGCTGAGAGATTAGTCCAGGACTAAACTGTAACTGACCATGGTTGGTCAGTAAGCTATCGTAGTGGCCTTAACCAGGCTTAATAACCATTGATAGGCCTTATAAGCTCATAAACACTAATTAATGGACGTTGCGAGTTATATATACACCGGTAAGTGTATTCCACGAAGTGTATATACACAGTCTACTTTTGTCCCGGACTAAACTGATATAATTATTCAGATCACAACTGTGGTGGCCTTAATAACCACTGGTAGGCCTTAAGCTGATTTTTTGTTCTATTTTGTTCATTTATTGTGCACCTCATGCCCCTCTCGTGGACGGTATTGGGGAAAGATTACAGAGACACATAATGGGCTCAGGCAAAGAAATAAAAAAAAACTCATTGAATAAATAAGTTAGACTATGATAGGCCTTCAGCCTGGGAGCAATGGGCGCCGCGCTTGTCTTCTGTTTACAAACCGCGATGTAAACAAAAATCGCTTTGCGTCCTCCTCGCTTCTTCCTTCAAATCTTCATCTACCTCATGTCACAGGTCGCGGCGTAGCGGTGCAGTGATGGCTGGGGTTGTGGCGGTGCATGTGGGTGAGTACTGGCGCTGTGAGGGGCTGTGAGGCGCTGTGAGACGTGTCGGGAGAGGCGCTGTGAGGGAGGCGGCGGTCTGCACGGCCTCAACTGCCAGGCCTCGCTAGGCCTCGTTAGGCCTTGCCAGGCCTTGGTAGGCCACGCTATGCATCGCCAGGCCTCGCTAGGCCATGCTAGGCCTCGCTAGGCTTTCTTAGGCATCGTCGGGTATGGCTAAGCCTCGTTAGGTCTTCCTAGGCCTTGTGAGGCCTCGCCTAACCTCTAGGCCTTGTCAGGCCTCTTCGAGCCTCGCTAGGCCTTGCCAAGCCCTGTTGGGTCTCGCTAGGCCTTGCCAGGCCAAGCCTTACTAAACATTACAAGGCATTATTAGGTCTCGCCAAACATTGCTAGGTCTCACCAGGCCTTCCCAGGCATTATATTAGTAATATTCAGACACACAACAGATATCTTGGGAAGCCTTGTAAGCTATTGCCAACCAGGAGGTTAATTACTTAATTTAATAGGCCTAAGACTAAGGAAATGTTTACTTCTAATCCTCTTTAGGCCTTACTTGGAGTATACCTGGATAGGGTTCTAGGAGTTGTTCTACTCCCTAAGCCTGGCCTGAGGCCAGGCCCATTTTGTGATAACTTCGTCCACCAAGCTGTTGCTTGGAGTGGCCCGCAGGTCCACATATCCACTACAGCCTGGTTGGTCTGGCATTTCTTGCAACTCTCTGAGTGTTCCTATGACACCAGCTCTACTCCTCACTGATTCTATTTTGCATTTCCTTCTGTGTCTCTCGCTCCAGTATGTTGTTATTCTACTGTACAAATTTGGAACCTGACCTTCAAGTACATTCAAGTATCATGACCTTGCCTCAATTAGTCATACAACATCACTGTTACTCTTTTTAAATAGGCCTAATATACTTTTTATTTATTTATTTATATATATACAAGAAGTTACTAGTACATTTGGTTTGTGAGGATACATAGCATGGTGTTTACATTCTTGTAAAGCCACTAGTATGCGCAGCGTTTCGGTCAGGTCTTTAATCTAACAGATAATTTTCAGTAGTTAAATTCTAGAAAAAATTATAAAATGATAACAGGTACATTGCAAAAAAAAAATGAGATGAGAGAGATTAGTAGGTATATTAAAGCACATCGGTAGCTCTGATTAATTGCATTGACAGCTTGATTGGTAATTTAACTAAGATTAATAGGCACAATACAGCATATTGATAGCACATATAAGAAGACAGCAATGATCACAATGGTAAAGTTGTTTATATTAGGTACATAAAGATTGGGGGATTGGGTAGCACTAGATACAGTGCAAATTTTAAAGCACAAGGTAGGAAACTATGAAGATGAAATTAGGTACTTTTTAGTTTTGTTTTTGAATGATGCAAAAGATGGACATCTTTTCAATTCAGTAGGGAGTGCATTCCATAGACTGGGTCCCTTTATTTGCATAGTGTTTACACAGATTAAGTTTGACTCTGGGGATATCAAAGAGATATTTATTTCTTGTGTGGTGATAATGGGTTCTATTACATCTGTCCAGGGAGAGTTTCAGAGCAGGGTTTGCATTTAAGAACAGGGTTTTGTGAATATAATTGACACAAGAGAATGTGTGGAGTGAGTTTATGTTTAACATGTTTAGGGAATTAAACAAGGGGGCTGAGTGATGTCTGAAAGCAGAGTTTGGCTATAGGCTATTTTGACTATAGGGTAACCAAATCCCAACTTTACCTAACTTTTTCAACCTAGCCTAACTTATCCTAAACTATAACAACCCAGCCTATCCTAATCTGTCTCAGCCTAATTTATCCCAATGTAACATAACTAGCCTTAACTATTCTAACCTGTCCCAGCTTAGCCTAAACTAGCCTAACCTATCCCAACTTAGAATAACCTAGCCTAATATATTGTAATTAAGCCTATTGCAACTTAGCCTAGCCAATCACACCCTAGCCTAGCCAATCACACCTTAGCCTAGCCTAGCCTGTCGCACCCTAGCCTAGCCTATCGCACCCTAGCCTAGCCTCTCGACCCCTAGCCTAGCATATCGCACCCAACCCTAACCTATCGCCCCCTAGCTTTGCCTATTCCAACCTAACACAATTTATGTAAATTTAGTTTTAAAATATAGTGTATAGTATGGTACTCTGTGAGGGGGAAGTAATGTTGTTGCCATATTCTGGTTGCATTCAGGGATGTTTTGGATAGATATCTCAGGAGGCCTTTTACAGGCTTACACCAACTGAAGAAGCTACAGTATTTACTTCATGAGTAGGCCTAAGGGAAAATTGTGCAATGCAAGCAAAGTTACTTAATCCTGCTTGCAGTGGCCTATGCCAAATAATATTTTTTTTAATATGAGGCCTTGCCCTACATCACAAGCTGTGTATTAGTTTTAAATTAAGTAGTTACAAATGTCTGGTAACTAGGGAGGTCTTGCCGTGCCAACTTAAAGGTTTATTACTGACTATATAGGCTTAAGGAAAATTATATACTCAGGTCATGTCCTACCACACAGGACTAAGAAACAGTTTTAGCAGTCTTAGCTACTGCAGGCCCCGTGGTGCAGAAGTAAAACAATCGCCCCATGCTTCATAAGCAATTTGGCCTGGATTCGTATCCTGTATATGTACTTACCTAGTTGTACTTACCTAGTTGTGCTTGCAGGGGTTGAGCTCTGGCTCTTTGGTCCCGCCTCTCGACGGTCAATCAACTAATATACAGGTTCCTGAGCCTACTGGGTTCTATTATATCTACACTTAAAGTTGTGTATGGAGTCAGCCTCCACCACATCACTTCCTAATGCATTCCATTTGTCAACTACTCTGACACTAAAAAAGTTCTTTCTAATATCTCTGTGGCTCATTTGGGCACTCAGTTTCCACCTGTGTCCCCTTGTGCGTGTTCCCCTTGTGTTAAATAGACTGTCTTTATCTACTCTATCAATCCCCTTCAGAATCTTGAATGTGGTGATCATGTCCCCCCTAACTCTTCTGTCTTCCAGCGAAGTGAGGTTTAATTCCCGTAGTCTCTCCTCGTAGCTCATACCTCTCAGCTCGGGTACTAGTCTGGTGGCAAACCTTTGAACCTTTTCCAGTTTAGTCTTGTCCTTGACTAGATATGGACTCCATGCTGGAGTTGCATACTCCAGGATTGGTCTGACATATGGGGTATACAAAGTTCTGAAGGATTCCTTACACAAGTTTCTAAAGGCCATTCTTATGTTAGCTAACCTGGCATATGCCGCTGATGTTATCCTCTTGATAACTTCAGGGGACAAGTCTGGGGTGATATCAACCCCCAGGTCTTTCTCTCTCTCAGACTCGAAGTATTTCATCTCCCAAATGATACCTTGTATCTGGTCTCCTGCTCCCTACACCTATCTTCATTACATTGCATTTGCTTGGGTTAAACTCTAACAACCATTTCTTCAACCATTCCTGCAGCTTGTCTAGGTCTTCTTGAAGCCTCAAGCTGTCCTCCTTCGTCTTAATCCTTCTCATAATTTTGGCGTCGTCAGCAAACATTGAGAGGAATGAGTCTATACCCTCTGGGAGATCATTTACGTATATCAGAAACAGGATAGGTCCGAGTACAGAGCCCTGTGGGACTCCACTGGTGACTTCATGCCAATCTGAGGTGTCACCCCTCACTGTAACTCTCTGCTTCCTATTACTTAGGTACTCCTGTATCCACTGGAGCACCCTACCAGTTACTCCTGCCTGTTTCTCCAGCTTATGCATCAGCCTTTTATGGAGTACTGTGTCAAAGGCTTTCCGACAATCCAAAAAAAAATACAGTCCGCCCATCCTTCTCTTTCCTGCTTAATCTTTGTCACCTGATCGTAGAATTTTATTAAGCCTGTAAGGCAAGATTTACCCTCCCTGAACCCATGTTGATGGGTTGTCACGAAGTCCCTTCTCTCCAGATGTGTTACTAGGTTCTTTCTTACGATCTTCTCCATCACCTTGCATGGTATACAAGGACACTGGCCTGTAGTAATTTCAAACCCTTCCAAGGTCGCCTGGTTTACTGCCACCTCTCCTAGCACAGTGACCTCTCCTTGTTCTGTTGTGAAGGCCTCCTGGAACCTCTTGTTGAGTTCCTCACACACCTCTTTGTCATTCTCTGTGTACCTGTCCTCACCTGTTCCTTCATTGTTGTTTTCCTCCTGATGTGACTGTGTAGTAGCTTTGGTTCAGTCTTGGCTTTATTAGCTATATCATTTTGAGACTTGCTTCTCTGTGGGATGAATATACTGTATATAAACATATATATTCATGTTGACAAAGGGCCAGATCGGCCGAAACGTTCATTTCTCTTGCCCATTTCTCTGTTGATTTTCCGCATACAAATGATCAGCGTTTAGTGATCATCAAATGCATGCATGCATATGCTTATGCATATGCATATATATATATTATATATATGGAGGCCTCCGTATGTGTATTTATGGGAGCTGGGAGTGCATGTTATATCTTACCATAACCTTCCTTTTTTATATTCTTACCTTAACCTTCCTTCCATATTCCTTACCTTAACCTTCCTTCCTTACATACATCGTTACCTTTACCTTCCATCCTTACAACCTTACCTTAACCTTCCTTACATTCTTATCTTAACCTATCTTCCTTACAACCTTACCTTCCTACTTATCCTACCATCTTTTCTCTTTGTGTAATTGTGTTTGTTTTTCAGGTGCCGGGAGTCACTCCTCGTCCCTCAAAGGAGAATACAAGAAATTAATGAAGAAGGCGTGCAACCAGGCAGGTTTTGCTCCTACTACCTTATAGTACAGTTCAACCTATATTCAACGAGCTACAGTATATGGAACCACTCCCAATTTGTTTCAGTGAGGAATTTGTTGCAATCAGAGATGCCTCCAGGATGTATTTTCCCTGCCCTCTGGGCTAATTTTACTTGGAGACATTTTAAATTCAACATATAATAAATAACAACCAAATGAACATGTTGCAAAAGTATTTAACCACATCTAGCTTATTTCTCACGTTCCCAGCCTCAAAACTTATTTTCAAAATGAACAAGGGCATACCTGAGTGAGCAAAAACCTTGCCAACTCAAAATGAAAATACACAATAGAATTTGGTTTTAAGATCCTCAATAGCTTTCCCAAGGGTTCAGTTGTTTCTTGTAATATATCTGCAAAAATCATCAAAAACGTGATTGGAGCTATATTAAGAGTGTTACCATTCAGACACAAATATTTCACATGCTCTATGGGCTGATTTCACCAAGTGAAAGTTTAATTTTATCCCATCATATGAAGGACAACTTCCAAGAGAACATGTTTGAAAGAGATTTAACTACATCAGCATATTTCCCACGCCTCAGCCTCAAAATCTAATTTTCCAAGGAAAAAGGGCTCATATTTTATGGAACAAAAACCTCTGCAACTAGAAATAAAAAACAAACAGAATTTGGCTTTAAATGTGATCAGTTTCTTTTCCAAAGCCCCAACAATTTCTTGTAATGATTCCTCCATCTGTAAATGTGGTCCCAATGCATTTGGCCTGGGTTCGTATCCAGGCCAGGAAGGGATTACTAGGCGCCAATCCTTAACTGTACACCTGTTCACCCAGCAGAGTATGGGTATGGGTACCTGGTTGTTAAACAATTTGGCAGGTCATAAATCTAATGAAACTTAAGATTAAGGACCTTCCTGAATGGCTATGCATGCTAGTGACTTCACAAGAATGTAAGAACTCTCATATAGTACTGTACTGTATATAAAATTATAAAAAATGGGGATTCGCCAAAGCGAGGTTCGATGAATCAAGGTTCCACTGTTTACTGTACTTGTATTTGTGTAGTCATCTCCCATCATTTATTTATTGGTGTGTGTCATTATGTTCTGCAAGTTTATTGTTGAATATACAGCACTAGTAAATGTAATTCAGATATTTTTAGTACTAAATCAGAACTGTTAATTAAACTTTTGGTATCTTTGTACAATAATGAATTTTTGTTTCAATAAATCATCTTTTGATGAAATATTTTAATATACAATATTATACATTGCAGGCCATAGCAGTCCTTCAAGGGGGTGGGAATGCTGTGGATGCAGTGTGTACTGCCACGCAGGTGTTGGAAGACTCCCCTCGCACTAACGCAGGATTTGGGTCTTCCCTAACAGCTGATGGTAATTTTCTCTACCGATACGTGTGACTTAATGCTACCTGATTTTATAAGAAGATAAAAATTAAGTAAACTGCAGAAAGCAGGTGCCTGGTTGCCTTCCTCTTACTCATTAAAAACATGTGGCTATAAAACTAGTCCTCTTCACACACTCTCGGTTTTATAATTCTGTATATGTAAGAGAACAAAAAGGATTACATTCAGTTACAAATACAGGGACTATAAAATGAAGAATAAAAATAACACATAAAAATATCAGTCGTCACAATGTAAACTGGAGAACTTTATATTCAGGAAAGACCTGGGTAAATACTGGCTTGAAAACAAGGTTGTTGATTAAGGAAACAAATTTCTGGGTAAAATGTAATACTGTAGATGTGGAATTGCTGAATTGTTTCAAGCGTAAGTTGAATTAATTTGGTTGGGTATCTCTGCCTTGTATGGGTCAATAGAACCTGGGTCATATGGGCCAATAGGAGCTGTCTCATGTGGGCTAATAGTAACTGCCTCGCATGGCCAATAGAAGCTGTCTCACATGGGCTAATAGGAGTTGCCTTGTATGGGCCAGTAGGCCATCTGCAGTTCCTTTATTCTTATGTTCTGTAATGGGTGCATATCTAATGAAATTTATAATTTATTCTTCTCTAGAACACTGTTGTAAGGAAAAAAACAAAAAATATTGTTTGCTTGTGGTAATTTGGCTTAAGAGAAAGTAGGTGAGGATAAGGTTGACTATATCCAGACAGTTGTCAGTGACTGCCTGCCTCTTCTTATCAAAACCTGTATGCTTGCACCTGCATTACTGGATATAACTAAATTACAACAATACCAAATACTTTTGTAACATGTTAAAACATAAAAGGCATCTAATAACAAATACTTGGAGTATAATAGATTGGCTTTTTCGTGACATTGCTTCTTACAAAAAAATATTAGAGTAATATTTTGTTAAGCCATAAATGCAATGGGTTAAACTTTGCATTATGTGGATTTATGGTCCTTGAACTGTAGAATAACATAATGGGTGTACACTGAGAAAAGTGTATTATAAATACAAGATGCCATTCATCATCCCCACCAATGAAGACAAGATCTATAGGATGTCCAGAAAATGGTCAACATAATCCCAATAATTAAAAAAAAAGTGACAGACAGGAGGCACTAAGAAGTCACTGACATGTACACCATGTAAAGGGCTGGAGAGAGTAATCAGGTTGAGAATAATGAAAAATCATGCCTAACAAACTTGATACTTCCATGTCAAGTTATTGGATAAGATAGGAGAAAGTAGGGTGGGTAGACTGCATCCTCTTAGACTGTCAAAAAGCACTTGATACTGTTCCTCCTGCAAGGCTGATATACAAAAAAGGCAAGCAGGAATAACTAAAAAAAAACCATTGAAATGGGTAAGGGAATATCTTGTAGTCAGAAAGCATTGGATCACAATCAGAGGTGTCAAGTTGGAGGGATGTGGCAAGTGGGGTCTCCCATCAGTTCCAAGATTAATGCTATTCCTAATTAATTTCTTAGTGACCTACCTACCTGAATGAACTGGTATATATCCGTTAGCAGACGATTCAAAGCTAAGAAGTTATTACAGGACTACCTTGAATATGCATATGAAATGGAAATAAACAAGGGCCTATTATGGAAGAGGGAGAAGCCAGCAACATCGCCACTGTAGATGTACCTATAACAACACTTTGATAGATACCCATACTGTATTATATGCCAATACTGTACTTGGTACTGATATTGATACTGTCTTTTATATTAATACTGTACTTCTGTACTATAAATGACCAATACAGTACTTTATATTTTCTGTCATATAACAGAACAATACCCACCTGTAAAAAAAAAAATAGTACCGTATGTGTATATGTTTTAACTACTTTTTAACAGTTTTTTGTAGCACTGATACTGTGCTACAAAAGTAGGCAGATATTACTGATACCAATGCATTGGTAAATGTCTAATCACTATGATAATAAGCCAACATATTGTAATGTTTTGTAGATTTTCAGGTTGTAGGACATTCCAGTTCTAGCGACAAATTTGAATGCAAATTTTATGTCTGACCGTAATGTAATTGATAAGTTTCATGCTTTATTATCTCAGTTAATACTGTATATAAACAAATTTGTGCAAACTATTAATGCATTTATTTCTTAAATAATAGGTGGAGTAGAGTGTGATGCAAGTGTAATGGATGGACACACGCTACGTCATGGGGCAGTTGGTGCCGTGCCGGGTGTGAGGAACCCCGTGCTGCTGGCCAGACAGATCCTTGATGCACAGTCACAACCTCTGCCTGGCGGCCTTGTTCCTCCCAGGTTAATCCAACTTTCATGTTTTATTATTTGCATGCCATTGGGGACAGGGTTGTCTGGTGATATGATTGGTCAGGCTGGTGCCTGCAGCTGTCTACAAGCCCACTTATCTATTGCAATCTGACAGATCTGATAGTTCCTGAAGAAATTTGTTCAATTGGGTTTTGTAATCACTTGTGTTCCAACAATATTAATGTGTTCCAGAATCTCCCAGATGCAACCAAAATTTTTTAAGGGGAACCATGTAGAATTCACTGTGGAACAGAAAAAATAATTGTACGTTAACCTAACAATCATTTGAGCCATCTATGGAATATATATTCAAATAGTTTTCTTCAAAATAGACAAATTAAAATGTTCATTAATGGGTAAAATCTTATTATATTGGTAAAATTAAACCGATGGGTGACTTAACCTCTCCTAGCATAACCTAACCTCTAGCTTAGCCTTGCCTCGCCTTGCCTCACCTCACCTCACCTCATCCACCCACTGAAAAAAAAAAGAGACAGGTCAGGGAATTGATAACGACAAAGACAAGGGTGGTAATTTAAAAAAGTACTTAGTCTCTGTATTCACTAGAGAAGAATTTGATATCCTTTAGCTGACCAAATACATACAAGTTGTGAAGAGAAGTTGATTATTGGTTACCACAGAGGAAGTTATTTTACAAAAAATAATAAAAACAAGCAAGTTCCCAGGGCCAGGAAGAAGTATTTGCCAGGGTGCTTTAAAGAATGTAAAGAAGAGCTACAATAACTCTTGTCTTCATATATATCTATAAATTAGGATGTGTGTCTGTCCAAGATCGAAGCCTTGCAGTTATCCAACATGGTTGCTGAGGTTTGTTGATTTATGAAATAAATTACAGAGTAACATAACAGACATGGGATCACTGGATTGTTTCGCATTTAGGTTAGAAATACACTATACTGTCAACACTTGGTAATCTGAATCACATTGGGTCCACCCACTTTTGATTTAGCCAGACATTGAAGTTGGCCAACTTTTTTACCGGGAACATCCAAAAATGAACATTCTAATTTATTCTGGTTTCTTGTTGGGCAAAAAGCTCGGTAACCTGAGGATTTATTAGTTGAGAAGTCGAGCAAAATAAGTGAAAATTTAAACAGGAATTCTATCCGATCACTTGGAGATTTGGGGTTACTGGAATCTGAATTGTCGCGCTCATACAGTATACAGTACAGTACTGTATTAGTAAGTTTGATTTAGTATAAATAAGAGCTGCCTCACTTGGACCAATATGCCTTCTGAGGTGTCCTTTATTCATATGTACTGATAAATGGGTGTATAAAAAGTTTGGCCATAATTTGCTATGTATGTTTACTTCCAGTTTTTTGGCTGGGTCTGGAGCTCAGGTGTGGGCAGCCTCGAATAATGTGGAAACGTGTCAACCTGGAGATTTAATAGCTGGTGAGTAACTTTCATAAATATGCTAGCATGTGTTTGTCCGCACTATGTGCTAGCATATGTTTGTCCAGACTACAGTATGTGCTAGCATATGTTTGTCCACACTGTGCTAGCATATGTTTGTCCACACTGTGCTAGCATATGTTTGTCCACACTGTGCTAGCATATGTTTGTCCACACTACAGTATGTGCTAGCATATGTTTGTCTTCACTACTTGCTAGCTTATGTTTGTCTTCACTACTTGCTAGCTTATGTTTGTCTTCACTACTTGCTAGCTTATGTTTGTCCACACTACATATATACTAGCATATGTTTACACTACGTGCTAGTATATGTTTGTCCACACTACACACTAGCATGTTTGTCCACACTTCACACTAGTATGTTTGTCTTCGCTACTTGCTTGCATATGTTTGTCCACACTACCTGCTAGCATATGTTTGTAGACATCTTGGCAGGTATATGAAAAAGCTAAACATATTTAGTCTACAAAAATGGTAGCAAAGAAAACACTCTTAACTATAGACCTGTATCACTGACAAGCATGGTAATTGAAACAACAAGAAACAATAATGAAACCGAAATGGAAAACCTGGAGAGAAATGATATAACGAGAGACAGACAGTATGGTTTTTGAACTGGAAGATCCTGTGTAACAAATTTACTCAGTTTCTATGATAGCCACAGAGATTTTACAGGAAAGGGATGGTTTGGGTTGACTACATTTATCTGGACCTAAGAAAGGCTTTTGACCGAGTCCCACATAAGAGGTTGTTCTGGAAACTGGAACATACTGGTGGGGTGACAGGGAGACTTTTGACATGGCTGAAAAATTTTCTGACAAAGAAATGAGTGGGGGGGGGGTAATCAGAGGCAATGTATTAGGCTGGAGAACTGATAATAGTGCAGTACCACACGGTTCTAGCACCAGTAATATTCATTGTCTATATTTACTGTACTAGAATACTATATATATGTATGTATGCGAACAAGCTTGAATGGTCCCCAAACATATATGCGACTGAAAACTCCACACCCCAGAAGTGACTTGAACCCAGACCACCAGGAGCACAATGCAACTGGGGGTACATGGTACCTTAACCGCTTGAAAATGTTGTTGTGTTGTATTGCTCACGTGGCCCCACAAAAACGAGGTGATTTGATGAAATAACTATGCCCAAGATTACCATCAAAGTGCCGTCGGGGAGATGGGGAATTAGCCTCGGCTACCATCGTCTTTTGTACGGTCACTAATGGTCAAGCGGTTAAGGTACCATGTACCCCAGTTGCATTGTGATCCTGGTGGTCAGGGTTCGAGTAACTTCTAGGGGTGTGGAGTTTTCAGTCACACATATATGTATGTATGTATGTATGTATGTATGTATGTATGTATGTATGTATGTATGTATATGTAAAATAGGCTACAGTGCTCCATTACCAACTCGTAAAAAGTTTCATCCTAAGCCTCATATTTAGAGGGTCTCAATGTTTTCTGGTCACTACTCTCAGACCACCACCACTCTCTTACACACACACTCCATCTACTTCCTGGCTTTGTTGTCAGAATCAGTGCTAGTACAATTTCCTTACTCCTTGGCCAGCCACTTGCCCCCCCCCAAGGCACTATCTAGTTTCTCTAATAAGTCTACCTCCTTTTCCCTGGCAAGGGAGTTCCTCTTATACTTTTCTGATGAACACTTGCAACTTTCACCGAATGACTTGTCAACTTGCAAATAACAATACAGTAATGTGTATCCAAAGACGTTGGTGAAAATGTTTGAGTAACCCACACTTAAACACAGGTAAAACATGCAGCATTTTTCTTCAAATGCATTCACAATAGGACTATAGACACCATAGGATAAAACTCACAAAGAAACACTTATATATAGTGTTTTACAGTACTGTACAGGTACTGTAAAGAATTTATAAAATAAAAAAGAAATTTGTTCAATAATATTTACTGTACATAACTTTAAAAATCTAAAACTGGCAAAATTAGAAGAAACACATTTTGCTAATAATTTATATACATGACAATCTGTACTTCACTGCTGCTGCTACAAAGTCTGAAACTGAACTGCCAAAAGTCTGAATTTTGAGGAACCGTCCAGTAACAAAATCTATCCATTGTTTAGCGAGATCCATCACTTGATGATTCCAGTCTGGAAGGACCACTGTCCAGTATCACTATCTTCACAAAGACGTCTAACATAATGTCTCTTGTTGAAGCATTTTAGGTTATTAATTACTCCTTAAACTTGGGCTGAATCAATGTTGTGGTATTTGGTAATGAACATTTAGCAGGAATGTTTTAGCATTTGTTAGTTGGTGCACATATAGATGTGGTGGGGAGTTATCTAAAAGTAACACAGCTTTTCCATTTTTGGAACGTACTTTTGATGTGTGCTCTCATCTCGGCCACAAAATTTTTATCAAGCTACAGTACTTATAAAATACTATTCAGTTCTGTGTATCCATTCATCCATGCACATTGCTAAGCCTTATAAATAACAGGACGATCGTGGTTTTTGCTTATCACCTGCAGTTTTTATTTATGCTGGCCTGAGCATATACACAACACAACTAACCTGTCTTTATTCAGCTCCTAACCAGTAGAAGGATAATTTTCTCCATTGTGACCAAGAATGTCTGGATACTTCCCACCACATTAACCCAGTCTCATCTGTTTGCAAATTTGTTTAGGAGATAATTTTTCTTTGTTCACGATCTCCAGAAACGTGTCTCAATACTTGGCTGCGGCGTCAACTGACTGCCTCTTCCCTGCTGCCTTGATACGTCTAATACTATGGAAGTTCTTAAAGCAACTAAGCAACTAATCAGAGTAAGAATACTTGGCCTTTTCTCTAAGAAGCCATCCTTGCACTGGTTTTCGTTTTATGCTGCTTCTTATGCCATTCTTATGCTGCATAATCAACACTTCTTACTTTAAACTGACTTTTCATCCCTTTTTTTTTTTTAGTGGCCAAGGTCTTAGCAGTTTCTTATCAATTTTGACTATATTTTCTTTGTTCTAAGAATACAAATGCAATTTTCCTAGTCACATGTACTTTGGGCAATTATGCATTGACAAGATGTCTCTTTCATCCTTTCCAAATTATCTCGTATTTCTTGGGAATTGCTGGAGTACAGTACTTGCTTCCGCTTAGGTATGCAGTGCATTGGCATCCCCAACTTTGCTTACTGACCACATCTCCACATCACAAAGATGATCCAGACTTACACATGTAATTACCAAAAAATCCTTAAGGCTTTGTTTACAGTAGTATTATCAACCTGATTATATTTTATCAGTTTTTCTAATTATGTCCTTTAAACAGAAAATATCATTCTGAAACCAATACTGATATTGTAATGGTTCTTATCCTTTTTTCTTTACTTACATGCTGTACTTGTGTGCTTACTTAAACTTCTTTTGGTTTAATACTAAATCCACACATTGCAGAGAAAATTTAAATTTGTTGGTTTGTCATGACATTGATCAAATCGAGACTGTGCTGGGTCACACTCCTGAGAGGGGAGTAGGTTGTTCGGTCACATTCTTGAGAGGGGAGTAGGTTGTTGGGTCACATTCCTGAGAGGGGAGTAGGTTGTTGGGTCGTACTCCTGAGAGGGGAGTAGGTTGTTGGGTCATACTCCTGAGAGGGGAGTAGGTTGTTGGGTCATACTCCTGAGAGGGGAGTAGGTTGTTGGGTCATACTCCTGAGAGGGGAGTAGGTTGTTGGGTCATACTCCTGAGAGGGGAGTAGGTTGTTGGGTCATACTCCTGAGAGGGGAGTAGGTTGTTGGGTCATACTCCTGAGAGGGGAGTAGGTTGTTGGGTCATACTCCTGAGAGGGGAGTAGGTTGTTGGGTCATACTCCTGAGAGGGGAGTAGGTTGTTGGGTCATACTCCTGAGAGGGGAGTAGGTTGTTGGGTCACACTCCTGAGAGGGGAGTAGGTTGTTGGGTCACATTCCTGGGAGAAGATTGCGAGTCCCACTAGTGAGAGGTGAGAAAATTGCGAGTCCCACTAGTGAAAAGTGATTGTGGAGCATGATGTGTGTAGGTTGGGAGACCTTAAATACAAAAAAGTGCAGCCATCATATTAGTATTATTCAACATTAGTGAATTACATGGAATAATAGGCTGAAAAAGTTGAGTAATCGTTTCCCAAATACTGTCTTGTATTCTCGTTAAAAAATAAATATTGTGAAACTTTATTAAATTATCTGGATCTGTGCATGCTTGAGGATGTCTGCATAATTGCAAGCCTGGATAAAATATCAACAAGATTTCAACAAACATTATGCTCATCAGCATACGCTCTGTAACTTCTTTTATTTCAACTACCCAAAAATCCATTCCTGGTCAGATATCCTTACCCAACTTTTCATATAAGGTGCAGTCTAGATTTGACCTGCTTCCATAGTCTTTCTAATATCTATTTTCTGTAGGGAGCCTATTTAGTCTATGGAGTTCAGCCTATCGGGGACCTCGAGCCAGAACCTAGCCCCCCTCAGAGAGGTTTCAGGGAGCAATGGCCCTGGAACCCCCCCCCCCCCCCCCTACTGTGGTTGGGGTTTTCCTTATCTGCCATTGACCAGGGTTAAGCACCCAGAAAGGTAAGTGTAACAAAACAAACCCCACATGATAAGAAAAGTACAACAAAAAACGAAAAGAGAGAACGCCTGCCCATTCCAAGGAAACGAGCAAACAACCAAGAGTCACACTCCACTGCCGCGCCACTTGTCCCTCCCCTTTCGGAGAGGGGGAGGGGGAACCTCGGACTTCCCCGTGCCAGATACCTAGAACTCCAGTTCGTTCGCTAATGTTGTTCAGTGCAGACGTCTTCTCTGGTCTCGATTTCCAAGGCGGTGTTTTGCCTTCGTGGCGACCTCTGCAGTGTTGTTGTGTGTGGTGGCCAGATGTCCTCATCAGTGCCAGGGTTGCATGCGCTTAGGGGCATCCTTCCCTAGGTTGGCCTTGGGTAGTGAGTGGTATTGTGCTGGTTGGGGCGTCAAGGTGTTGTGCAGCCTGTCTACCTATGCGGTGGCCAGTTCCTGTTTCCTCTGGGGATGTTGTACTTTTGTGGGGTTTTCTTTTGGTTTTGGTTTTTCTTGCCTGGTGGAGGTCTGCCTGGTGAGGCTATTGTTCCACTTATAATATTTTGGTGGCCCTCTGCTAGGCCCCCGTTATTGTGCATGTCACAGGGGTTTCAGTGTTTTTATTTTCCCTTGTTAGCTTTGGGTCCTTGGGGGGGGGGGGGGGGGGAGAGGCAAGATTGAGCACCTTAATGCATGCTTGTTTGCCCCCTGTGCTTTCTTGGGATGTTGGCCTTGTGCAGCTGCATGTGCAGGTTCCTACCCTTTCAGCATCCTTGGTTGCAGAGGATTTGCACGCCCATGGGCATTTAGCTTCGGTCTTGTTCTTCTTTTCCCTTCTTGAGCTGTTTTTGGCCTGGCTTGAGGAAGATGTGTTGTTGCTACAACACATCCTCCGGTGGCCCGGCGTTGAGTGCCGGGCTTTCGTTTGGTGTGCTGTCTGGGCATTTTTGGCTGTCATCCGGCCTGTGGTGGCGTTGGGCAGATCCTCCTCCTTTGGGGGCTTATGGGGCTAACGGGGCAGGCTTCTTTCCCTGTGCTTCATCAGGTCATCTCGGTGTGAGTGCGCTTGGGTGTGGTCGAAATGACCCCTTCCCTAAGGTGGATTTCTCACCTGTTGCAAAGTGCCAAAACGGGACTTTGCGGATCTGTGATTCACAGGATATATCTTGGGCTGATATTCGGATGCAGGGATTTTGGAGATCAAACAGGGTCCTGGCCACCCGTTATTTGGTTAACATTTCTGCTCCTGGGCATTCCTGTGTTGCTTTGGGTTGCAGGTTGCAGCCAGTTGTCTCAACTTCGCCATTGAGGAGTATGTGGCAGCTGCCTCCCGGGTAAGTCCCTCTTTCCCTTATCTTTGGGTATGTAGTTTCAGGGAGCCGTAGGGACTTCCCACTGAAAACCAGCGTTGAATGTAATGAAACGCGATTTTCTGGGTGAGCCCTGGAGGCTCCCTGGCAACCCTCCCTCCCTCCAGTTGGCAGTTTTGCATGTTGTTTGATGCTTAGCTTCCAAACTGGAGTGCTAGGTAGCCAGTGTGCAGAGGTCTGGGGCTCCCCCCCTTCTGCCTCACGGGGAGGGGGGGAGCTGCACAGACATGCGGTGCGGCACGTGTCACGTCATGCTCGTTTTCAATTGGAGAGTTCTGTCCACTCGTTAGTCTATTTTAGTCGTTTTAACCAGATTAGGGGTTTGTTTTGAGGGGCTTACCTTTCTGGGTGCCTGGCATAGTCAATGGTAGACATAGAATGCTCCAAATCCCATGTGCATTTCTATAGGCCATTGCTCCTTGTGTCTCTCTGAGGAGGCCAGGATCTGGTTCATGGTCCCCGGTAGGCCTAAAGCTCCATTCACTGACTGATGTCAAGGTCTAATGATATACATATCAGCCTGGATAGCTCTGGGGAGCCTCCAGGTCTCACCCAGAAAATGGAGTTTCATTACATTCAACACTGTTTTTTTTTTTTTTTTTTTTTTTTTGTACTTTTCTTACCATGTGGGGTTTTTGTTATGCCTACCTTTCTGGGTGCCTAACCCCAGTTGATGGCAGATAAGGAAAGCCCCAACCACAGCGGTTTTCAAGGGCAATTGCACCCTGAAACCTCTCTGAGGGGGGCCAGGTACTGGCTTGTGATCCCCCATAGGTCGAACTCCATAGACTAATGCCTAATAATGCCCGGTCTTATATATCATTAGACGACATTAGCCCGATAGCTCCAGGGAGCCTCCTGGGCTCACCCATAAAATGGCATTTCATTACATTCAATGCTGGGTTTCCCCCCACTTCCCGATTTCATCCTTTAACCTCCAGATCTTTCCTTTTTTTCTTGTTCATTATTTCTCTAATTTGGCTTTCCTGCTATGCTGGTTGACTCTTTAGGCTGGCAGCAGTCTAACCCAAAGCTGTCTGTCTGCCTCCATAGATGTTAACTTGCTAAATCTTTGTTAATAATCTTAAATTTACAATAATTGCTCTTTTTACAGTACAGTATTCTCTTAATTCCTCCAACCAGTTAGGAAAACCACTCTTTATTGTGTATCCAGCTGTAAAGCCAATGTATTTCTTCTGTTATTGCTCCTGGGAGTGTCCAATGGTGTGTTTGGGGTGGTATTATTATTATTTGATGTGATTTTCTAATTGAACTCTTCTTTTCAATTCTAACATTTTTCTGTGGTTTATGGCCCTCTAGACTTTGACCAGCAGATCAACACTGGTCTTTGAATAGTTTTCCTCCTTTGCAAAAAAAAAAAAAAGTGGATTTGGCACAAAGCATACTAATCCAAATTTATAATTTGGGATTAGTATGCTTTCCCTAAAGTCCTTTCTTCTCTGGGGCTAATCTCAAGGCATACTTTAAAAAATTATGCAGCTTCATTTTTTGTATTTAATGAGGCAAGGCCTCCACACTAGTGCCCCATATTCCAGAATTGGTCTGACATATGTGGTATACAATGTACTGAATGACTGCTTCAGAGTCCTGATGGCCATTCTTATATTGGCCAACCCTTTATATGCAACTGATGATATTTGATTTGGGCTTCTGGTGAGAGGTTTGGTGTAATATCAACCCTGAAGACTGTCTGTTCTAGCACAGACTTCAGGGCTTCCTCTCCCATGTTTGTGTGTGACCTGATCCAAGCATCTAGTTTCAAGACTTTGCACCTGGTTTAATTTAACTCAAGTTCCCACTTGTTAGACTATTCTTTCATATTGTCCAGGTCACCGTGTAATATCTCGAGGTCTGCCATAGTATTTATCCTAAATCATAATTTTTTAATCATTAGTGAACATTGAGAGAAAGAAGTCTTATCCTCTCTGGTAAGTCATTCATATAAATTTAGGATTAGCGTTTGCCTTAGAACTGGCCCATGGCGGATGCTGTTGGTAACATCTTTCCACTCTTAGGTCTCTTCTCTCACTGTGACTGTCTTCTGTTTCAGAGGTGCCTCTTTGTACACTGCAACACCTTCCTTGTCACTCCTTTGTGTGCACTAGTTTTCTGTGGGAGATTTATCGATGGCTTTCTGACAGCCCCAAAGTGTACAATCTTCCCACCCTTCTCTCATCTGGTCTTGGTCACCTAGCCTTAGAGCTCATATTAATGGTGATTGTGTGTTGGGAAGTAAGCTCACAGTGTCCTGTTTTTCCCAATAATCTTTTGTTGTGTGTGTGTGTGTGTGTAATTACCTAAGTGTAGTTACAGGATGAGAGCTATGCTCGTGGTGTATTTATACCTCATAAATATGGTGGGTGGCGTATGGTGCATAAGATATGCACCATACACGAAGTTCATTAATGATATTGACAATACTTTACATCATTGTTCTCTTTTTTCCAGAGAGATCCCAGCGGATACATGAGGAAAGTTTACGCAATATTCAAAGACTTGAAGAGGGTGGGGGCAAGAGGCGGAGATATGCTTTACCTGAGGAAGAGGAAGAAATGCAGGTTAGTAGATATATAACTTAGCTTAAATCTTGAAAGGTGAACTCCAGCAACACTTTAATTACTTATGGAAATTTTCTGAGACTGTGCACTGTTGTTGCCATCAAGGTGTGGCGGTGTTGGCAGGTTGACTTTCTGCATCGGTGCCATGACATAATGGCATTATATTGTATTGTTTGATACCGTACACGTGTATGTATGGTGGCCCTCTCCATTTACAAATTTAATCAGTTCCCAGAGATGGGTCGTAACTTGAAAAATTGTAACTCAAAACAAAATTTTCCGTAAGACGTAATGTAAATTGAATTAATCCGTTCCACACTCCCAAAAATATTAACTTCAAAATACATTTCATGCATAATACACACACACACACACACACACACACACACACACACACACACACACACACACACACACACACACACACACACACACACACACACACACACACCTCATTCTGGAGACATTCTTGTATCAACACATAAAGCAAGCCACAAGAATGAGGGAAGGAGATATACCGTCAGTACTGGATCTAGTATTCACCAGGAAAGAAGAAGAGATTTTTGACATCCAGTACCTTCCTCCCTTGGGAAAGAGTGATCACGTCCTGTTAGACATTAAATATGCTTTAAGATATCATCTAGAAGAAAATGGGGACATTGAAACAGTTGATAAACTCGATTTAAAGAGAGGCAACTATGGGGAACTTCGAAATTTTTTTAATGAGTGTAATTGGACAGAATTGTTGCTAGGCAGGGAAGTAAATGAAATGTATGCCAAATTTTTAAAACTATACGAGGAAGGCACACAAACATTCATACCAAAACAGAGATGCAGGACCAGAAAACAGGATTGGTTCGACAGAAATTGTGAGAGGGCAAGAGACCAAAAGACACAAAAATGGAATCAGTATAGGAAGAGGCCAAACCCCCAAACATACCAGCGATACAAAGATGCGAGAAACAATTATACAGCAGTAAGGAGAGAGGCAGAAAGAAATTTTGAAAAAGGGATAGCAGATAAATGTAAAACAGAACCGGGCCTATTCTACAAATTCATAAACAACAAATTGCAGGTAAAGGATAATATCCAGAGGTTGAAAATGGGAAACAGATTCACGGAAAATGAAAGGGAAATGTGTGAAACATTAAATGAAAAGTTCCAAAGTGTGTTTGTACAAAATGAAATCTTCAGAGAACCAGACACAATAAGAATTCCAGAGAACAACATAGAGCGGATAGAGGTGTCTAGAGATGAAGTGGAAAATATGCTAAAGGAGCTCGGGAGGAACAAAGCAGCTGGCCCAGATGGCGTTTCACCATGGGTTCTGAGAGAATGTGCGTCTGAGCTCAGCATTCCACTTCACCTGATCTTTCAGGCATCCCTGTGTACAGGAATCGTAGCAGACGTGTGGAAACAGGCTAACATAGTTCCAATCTACAAAAGTGGCAGCAGGGAAGACCCCCTCAATTATAGACCTGTATCATTGACAAGTGTAATAGTGAAAGTATTGGAAAAGCTAATCAAAACTAAATGGGTAGAACACCTGGAGAGAAATGATATAATATCAGACAGACAGTATGGTTTTCGATCAGGAAGATCCTGTGTATCGAATTTACTCAGTTTCTATGATCGGGCCACAGAGATATTACAGGAAAGAGATGGCTGGGTTGACTGCATCTATCTGGACCTAAAAAAGGCTTTCGACAGAGTTCCACATAAGAGGTTGTTCTGGAAACTGGAAAATATTGGAGGGGTGACAGGTAAGCTTCTATCATGGATGAAAAATTTTCTGACTGATAGAAAACTGAGGGCAGTAATCAGAGGCAATGTATCGGAATGGAGAAATGTCACAAGTGGAGTACCACAGGGTTCAGTTCTTGCACCAGTGATGTTTATTGTGTACATAAATGATCTACCAGTTGGTATACAGAATTATATGAACATGTTTGCTGATGATGCTAAGATAATAGGAAGGATAAGAAATTTAGATGATTGTCATGCACTTCAAGAAGACCTGGACAAAATAAGTATATGGAGCACCACTTGGCAAATGGAATTTAATGTTAATAAATGTCATGTTATGGAATGTGGAATAGGAGAACATAGACCCCACACAACCTATATATTATGTGAGAAATCTTTAAAGAATTCTGATAAAGAAAGAGATCTAGGAGTGGTTCTAGATAGAAAACTATCACCTGAGGACCACATTAAGAATATTGTGCAAGGAGCCTATGCAATGCTTTCTAACTTCAGAATTGCATTTAAATACATGGATGGCGATATACTAAAGAAATTGTTCATGACTTTTGTTAGGCCAAAGCTAGAATATGCAGCTGTTGTGTGGTGCCCATATCTTAAGAAGCACATCAACAAACTGGAAAAGGTGCAAAGACATGCTACTAAGTGGCTCCCAGAATTGAAGGGCAAGAGCTACGAGGAGAGGTTAGAAGCATTAAATATGCCAAAACTAGAAGACAGAAGAAAAAGAGGTGATATGATCACTACGTACAAAATAGTAACAGGAATTGATAAAATCGACAGGGAAGACTTCCTGAGACCTGGAACTTCAAGAACAAGAGGCCATAGATTTAAACTAGCTAAACACAGATGCCGAAGAAATATAAGAAAATTCACCTTCGCAAATAGAGTGGTAGACGGTTGGAACAAGTTAAGTGAGAAGGTGGTGGAGGCCAAGACCGTCAGTAGTTTCAAAGCGTTATATGACAAAGAGTGCTGGGAAGACGGGACACCACGAGCGTAGCTCTCATCCTGTAACTACACTTAGGTAATTACACTTAGGTAATTACACACACACACATCCCGGTCCCGGGCGCTGGCGAGAAACATTGAATTGAAATTGAAATTGAAATAAGTTTATTGAGGTAAAATACACACAAAGGGATGAGGTAGCTCAAGCTATTCTCACCCCGTTCAGTACAACGTGTCAATATATACATATACACACATCACAAATAAACATATTACCAAACATTCTGAGAGGTAAAAATATACATTTCCTCCCTCACAAGGAGTATGGTATCAGACGTACACACAAATACTTTTATGACCTAGGTATACTGTATAGACAATTTGCAAGACACCTGCAGATAATTCAACAAAATATTACAATCTTGGTGCAAAATTCTTATATCTCTCAAGAATATCATCAACCTTTCCGTTGTGACACATCCAGGCTATTTGTTCAGGAACAGTCCTTATCTCAGTGTTTCTATATACACTAATCAACGGACAATCAAGAATATAATGGGCAAGGGTGTGAGACCTTAACATACCACATAGTTTACACTTCGTGTCATTACCATGAACATCTATCCCATATGCGAGAAACATTGGGCAGAGTTTCTTTCACCCTAGGCCCTTGTTACCTAGCAGTAAATAGGTACCTGGGAGTTAGTCAGTTGTCACGGGCTGTTTCCTGGGGGGTGTGTGTGTGTGTGATGTGAAAAAAAAATAGTAGTAGTAGTAGTAGTTAGAAACAGTTGATTGACAGTTGAGGCGGGCCGAAAGAGCGGAGATCAACCCCCGCAAGCACAACTAGGTGAATACATATTTTGTACTATAGTATGTACAGGTTATAGCTTACCTTTACTGATGACTCTTGTTGGCATATGGAAAATGGTGAGGAGACGGAGAGGTGTTACTGTTTGGAAGGGGAGTCCCCTTCCATTATAACATCAGGCAGTGATGACTTCTCTGGGGTATTCTCTCTCCTACATTTTGCAGGCATACCACTAGGACTTGGTTGTGGCTCACTGCATGCTTGTCTTATTAAGAATATGTCTATAGACACTTGTGTGTTGTGAGACATCACATTGTCATTAAAAAGGTCAATGCAATGAGACATCACATTGTCATTAAAAATGTCAATGCAATGAGACATCACATTGTCATTAAAAAGGTCAATGCAATGAGACATCACATTGTCATTAAAAAGGTCAATGCAATGGCCTGCTACAGCTTTATCTGGATGAGTTTTTTTCATCAAAACTTTGCAGTTCGTCCCATACTTCACACATTTTCTTAATGAGGAAGGGACATCCTCTACTGCCTCTTCTCGCAACTATTTCCTTAGGTTGGACCTTGCCACTGACTTTCTTGGGATCCATGGCATGATATGTAATAATTACTTCTATGTTCAAAAAACAAAAAAGCACAAGAACACTGAAATTCTTTACAAGGAATTCAAGCACGATTGTCACTAAGCGGGCAGTCTGATAAACTGAAACAGGGTTGCCCGTGCCACCAGGAACTACGCGCTCCGTCGAACCATACGTGTAACAACAAAGTCGTAAGTCGAGGCAAAGGTCGTAAGTCGAGTCAAATTTTCCAATAAAATTGGGGTCGTAACTCGAAAAATTTGTAAGTAGGGGCATTTGTAAGTCAAGGTTCCACTGTATTTAATATTTATACTGGATATATAAAAGAGAACGTTTGTTGTCGCTAGGAGGAGAGATGTTTGGGGCTATCCTCAGTAAACTTTGCAGGGTGACTGGTGGTTGTTGAGGGTATTATCATAGGGGAGTCGAGATTGACCCTTGTGTATCCTATGATACCCATCTCCAACCTTACTAAATAGCCAGATTCCATCTGCACTAGGATTCATCAAGTGTATTATTTTCTGCAGAGTGGGCTGAAAAAGATGATGAAGGAGAGGGGAGGTGGTGAATGAGTATAAATTTGAATACTCCTTTGGACAGTTAGGATAAAGTGTTAAGTGGTAGTCTAGTAAATTGTGTGCCTTGTGTGCTAGTAAATTGTGTAATTTTATTTATTTTTCACTATCCAAGACCACCCTGGTCATAACACTATTAATCAAGGTTCTTAGGTACTGAAGAGAATATTAATTATGTGAGATAGCCCACATTTACACCACTTGAACCTCATTACTAGAAGTTATTCCTTGCTTCACACCACATCTATTCACTAATATTAATATTTTGCCCTTACTCTTCATTTTCTCAAACTCCTGCCCTTACTATCCATGTACAAATCAGTCTTCGCACCATCACCTTTCTCTTGACTTATTCTCACAAAAACGTATTACCTGAATACCCTCAACATTTCCTTCTCTTAAAAATGTTTAGCACTTGCAGCTTCTTTTGTCCTTTATTTATTCCCTTTTAATTCCACACGGACATTCTTGCTTGCTAATACATTTAATAATTGTACGTTTATTGAATGTACTTAATATTTCAGGGCGGACTTTTAGATACTGTTGGTGCTGTGTGCGTTGATGGTTCTGGCTATGTCGCAAGTGCCGTGTCCAGTGGAGGTCTTCTGCTCAAGCATACAGGAAGGGTTGGACAGGCTGCAGTATATGGTTGTGGCTGTTGGGCCGAGAACAATTGTGATGGTGCGTATAATTCCATAATCAGAGAACCTCAGTAGTGGATTATTTAGGATTTTGTGCTAGTTTTTCTTGGGTTTTCTGCAGCAGGTTTGTCATGCCTTTGTTTTGTAACTGGGCCAGTTTGGTCTCTTGGTGGATATCTTAACACTTTTGTTGCCTAATGCTGCATATTCTATCAGAAAACTAAAATACAACGTCATGCAAAAATTTTTGCACTGGCTTATTATTAAGTATAAATATTATGGGGAAATGAGCTTAACATTGAGTTGTGTGCTCACCAGGAATGCTCATCCTACCTTCCAGTGCGATTTGGGTGCCAGTAAAAGTGTTAAGTAGTTTTTATACACTATTCAGAACAAATAAAAATAAGCACAATTCCACCAAACTTTCTACTCATTGATGCATAATCCAATGCTAGGGAAACATTTAAGATGGTCGCAGTTTGAAATGCAATCTCCAGGATGCCATGGAGTTATGTGAAACACAAGATCTTGAGGGAAAAAAATTGCCTTAAGGAAGGCTATTTAAATTAAAAAGAGGTACGACAAGAGGACATTGGTGGAAGCTGGGTATGCAACCGAGTCGAAAATATGTAAGGAAGTTCTCATTCCTTGTATGGATGCTGAATGAGTGGAATGCAATGCAATGAAGGAAGAGGTTGTTGAAGCCAATTCCTTCCACAACTTTAAAATGAAATATGATGAAAATGTTGATGTCAAGATGGGTAATTAGTGTACCAGATATGAATGGTTAGGAAGCAGGGCATAAAGAGTTAGATCTCTTAATAACTACACTCCCTGTAGTTATTGATAGATAAGCAAATGCCCATTTCATTTTACATCAGCATATACTCATTATGCTCCCTTGACTTAAGAACTCCATTTGCTAATTGTAACACCTGTAATCCCTGCACCACCATACACTCATACTTCATGTTTATATTCTGATATATACATGTTCATGGATTTTTTTATCATTTGCTCTCATGCAATTGAAACATACTAACCTTTATTTTGGTATCTCAAGAGTTCACTAATGGCTAACGTGGATTGCTTTGTGCCAGGTAGCGGTGTAAGTGTAGGAGTTAGCACCACAGGTTGCGGGGAGCACCTCATCCGCACCATGTTTGCCAGACTGTGTGCTCGTGCAGCCATCTCACCAGAGCTGGGAACCAATATCACTCATGCAGTCACCACTCACTTCCTGGGTAAGAAATCTTCAGTAACTTTTTTTTGGTCTTACTTTTAAGCTCATGAAGATTGCATTAGCAATCTTACCTGGGCTGGTCCCCTTAGTAATTCTCTGGTGCCAAAAGCTCTGGTACTGCAGACATATACAATAAGTATTACTAGGCCCATGGAATAGTAGTAGTTTTTGAAACTTGTTACAGGTAAGCTACTGGTAAGCTACTGGTAAGCTACTACTAAAAAGTGCATGTGCATCAAGAGATAAACCCAAGACCAGGAATTCTGCCTAGAATATCAAAGGTGAAACAAAACAAAAAACACCTCTTTTTACTCCCAGAAGTGCACCTACCATCAAAGGTGCCTCTCTGCCTGTGCCACCCAAAAATTAAGCCGCCTTTGAATGTAATGAAAGGCATCTTTCTGGGGGGGACTTGGTGGCTCCCTGTAGCTAGTCACACTGAAATAGCTCCACACCTATAAATCACATCAGCCCTTGAGTGTCCATAATAATCTATGAGAGATCACAGACCAAAACTTGGCCCCCTCTCACACACATGCAGGGATTTATGATCACTCCCATCGAAGAATCTTATCGCCAGAAAGGAAGCGAAGCTAAACAAATAATTGCAGGGTTCACAGAAAGTAAAGAAACAGTGCCCCTTTGGCTTAACATACCAAGAATTATTAGCCAAAGGATAACCTTCCCTTCCTGAAACCAACTATCTCAACCTAGGCCAGAAAAGAAGGCCCCAGACAAAGTAACTGCCTACGAGCTAAAGGAGGCCTGGGATGTAAAAGGAATACAGTACTGTATATAATTAAAATGCACAATAAAGCAAGTGTAGACATTGTCTTGAAAATCACTTAAGAGCTCTTAACCATATTTACATTTCTGCAGTGATCATGCAAATAGCACTGCTACAATAACCATTCATGCCTGTTCCATGCTTAACCACTGGACTGCGCCGGCCGGGAAAACTTGGTCCGTTGGAAACTGTGTGAACCAAGAAAACACCTTTTTAATATTTCGTACCCCATTCAAAATGCGCGCGCAGTTGGTTGGGTACGGGATGGATTCTTGGGACCTCCAGTGAGAGGCAGCCATCTTGGAAAAAATACTCAAAATGCCCTAGGGCTTCTGGCTGACTTAGTTCCGAGTGAGCAACTATGGGTGGTGAACGCACCTCTGGCTCCCAAACACCTGTCTGACATGGTGTTGAAAGATCGCTCTCTGTCGGTGAAATTCAGATCTTATTGTTGGAAGAACATAAGGGTCATGATATTGATGAAGCTAGGCACAATATGGACCTAACACAAGGGTCAGATGCAAGTGATACAGCACCAATGAGGACGATACAGCGAGCGTACCAGTATCCAGTAGTAGCTGAGTGCCACCCATGCTCACCTGTGTTATCTCAAAATTTTATGGATGATACATAGATGAATTGTTTTCAGGGTTTAGTGATGATGCATCTGATACAAGTAGCATAGATGAACAGTGTTAGCGGCTTCCATGGTGGTGTTTTCCAGCGATCTTTTCAAGAATAGCTGAATCTTTTCCAGAATACCTGTGAATCTCTTGCAGAATACCAGAATTTCTTCTAGAATACCTTAAAAAGCGATCTTTTCAAGACAACCTTACAAATTGATCTTTTCCTATAATCTTTTCAAGATTACCTTACACTTCACAAGCTTGGCTACTTACCACCTACAGGTACTAAAGCCAAAGGTGTACGCGAGTGCATTATTTGCAAGCACACAGAATGAAGAAACAGGAAGCGAAAATCTGCTTGCACCAGGTGCATCGAATAAAAAGTCGCACTGTGTAGATGACTGCTTCTTTGATTATCACTCACTTTCAAAGTACTGAGTGTGTGTACTCACCTAGTTGTGCTTGCGGGGGTTGAGCTCTGGCTCTTTGGTCCCGCCTCTCAACCGTCAATCAACAGGTGTATAGGTTCCTGAGCCTATTGGGCTCTATCATATCTACACTTAAAACTGTGTATGGAGTCAGCCTCCACCACATTGCTTCCTAATGCATTCCATTTGTCAACCACTCTGACACTAAAAAAGTTCTTTCTAATATCTCTGTGGCTCATTTGGGCACTCGGTTTCCACCTGTGTCCCCTATTACACACACAATTATTGTGTGTGTAATACAGTGTGTGACTGTATAATTAGTGTGTGAAACTGTACATATTGTAATTTTAGTGTATTTTGAACAAGCAATATTGCAACAATAAACATTTATTGTATACACATTACTGACACGTGTATCAGTTACACACAGAAATCACAATAGCGTGATGCATCAAATGAATAAATCCACAAGGGCCGTGATGAGGGTTCGAACCTACGTCAGAGAGGATCCCAGACGTGCCTTAATCGACTGTGCCACGACATGGTCAAAAGAATTGCAACCGGGAGTTCATCTGCCCTCGCACGGATCCTGCAGTCTCTCCGGGACACAAACCAGGGTTTTACACAATTCTCCCGTGCACCCGGGCTCTGTCAATAAGCTGTTCTACCTCTTCGCCCTTACTTCATTACACCGGGTGCCCAGGTGCATGGGGGAATTGTGTAAAACCCTGGTTGTGTCTCAGAGAGACTGCAGGATCTGTGTTAGGGCAGATGAACTCTGTTGCAATTCTTTTGACCGTGTTTTGGCACAGTCAATTAAGGCGCGTCTGGGATCCTCTCGGACGTAAGTTCGAACCCCCTTGTGGATTTGTTCCTTTATCAGTTCCATGGAACATTATGAATGTTCTACTGTATATATATTGTAAAGGACACAAATGTGCATCATATACGATAAAAAATCCCAATTATAAATCATTGAAAATACATAGAAAGCATAATTGTAAATATATTGGTGCAACTCGCAAGGGTTGAATGGCCCGCATGACTGCGTCTGAGAGCTTTACGCACGGGCGACCAGCCTGTGATGACGTCACGGCACCACTTTGTTGACGTCTTTACAGCCAAAGTAAGTAGAATTTGATTTTTTTTTTTTTTTTTTTTACATGTACATGTTCAGGGAAGGGAATTTATCATTTTACAAAGAAATTTTTGTTTGCGAACAGTTGATTTTCAGTGCACAGGAAGAATTTCAAAATAAACGCATCGCATCACAAAGGTTAATGAACTCGCCAACTGCTAGAGAGATAGATGGTTAGCTGGTATGAATAAAAATTGCATATAGTACTGTCAAATGTGACCTATCTTTGTGGCCTTCCTCCTGTTCCTAATAAAGGAAGTAGGAAACAGTTCTAGCTTGGTTACATACTGTATTTACTCATGGACACTTAATGAACAGAGTCATGCATCTTGCTGTCAGAACTTCCATGTTTCACAAACGGTACCGGGAAGACGGGACACTACAAGTGTAACTTTCATCCTGTAACTCCGCTTAGGTAATTAGGTAATTGCTTGAGAATTACCTTTTCGTAAAAGTCCTGATTTTCAAGAACAAGAAATTTTACTTTTCCTCTATTCCTTTGAGTCGGTTCTCTGTCAATGCAAAATTCTGAATCTTGCCTCTTTCTGCTCTCATATTGGCATCCTGAACACCTTACAAGTGTTGAATACCTGTATTCTGCAACATACAGTGCTGTATAACCTTCCTTTTGTTGCACATTCTTTTGATAATTAGAGATTCAGGTTGACTTTAACTTTTACATTGTAATTAAGTTTGTACTTTATTGGTTAGATTAATATACATGATGTATTGATTATTAGTCCCATTAATATACATGATGAATTAATTACAGTATTAGGAGTTAATTTCCTTTACTGCAAACAAAAGTTTCCATGTGGTTTGGAGATAACTGATAATATATATTTGCTCTACAGAATCTGACTTTTTAGAGGGTGTCCATCCAAGAATGGCTGGTGCCCTTATCTTGCGGCACGATCCTCGAGGAGGTATAAGTGATCTCTACTGGCTCCATACAACACGCACAATGGGCGTTTGCTACATGACCACCAGTGATCGCAGGCCACAGGTGAGTACCAATAATTTGTTTAATGATACCTAGTGACCATAGGCCACGGGTGAGTACCGTGGATCCTCATTGTAACGAACCATGCTCCAACGAATTGCTATATGTTTCAAACAGATTGTGTTTAGTGCACATTGTTCAGGGAAAAAACACAAATGTTTGATTAGGCGAGCATTGTTTGTCGAAGCCATCGGCGAGGTTGAGCATTGGAATGCAGCTGTGTTAGCATCATCCATAATCCACCTAATCAGGTGTAATGCTAAAACTTTTAACAACTTAATTAAGCACGACAATATTTTATAAATTATATTATAACTATGAGTATTTAAAAAATATACTCAATGCCAGAACGGCCAAAAGTGAAATTATTATTACACTACGTGTTTGTTTATGCTTGTTATTACCCAAATGGAATTTCAAGTTCAAATATTGATAAAGTACAGTATATAAAACTTTAACAAAAATACTAAAATACAACAATGATACAAGTATTATTATGAGGCAATAATAACTTGAAACTATACATGAACCTACAAAAAAATATATAAAATGTTTCCAAGCATTGTGTGTTTGAACACCAATGCTGGTTGCTTGGCCAAGTCAATGCTGTACAGTATTTGTAATAATAGCATTATCTCCACTGTAATTTGTCTTTTTTTTATTAACAAGATGTTGTACTGCAACAATCATAGTGCTGAATATTGTAATAAAATGTGGAAATACATTTCCAATGTACTGAAAATGGACACGTTATATGTGGTGTAATGCAGCATCAGGTGACTGGCGAGCATGGAGGGTGAGGGAGTCTGTCCCTCCCTACTCTCCTCCCTCACCTGTTTGGTGAGAAAGTTCTTAATGATTGTAAATATATCATTTTTATATCCAAATTTTATTAAACCAATGATTGCTCTATCATATGACATGGTCAAAATGAAGAATGCATAATACATATTTATTTTTATATAGAGACTGGCTGAATTCGAATGTATAAATCCTGATAATTACATAATGTTTGCACCCACAAAATTGTTATATAGTTATGCCTGATACAGAGTTGTCATTATTATTTGAAATGGTCAAAATAATAAATACATAATAAATCAATTTTCTGTATTTTTTATTGAAGTACATAAGAAGTTACTGGAAGTAAGATGGGTTACGATGGATTTGTACTTGTGTACTTCAGGGTTATTATGGAGATATTTCACTACATCTCTCTCCTGGTAAGGCAAGTCACAAACACTTATATGCATTATAGTGGATGTAGATTATTTTTTTTTTAAATTGAGGGGAGAGATGCCTTGCATCTGACAGGTCATATGAAATTCCTTACAAAACAAATTGGTCTAACCCCGTATATTTCCGTTAAATTGGGGACAAATGGTACCATTAACTTGCTAAATAACTACTAGTGGTCACAGATTCAAGTTTTGTGCCAATAACTTGACCCATTTACTATACAACCACCACGAATCACAGATCTCAAGCTGTTTCAAGTGTTCTACTCTTGCATCCCAGCCTGAGGCCAGGCATCCTTAATGATAGCCTGGAGAGTTATACTGTTAGGGGTAATGAATTTTAAGCCCACATAGCCAACAGGCCATGAATTACTACATACCTGTACTACAATATGTTGTTACATGCCTCTTCCATATTAACAAAAATTATGTGCTATTTGAAAAATTATATTTTATAAGCTGTACTGTATAAAAACAATAGCCTGATTTATTTTAATATTATAAAATTAAATCATTTTTTATTCTGAACTAATGTAAAACTCATATTGTATACCTTTTATATATTCCAAAGGCTCAGTTTTCGGAACTTGCTGAGGACAAAATTGGCATCTCGGTGAACCTCCAAAGTAAGTCATTTGGAGGAGGTATGCCTGTTGTCACAACAGCTAGTGAACTGGAGCCTGGTCCATCCCATGCAGGTGTGTCTGGCCTCTTGGTAGGAGAGGAGGCAGAGGAAAGGGAAAAGAGTGACTCCAGTGATGACGAAGAAGAACCAGGATAACAGGGAAGAAGCAAGATAATGAAATACAGTATGCACTTTAAAAAAAAAAAAAGAGGAAACAAGTCCTGAATAAAAACAATTAAATTATCTCATCCTTATAAAATGATGGTATTGTAATAGTTGAGTTTGGTTAACTGAAGCTGCTTCCTCAATTTGTAATTAATTTCAATGGGAATAATTAATTTGACTAGTTGTTTGATAGTCATGTGAAGATTAAAATAATAACTTGTCGGAAATTTCAGAATATTGATCAGGAAATATGTCAGAAATTTCAGAATATTGATCAGGAAATATAGGTCTGTTTCCATGGTAATGTTTTAAATTGCAGCAGTCATTTAGGGTAAAACTTGAGCTTCAGTGGGTGATAGTTTTTTGTGTTTAAGAATAAGCTAAATTTAAATTATAAAGTCATCACAAGATTTATAATGCCACTGCCAAGACTTTATTTAAGTGGGGTGTTTGTATGATCAGTTTCTTGCTCTTCAGGGTAAAAATGCCAAAATATTGGCAACTTTGCTTTTCAAATGATTATAGCATTAAGGTTCATCATAACTGTCACTGCCAAATGTGCACAGCCACTTACCAGTATTTTCAAAGCATTTCCATAGTAACACAGTTCTTTCCGGAGAGTGCATTACGAGCCTGTGGTAGCAGGGTGGGTAGACATTTCTTCGGACCCCTGCCTGTCTGGAGGTTACACTTCTCAATTTATAAATAAATATGCTTGCAATGGACCATAGATACTACACAATGTTTTAATCTATGTATAATGCACCATTATGGTATGATTTGTGAGTATGTTTATGAATATTACTTACACAGTACTTGTAAGCATATCATGTACAATTGCTGTGTACTGTTCTTCAAATTTCTCTTAAGATTGATGAAGTGAAATTTTAAGTGTCCATAGAAGAGTTAAATCTTTCCTGCGTACCACAGGCAATTTAACTGCCACACAGGAACCATACACTACCTCAGTTGTGCCACCAACCAACAGTCCCTCGTTGACCCTACAACACTCATCCTCAAGTTGTTGAAAGAAAATGGCATGTACATCCTGTTTAATACTGTACGTTTAAACAGGTTTTATCAACACCTGTACATAGTGCCAGCTTTAAAGTATCGGTTAAACACGAGTATACTTTCCTCACAGCTAACGTTGCAAACCAGTGATATTGCTTCGATAAAAAACAAAATAGGCAGCTAATCAGGATGATTGTTGGAAGGTCACCGAGAGCCTGATCTGCTCAGGGTGGGCTAGCTATAATTAATTGCGTAATCTGTTGCTTACGCTGCTCGTTACTTGTTTTGTTATTACAATTAAGTGAATTCTCTATGTTCAAATGTACGTTTCATACAAATCTTATTTGCATTGTTAGATTTCCAGAGGATTTTGATTTATCATGTCAGAAATAGAAAGGTAGTATCTATGTTTAATATTACTAAACAGGTCATTCAATGATGACCTGTTGTTCTACACATAACGTGTAAATTCTGTGATGACCAGCACTGCCAGCTGTTATTGCTTCCTCCTATTGACAAACTAATAATAGTCTCGTTTTTTATACATTCCATGTGTTGCTTATGTACATTTGTATTGATGCATTCTCTTCAGAGGTGTACCGATTTATCGGTATTGGTGGTATCGGCTTATTTTTGCAATATCGGTATCTGTAAAATTTCTGTCGATACTTTATTAGAGGCAGGTGTGTGCAGTAGTCCTAACATCTGACAAAAATATTAAATAGTATCAGATTATCTTTTATTTTTTTTTAGAGTATCAGGGTATCGGCTAATAAAACAGTATCAATATCGGTGAAAATAATGGTATCGGTGGACCTCTTAAGTTGCCTGAATGTCAATGTATATGTAGGTATACATTGGTAGGTTGAGCAGAAGCAACAGTTTACAGTTCCTAGTCTTGAACACCCTGAGCATCACCAAGTGCCTCGAACCACTATACCTCAAAAGTCTCCATAGTAACTCATTCCAGTGGACCCATATCAGGAGTTTTGTTGTGCTCTTATGTAACCAATCATCAATAGGTGGAGGTCCGTATTAGTAGAAAACTGTGCCAGGCTACTATACCACTTGTTTATTTTTAATAGTAATTACGGACCTCCATACCATTTTACTCATAGCAATGTTCATACGAATTATTGTTGGTTTTATACAATGTCTTTATGCAATGGTTATCTTTTTTTTTTTTTTTTGTATAACTTATGGCCTCCCACAACTGGCTGATAGTAACTGGTAGCTACTAACAGCTTTCTACAACTGGCTGATAGTAATTTATGACTACTAACAGCCTTCTATAACTAGCTGATAATAGCTCGTGGCTGCTAACAGCCTTCTATGACGGGTTGGTAATAGCTCTTGGCTTTGAACAGCCTTCTGCAAATGGCTTGATAATAGCTCTTGGCTGTGAACAACCTTCTGCAACTGGCTTGATAATAGCTCTTGGCTATCACAGCCCTCTGCAAATGGCTTGATAATAGCTCTTGGCTATCAACAGCCTTCTGCAAATGGCTTGATAATAGCTCTTGGCTATCAACAGCCTTCTGCAAATGGCTTGATAATAGCTCTTGGCTATCAACAGCCTTCTGCAAATGGCTTGATAATAGCTCTTGGCTATCAACAGCCTTCTGCAAATGGCTTGATAATAGCTCTTGGCTATCACAGCCCTCTGCAACTGGCTTGATAGTAAATTATGGTAATTACAGCCTTCCACAACTGGCTTGATAGTAATTGTTTTGGGCATTGTATTTCCCCAACTAACATCCATTGTCTCTTGTGTTATTTTAAGCATTTTGGCAATGTTTTAGAACAAAAATGTTACTTTTGCCCTTTTTGGACACTGCTGTAACAGTAGCTTGTATCATTACATATTTTTAGCTTACTTTTATGCTTATTGTAATTTTAACCTGGACAGTCGAGGTCCAGTATGATTGTAATATATATATTTAAGACAGTGAGACAAGTTCAAAATACCTGAGGGCTCAGACACTGTTTGGAATTGTGTGTGTATGCTTGATATGCATGCATGCTTGCTCGATATTGTGTGCACACGCTTGCTATCATGCTTGATATTATGCATGTGAGTTAGAGATAATGAATGCATGCTAGAGATAATGCATGCATGCTCATGATCATGGGCACATGCTCAATGTCATGTGTGTGGGCCTGACATCATGTGTGTGTGTGTGTAATTACCTAATTACTTAATCACATACACATGTGTGCGTTTGACATCATGAGTGTGTGTGTGTGCTTGACATCGTATGTGCGTGTTTGTGCAGGCTCGACATGTGTGTGCGCAGGCGCGATGTGTGTGTGCGTGCGGGCGCGATGTGTGTGTGTGCGTGCGGGCGCGATGTGTGTGTGTGCGTGCGGGCGCGATGTGTGTGTATGCGTGCGGGCGCGATGTGTGTGTGTGCGTGCGGGCGCGATGTGTGTGTGTGCGTGCGGGCGCGATGTGTGTGTGTGCGTGCGGGCGCGATGTGTGTGTGCGGGCGGGCTCAACATCGTTTGCATGTGTGTTTACGGGTTCGACATAGTGTGCACGTGCTAACTCAACATTGTGCGTGTGTGTTGGCTTGTGGTTATATGTGCATGCTCATAATCATGGGTTCATGCTCGATATTATGTGTGCATGGGCTCGATATTATGCATGCATTGGCTTGATGTTGTATGTGCAGGGTTGTTGACAAGAGTGCAGGTTTGACGACGTGAGTGTGTGGGCTCGTCATCATAAGAGTGCAGGCTTGATGCCGTGTGTGTGTGTGTGTGTGTGTGTGTGTGTGTGTGTGTGTGGGCTCCATTTAATGTATGTGCATTAAATCTCGACTCGACATCATATGTGTGCAGGCTCATCATCCTGTGTGCGCATGCTTGAGATCTTGCACAATGTCTTGTGTGCATGCTTGAGATCTTGCATCCCTATGTGCTCGAGGTCTTGTGCACTTTCTCTAGGTCTTGCATTCATGCATATGTACTAGAGGTCTTGTGTGCCTTCTCAAGGTTTTGCATGTATGCTCGAGATCTTCCATGTACACTTGATATCTTGCATGCATGCATGTCAAGGTCTTGCATGCATTTGTGAGATCTAGTGTGCATGCTAGAGATGATTATGAATGCATGCATGTTGAGGTCTGGTGTACGTTTGGGGTGTTGCATGCATACATGTCAATGTGTGGTGTGCATGCTTGAGATTGTGCATGCATGCACATCTTGGTATGCATACTTGAGATCTTGTACGCATATTAAATGGCTGATGCCTTCTTAAGAGGAAGTGCTCCAGTTTTTATTCTTTATTATTAGGTACTGCATATGGCGGTATTTTTGCTCATACAAACTTCATATGTCTTGATGTTTACCAGAGGCTAATGTGTTGAACTTTCTCTTGTATTGTTTCTATGTAGGTAATCAAATATGCAATAGCATTCGGTACAGTATTGCCAAGTGGGCTTGTATTGGAAGCCCTGGCAAATATCCCACCATCATATTACACACATCCAAAGAGTGAGGCAGTTGTATAGTAATTGTCATTAAGAGGTGTCATTTACCATTCATTGTGTGTCTTGAGTATCGGTAGGAATTTAGGATTTTATGTTATTAATTGACTAAATTATATGGCATTGTTAACTTGTGTTCCTAAGTGTTTACCTTTTTTAATCAGTGTATCTTTTTCCAGGCACAAAACAGCTTCAGAATTCATCTTTGGTCTATTTAGTTAGCAGGGTTTTTTATTATCTTTAGTATGTTTTATGAGATAAAAATAAGTATCCTAAAGCCATAATCTACTAAAAAATCATGATGTAGTGGATGATAATGCCATGTAAGTGGGAACAATCATAAGGGAAGGCTTATCCTTGTTTTATTGGATACTTTTCTTGTCCTCTCACTCACGCTCTCTCTTGTCCACTCATTCACGCTCTCTTGTCCTCTCACTCGCTCTCTCGTCCACTCACGCTCTCTTGCCCACACACACACACACACACACACACACACACACACACACACACACACACACACACACACACACACACACACTTGCATGCTCTCTTCTCCACTCTCATTACACACTTAAAGCAACTATTCAAATATTACTAGTTTACTCTCGCATACTTCACAATTCTCTTCACTTACTTCTCATACAAACTGGGAAACTAACTTTTTGTACACTTTTATTTCTTAAATAAAAGTTAGCAGTAATGACTACTATAAGTCAGAAAGAACATGTCAGGTGTTTTTATTGCAAACAATGTCTCTGCTCACACTATAGATGTTAACAATGTCTTTACTCTATGCTGAAGGTATGGAATTAGTAGGTAGGTCAAGAGCTAAATAAAAATTGTGCTTTTGACACCTGGCTCAAAGGATGGAAACGTGCATGCCTTTCACATTGATATTTAACACCCGAGATTTGGCATTGCAGTGTGAGACGAAACTGACTGTGCAATATCCTACAGTGTCAAACTCACGTTTTTCATGTTTTTTGTCTCTTTAAGCAGTTACTTTCCTGTTTCTTACTACATTTAAGATAGCATTTTCAAATATATTTCAAATGTTTAAGAATAAAAGCAGAAAATGGTATTAGATTTGTGTGCATAGGGTATCCCTAATTAATGATCAGGGTGTTCGTGTGTGTTAGGTCTCTCTAATTAATGATTATGGTCTTTGTGTGGGTAAGATATCCCTGATCAGTGAGTAGGATATTAATGTATGGCATTCCCAATCGATGATTGGGATGTTCATTTGTAAGTGGTCCCTAATGCAGGTGTTTGTATGTGGTCCCTTATAAATGATTGTGGTAATTGGGTGTAAGGGATCCAAATCAATAGTTAGAAGTGTTCGTGTGTGTGTGTGTGTGTGTAAGGTATCCCTAATCAATGATTGATGTTTTGGGGTGTGTAAGGAGTCCCAGTCAATGATTAGGGTGCTTATCATGGGTGTAAAGTATCTTTAATCAGTGATTGGGGTTTTAGCTCTTGCACATCTACAATACATAGTTTATAATAACTGATCTATAGACACTTGAAATGTGAATGGTAATGACATGCTCTTTCTAGCCTAAGTTTATCACAGTGCTGGCTGGTTATTGTTTGTGTGTGTTGTCTTATGTATTGTACACGTCTTCAAGTGCACTGTTAACTCATAACTATTTATCTGTGTAAAGAAAGCGAGTTTCCTGTTCTTGGGTCGGAGCAGACCCTGGCAGGGATTCCCATTGTGAATCAGTTTAATGTGCATTTTAAAGGATTTTGTTTTGGAAATTTTCTTCGTTAATTTTTCAAGCACTTGTACTCCTGACTTAATGTATTAAATATATGATATTGTAGCTGTAAAATGCAGATACTGAGATGGCACAGGATGTTTGTGTCCAGTTTGACTAAACTGGGATTAGGGTTAGTATTATTCACAGTTACTTATTGCAAGTCATAATCATTCGTACAAAAATAATATTCATTGCTCTTAACTATAATTTGACTTAACCACTGCACTGCTCTGCATTAAAACACGACACACCCGTGGTGCGCCAAAAAATAAATTTTTTCCCAAAAATTTTTTTCTCTTCTTATATTGATAAAATGCAGTCTCTGATCACAGCAAACTAAAAAAAAAAAAAAAATTGTATCCGACATACTTTAGCCGTGATGGAACTGGGCAGATGAGCAAATTATGGGCACTGAGTGATGGAGCACTCAAGGTCACTAGGCCCCGCCACCCAGTGGGATGGCAGTTGCTGCGAATATAATGTTTCACAATTATTTGATGCCTCTCATTGTTTTTTCTCTGATTTTATGCTGTAATATTATTCAAAATTGTGTAATTTGTGGAATTTATATAGTCAATGTGTGGAACATTGCTATGCTGAAATTTGAGGCTCATATATGTGACATGTATATTATATTCTACATTCAGTCAAACAGGGTTTTTGCTGTTATTATACTATATACACACATTGTATATACCTATCTACATATGTGTTCACCATAGCGAACCACTAAGTTGGTATGGTGAGCCCAAAAACCAAAAGTGGGCTGCCACACCCAGCCAGCCCTCCCTCACTCCTTCAACACCTAACTCGGCAACAATATTCCTTCCACAATACTGCTTGTGGTATTTTTACACTATATACACATTATATATAACTATCTATATGTTTTATTCACCATAACGGTGCAACTAAGTTGGTATGGTGTCCAAACAGCATAGTTTGGATAGGACACCAAAGACGACAGCCTCACTCACTCCCTCACCTAAATAGCTCCTCCAACATAAGCCTTTTGCTATTATTACACTCTATACACACATTATATATAAGTATCTACATTTGTGTTCACCATAGCGAACCAGTAAGCTGGTATGGTGATTCCAGACAATAACGTGTTGCCACACACCAACCAGCAGCCGACGCTACCTCTCCCACCCTCCCTCACGAAAATTACCCCCTTCCACCATACTATGCACATTGCTAGTTCTCACCACAATCCTGCTATTATCAGAATCCTTGTCACTAAATCATGTAAATGAATAATTTTCCACATGTTTATTTTGAAAAGGAACATAAGAAATTGTTTGAAGAATTTTAGTTGGACGAAATAATGGCAGTGTGCTGTGGTAGCGCTGTAAGCATCTTGAACAGCATTTATTCACCGATATCTGAACATTGTAAACAGTCTTTATCACAGTTAGGCTCTTCTGTAATACTAGCATGGCTAAATAATACCAGATACATGTATATTTGGAAAATTTTAGGCGTTGCTGTGGTCAAATGCTGAACAGCAATGCTATTAGCTCATGCTGCGTGCGCTAACCTTTGTTGTTCACTCAGTACTGAGGCCTTCACACCCGGGAATGTTGCCCACAATTTTTTTTTTTAATGGTGTCTGTTTAGGATAGCTCTGAGGAAACTGATGTGAACCCCATGTAACCGCGGGAATTTTGAATGATACGCTGTACCTAAAAGATCCCTGAGGTGCGTTGTGCACCATCCATCAGGAGCCTCAAGGCGTGTTGCGCAGTGCAGTGGTTAATCATAAAATTTTAAAATAATTTATTTTTTAGAATTGAGTTATAAAGCAATACAGTATACAGAGATTGAATGATAAATTGAGTTGTTTGTTTAGGGATGAAATCGGTGACTTTTTCTTTGCCAACTACAAACTAAGATACATTTAAGAAGTAATTCAAGTGATAATTTTTTACAATATTTATTTTTTAATAAAGTAAAAAAAATTATCAAAAAAAAATTATACTTAGTAATTTTCTTCATTTTTTATGTGTTATGTAACGATGGCCAGCCAGCCATATGCGAAGGAGTCGGTAAGGACAGATAAGTGTGCAAGGCTAGGCAAGATCACATTAACTATAGCTCACATTATAAATGTGGTATATTTGAACATGTTTACAATGAGACAGACACTCATTCTCATCTCACTCGTTTTATTTTTTATTTTTTTTGTTGTGACTTGTCTGGTTTCTTGATATTGTACAAGCATGTTTGTTATTACTGGCCTGTCCGACCCCTTCCTCAGAGGCTTTGTGAACCCACATTGCTCAACCACTGACCAAATGATTCCATGCCATGTTGTTAAATCCAGCTACCTCAATCAGTCAGCAATAGCAATAGACTATACCAGCTTAGAGGCCAAGTTTCTTAGTGGAGGTATACTAATCATAGGGTGTTAATGTAGTGTTCTACACTCTGGTATTTTGTTTATAACTAATAATTTTGGTACAAGCTTTGTTTTTCTGTAATACAGATTTAGGATTTTATATTACAATGTTTTGATGATAAGACTTTGAGATGAAGAACTCAGGATTAGTTTAATCCTAGTAAGAAAATGTTGAATTATGAGTAAAGATAAATTTCTTCCTTCCTATGAATTATTTCTCAAACTAACACACACAAAGTCTAAGACAATGAGTAATGAAAAAAATCAGAAACAAGTTCCACCATGTTTGATTGGAACTGTTCTTTCATTTCTAGGGAAGGAAATCTAAGTCTTTCCTATCACAGTTACAGAGTCCATACCATATTTGCAACTTGACTAACCGCCCCAATTATGAGCGGCAGAGCGATTTTTTTTTTTTTTTTTTTTTTTTTTTAATATACATATAAATATGCTTGTAGCTTGATTTTAAGCTCCAGCCATATTGGTGTGTCCTTAAATAACACATAAGGACAACAACACTGACTGTTGGCAAGGTTGACTGTTGGTCTTCCACTAGTAACAAAGTGCATGCTCTTAAAGAGTAGGGTGTCCCCATAGCCTTCCTCCTACCACAATAACTGGTGGTGGGAAACGGCTCTGGTGAGGTTGCATATTGGCCATGTACGCTTAACTCACGGGCACTTAATGGAGTGCTACCCTGCTCTTTATTGTCCAAACTGCATTGTCCCTCTTACGGTCATACATATCCTTGTTGAATGTCCTGACTTCCAGGATGAACGTGTATCTAACTTCCCAACTGTCCCTTGCGGTCACTTGTCCTTCGATAGAATTCTTGGTGAATCGGATACTTTTGATATCGTTCACCTTATGAGTTTCTTTTCTCGTATTGGCATCCTTAGTGATATTTAGCACCCAGTGATTATCCTGCCCATTTGATGGTGCTACATAGCCTTCCCAGCTTGGTGCCTTCTTTTGATAATTACTTGTTTGACTTTAAACTGTATCCTGAAGTTTAGTTATGACTTTAAAATTCTATAGCAATAAACATCTTGGAATTAATTTCAACTCGTGTGCCAGGAATTGTTGTCACTTGTCATATGTCCTTTTGCTCTTGTATAAACATCTTGGTATAAAACAGCTACACTGCAGGCTTGGTGCCTCCTTTTGATAATTGCTTAATTAGCTATATCGGGGAAAATTGAGAGCCTTAGACTTTGTCGTGGTGAGGGGCTCATATGTGCCAGCCCAAGGCACCACCCTTGGGCTGGTGTGGGTTTCTTTAGCTCTCTTTCATGCCCCTTTCCAGTTGGCATACATGCTAAGGAACCCCAAATTAGGGTTCCCATATGAATCGTCAGACTTTCTGGAGGGGGTCGCTGTTGGAGGTATGTTTTGGGCGACTAGGCTGGGTCATAAGGTCCTTGTGCCGGCATTAGTGTGTGTTCAATTCAGTAGGACTTCACTGTTGAAAATGGGGATCACCGCTTGGGATTGCACACCCTTTCTTGCACTAGCACATACCTCACTACTCTAATAAGTCAAATCCCATGGCTTTGAGATCCAACCTCTGCTACTTACATGGCAGGGACATCTCCTATGGTGACAGGCTATGTTAACTCCACTGTGCTTGCCAATTATGATAGAGCCAAGTGCACCCCTTTACTTCTGGGGGAGCATAGTGTTAGACACTTTTCAGCCCACATCATTCCCTTGCATACTCCTAGATTCCATGATTTGTTTACTACACAAGTAAAATATTTTGATGCCTCATATCTGATAATTTTCACATGCAGTACCACCTTGTTGGTTGATTTGAATGTTATCTTTTATCTTAACTGGTCAGGCATATACAGTATGCTCAAATTCCTACAAGATATGCCGCTGGCCACCTAGTTGCTGTCTTCTGGGCCCTTCACTGTCCAATACCAGGAGTGTTCCTCATTTCTCCATCTTGTGTTAATACCCTTCTCAGCCTTACTCTGTCTGTGCTACTTGCATTGCTTCACTGCCTCTTTGTCCCCTCCAGCCGTCAGTCCAGTTCTCCGCCTCAGCTCTGTCTTCGCCCGTTCTAGCCGATGACTACATCTGTTCTGACATCCCTCGTCATTCTTGTCATTCAATGGAGTATATATGTGGATTTTATGTCAACTTTAATCAGCTACGTCTTTTCATATCACAGTTTTCACCGCTTTGTCTCCAGAAGCTGATGCTTGGCACTCATCCTGCCCACTTCTGCAGTTATGACATTTTATTGTCTTCAACTTTTCATAGTGCTACTAGCTCGACTGTTCTTTTATCCAGAATCGTGTTCCCTTTATAACCCTTTTCAGTTAAACAGCCATTCCACTGCCACTCATATATTTGTGAATAAATTGTATAACATGTGTTCCCTTTATCTCTGCATTTTCTGATCTCGGTTGTTGTCTCCAGGAGCAGGTGGTACTACGAGCTCATCATAGCCCGTGCTACTTGGACCTTTTTGTTCCAGGTAGCGAATCTTTAACAACAACAACAACGGTGTTTGGCACTCATCCTGATCACTTCTGTGGTTATTTCTTTCCTGCCATCCAGCTCTTGCTGGAACCCTTAACTCTACAACCTGCTTGATCTGAAATGCTGTTCCTGTTCTCCCACTGCTTTTTTCAGTCAAACATTCATTCCCCTGCTGCTTTGTGAGTAAACGGTATACAGTACCGTCTATATCATTTATCTCCCGCCCCACTTATTCTACTTTCTCTGTGCAATCTCAAACATCTCTTACTCATTACCGGAGCCTGCGCCTAGAACCTTTCGTCCTTCCTTTTGTGTCTCTCCTGAATTCCAACTAACCAGCACATGTTCATTCATGCACTGGTCTTCCTGCTCCTCTTCTATTTATATAGATCTGACATGGAAACTCCTTGATACCTCCCTAACAGTGACCATTTTTCCCCATCCTAATAACCCTCTTATCTTTGAGGCCCTCCTCTCTTTCCCTGAGGGGGCAGTTTGATAAGGCAGACTGGAATCTTTTCACCTTCCACTGGCTTTCCCAACTTGTCCAGTCTACCTCTCCCTCATGCCCTCCTTTTTCACTCCACTTTATTACATGCTGCCCACTGCTCTATTCCTTGCTATACCTTCCATGGCATGTGGAAGTATGTTCCCTTGTGAAATTCAGAATGTGTTTGGGCAGTCTGTAAGCATGCAAGCTTGCTTACAATCTGTAAGCATCCAGCTTGGGGGGGAAAAAAAAAAAAGACACCAATGCAAACAAACACCTACCTGAATCTTTTATTTTCTTTCAGGCGAGTGCAGTGATCCATCTGAACAGCTAAAAGTGAGTGTTGGAATCTTATATCTCTGCCATTAATGTTGACACCCTTTCCCACAGATCTAGAAGAAAATCTGTAAAATTGCAGGTAAATTTGTTGCAGACATACCGCTTGTCCATCTCAATGGTTGCGTCATGGCAGATCCGGCATTGGTCGTCAATGAACAGGGCTTATACCTTTCATTTATTACCTCAGGTATTTGCCTTCTTCCTACTTTCTTTACTCATAGACCCCTTATTGAAAATCATCCCCTGGACTTTCCCACTCTTCTACATCTCCCCTATTACAATCTCTTGTCTCTGAACTCGTCTGCCCTGTCCCTCTGCAGTTCTATGGCAGTAGGCTCAAATGGCATGAGATGCTTCATCATCTGCCTGTGTACCCTTCAACATTTACTAAATATTTATAACCATTTACTGTATTTGCAAGGTGACATTGGTTCCTGAGGGCTGGTACGAGGCAGGTGTTACTTCCATCTGTAACTCAGTACTCGAGGGCCTTTCCCCTAAGGTTGCCTGATGAATTGTGTTTGCAAACTTTTTGAATGTATAGTTAATGTATGTCTCATGTGGTTTGATATCTTGATGGAAATGTAGGTCTACCTTCATACTGTCTTTGTGAATACTTCCATACCTCTCCATTGTTACTGCAATTTTTAATCTGGAAAAGGCTTATGATACCACCCAGAGGTAAAACATTTTATTCCATCTACAGGTATATTATTTTGGCCTTTGTGGCAATCTACCACTTTTCTTTCAAAGTTGTTTCTTCTCATTATTCGTTTAAAATTAGGCTCGTTACCACTTAATCTGACTCTTTTCAACAATATGAAGGTGCTCTATATTGTACTGATCACTACTATTTTCCTGGTTGCGCTAAATTTCTTTCCTCCCTTTCCCTTGTCGTTTTCTCAGCACCCTGTTTTGGTCTTTGCTGTCATGGTGATGACTCTTCTTTCTCTAAAATCACATCCAACATTCGATTGATAACATGTCGTCCTGGGCCACCAAGCACGGCTTCAGGTTTCCAACAACTTAGACTTGTTCTATGACTTACTCAAAAGGCATGTCATTCTGCATCCCCCATTGTCACTATGGTAATTCCACTAAATATAAAGATACTGCTAAACTTTTAGGGTTGATCTTCGATAACCATTTATCTTGGTCACCCCATACATCTCATCTCTCCCCCCCCCCCCCCATTCCCTTTCTAGTTGAATGCTGTAAGGTCCTTACCTTAATTAATCTTGTACCATACTTCCTAGGGAGCTAATAGATACTTATTCCTTTCTTGTTCTGTCTAAACTTGATTATGGCTGCCCCACCTATTCCTTTGCTTCTGGCTTGAACCTCTGTTGTCTTCATGCTCTGTACTGTATTGTGGATTCTTCAGCTCTGGTTCCTTTCATTCGTCCCTTACCCAGTGTATCAAAACACTGTGCCCTGGTTTTGACAGGATTATCATAATCATTAATGCATTTACCACCTTGCAAGGTCTATGCAACATCCTAACTCTCGCTTATCCTGTGCATTCACTAGTGCCCCTCAGGAGGACCCTGTTTCCTCTTGCCACCTGTTATTCCTTCCCAAAAATGTGTGGCCAGGGTCCGTCTAATTACCACAAGCTACCACAAGCTTCAGAAAGCTTCCTGGCAATACGTTAGTATTGAATAAATATGATATGTTAGGTTAGGCTGCCTTAACCTAACCTAACCTAACCTAACTTAACCAAACTTAACCTAACCTAACCGATGCTTGGATCATCGACTTGATTTGGCGTCACCAGCTTTTATTTTCGCCTAATTTCTTTATAAAAAGATACTTTTTTCAGATTAAAATTGTTTTTTCGTGTTGCACATTCAGCCCCAACATTATAATGAGTAAATATATCATATTTATTCATTACTAACGTATTGCCAGGAAGCTTTCTGAAGCTTGTGTAGCTTGTGGTAATTAGACGGACTGTGTGGCCACATCTGTGGTAAAAAAAATCCTTCTCATTTCACATTTGCCATTTCTCCTCATGTTGTTCCAACAATGCCCTCATGGAGGATAGCAATTGCGAAGTTTTGTAAAGTCTTTATCCATATGGTGAAGGCTTACATTGCTTTTATGTTATCAAATACCTTTCCATTGAACATTTGTTTTTGCTTCATTGCACTAAGATGGGTCAAAGTTTGTTGACACTGACATAGCCAACATTGTCTTTCTTGACTAAACTTGTATGTGCCACCTACCCATGGAGACTAGTATCTTCATGGTGGAACGTTATACATTTTGTTTGTATGTTTTTGCTAGCTGTTTTTCCTTAGTCAACATTGCTATCATTGTGGTTGAATCTTACAATGCCCTCATGGCTATTGTATCCCATAGGGGTCAAAATCTAATACTGACCATTTCTTATCTAGCAGTTGTCAAAATTTTTCTAGATTCCCAGCCATATTGGTGTTACCTTAAATGAACATGTGGACACTGGCATTAAGGAGGCCATTTGCACTTGTACTGTTCTTATTCAGATCTCTAACCAGTTATTCATTTCACTACCATTGCTAAGGTTGTTGGTCTGACATAACAGGTAAACTCCACACTACTCTGGTGAATCGGATATCTTTGATGTCGCCCACCTTATGTCCTTTTGTTCTCACATTTGCATCCTGAGTAGCATTCAGCACCCTTTGAATATCCAGCAACATATTGGCACTGCACCTTCTTTTGATAATTGCATATTTGGCTTGAAGCTTCCTATTCTACCTCATACACTATATAAGGTATTAAATATAGTATCTTTTATATAATGTAACACTCACTTTATTTGTAGGAAATAGAAATATCCACATACCTGGAGAAGTTTGAAAAGGAAAAATAAATATAAATTTCACTTGTGTAATACACACATTGTTTGACAAACTTTCTCCTTTCTCAATGCTCTTCATACATAAAATATCCTTGACATTTAATTTCAAAGTATTTTCAAAAGTTGATCACATAGTCTCCACACTAAACATCTTTGTTTCACTAATTTTTAGTTTTACAAATCACAAAAAATATCAAATATATCTAAATATTATTTTGGACTATACATTAACACGCACAAGTTATTCTGGCAGTGTTCTGAGCATATCCAATGGTTCCCAACATTTTAATTAAGGATGCAGTACTAATGTAATATGAATTTTCATTTTTCTTATAAAGGCAAATTGATAAAATTAGCTTAATAGGAGAAACTCAAGCCTGCATAAGCCTGGTACATCACAAAAGTCCTCTAACAAATCAATTACAATGAAGTCAGACATGCTGTTAGGGTTACCCAAATGATGAATGGACAAGTATAATACACTAACTCATGAACCACTGCTGGTAAAATTCAAAGGTGATCACACATATTCTGACAGCTTCTGTTTTTTTCTGTTAAATAATATAAAAAAATACCTTACAAATTTAGATCAATGGTATAAATTTATGGTTATTATACATAAAAATTGAGTAGTTATAGAAATTTATTACGCTGCTTTTGTACATAAAACATTATGTACTTAATAAATAACACTAGTATTCCATACTATATTAAATACTGTGCACTAATAATTGGCAGTCAATTGCTGTCAACGCAATCTAGAATGAAATGGTCAAACAAATCAACAAATCCACAAGGGCCATGATGAGGGTTCGAACTTGGCCCGGGATGATCCCAGGCGCTGCTTTAGTCGACTAGGCCACGGCATGGTCAAAAGAATTGACCATTGACCTCTTTTTGACCAATGTCGTGGCCTAATTGACTAAGGCACCGTCTGGGATCATCCAGGCATAAGGTCGAACCCTCATCACAGCCCTTGTGGATTTGTTCATTTGATGCATCACGCTATTGTGATTTGTGTGTTTATGGTCAAACAGTTTAAATTTCCAAATAATTTTCCCCTTCTTTTATGGCATAATATATGCTATTGAAGCTACCTTTGCAGTTAACCCTCTACAATGAAGATAATGGACATCTTCAGAGATTACTGGCATACCAAATTAATAGGTGGCCATTACCAAAAGTAATACCAGATGCCATCGTTCCTCTTTTAAAGGTATCTTATATGCACATTGGGAAAATCACAATGGAGTGACTCAGAACATTGGTTTGTATCTTATGTGGTTTCAAAATTGTACATCGGTCATTATTTTGGGGAGGCATTGCCCATACATCGGCACAAACCAACTGGAATTGCAACACTGTTATTCAGCATACATTTTGATATCTCAAACGATGCTAGTTTAATCACTTTACATTTTATGAAATAATTTCATACACATTTAAACTGCAGAACTGATTCTGAACTTTTTCTATGGTTGGTACCAAGAAATATCCTCTGAAATGGCAAGTGACCCTCAAAAATTGTAAGAAACATCCTCTGGTTGATTGCACGAGTAGTCAATCGTTACCTCCTGACATTTACAGCCATACGTATCTCGTCTGGTTGACTACCAGTACACTACTATTACCATTGGCACTTACAACTGTCCACATCTAGGCCAACTGGAGTGATGTCTGGTATGATTAAATCATCCCAATCTGAAATGCTACCATGTGTCTACTTCATGGGCATCCAGTGTCACTACCCACTTGCCCATTCTGACCAAGCACTTTGGATGAAGTTATAACATATGAAACTATAAACTACTGTATAACAATTCCCACCATTCAAGACTGTTCCAAAAATGATTAATACTGTAATACTATACAAGACTTACAAACTTAATTTAAATTAAGTAAATTAAACCTTGCCATCCTTGAAACCTAATACTGCTTTTAATTACGTATAACTTACCTGTTTAAGCTGGTTCTCTGGTATGTCATTATAACTAATGTAATCCACACACCAGACTTCTTGTGCAGTCAGCAGTGAGGAAAGTTTACACATTCTGTATTTTAGTAATGAATGGGAGGAATGGCTAAAAATAGTAAATAGGTACTAAGGTGCATGAAGATAAAATGGTATTGCAGAACTAATGTACATGAAAGTGTAAATGTCTGCTGGCAAACTTTACAAGTGAACAGAGAGATGTGAAAGTATTTCATTCACTATTTCACTCCATATAATAGTGTCTGGCAGATAATAAACCAGCTGCTTATACAATGCAGATATTCCACCTAATTTAGTTGGTAATAATTCTCTCTTGGTATTTAATTTTGAGCTAATTCAAGTAGTGATATAATCCAAACTTTTAAGTAACTATGAACAAAGTAGACGAACCTCCCTACTGGGTTTAAACATCAAGGGTCATCTTTAATGTTTAGCAACAAAAAATAATTTAAAGCACAAGAGGGTCACACTTAAGAAAAAAATCAGGATACTAACTTTTCTGTCTTGCAGTTTGTAAGCTAAAATGAAAAATATATTTAGCATTTTACACATTCAACAAATGTGACTTACAGTATTCATTTTTTATTAAAGACTGGATGGTCAGACACACACTGGCAGAAATGCACTTGGTCACTTGATGTGCTTCAGAAATCTAAATATAAAAATTCTTAATTTTTTTTTTAACTGACATTACAAACTATTATCATCATTATCATTTTTACATTAATAAATTTTTTTATGAGAAAAAATTGAACATTTTAATTCAAGTAATTTACAAAATGACCCATTCAAGAATAATAATTTCTTGCACACAAATGGGCAAGACGTTTCAAAACTCGTGACAAAGATAAGTCCGGAATTGGACATCACCGACACCACAATGTGGCCTTACAAAATGCCAAGAATTTGGTCTCTATAAACTTTCTAATTACATAATGCTCTGTAATTCATCTATACATATTCTTTACAAAATTTAATGTTACTCATACATAAAGAAAAATTGCTACCGTCATTTTTGTTTAGCAATGTACATTTCATTGTTCTCAAATAATATATTCTTAAATTTGTATGAGATTTGTTCAAACATGTTACACCAGTGAAACTTGCACTGGCGGCCACGTGGCTGTTCTGCAGTGGGAAGGGAAGGGGAAGGCAAAGCGCATGTAACTACAGTGGAAGGTGTTGGCACGCGGGTATAACTACAGCAGGGGGATGCTGAAGCGGGTGTAACTACAGTGGGTTGGGTGGGGGAATTATCATGCGGGTAACTGCAGCGGGGCTGCCTATGTGGGTGTAACTGCAGCAGGAACGACCACACAGATACATACAACTGTGATTGGGGAAGTGGCCACATGGGTGTAACTACAGCAGAGGGGGTGCACATATATGTAACAGCAGTGGGGGGGTGGCTCATGCAGGTGTAATTACAGCTGGGAGGAATCGTGTGAATAACTGCAGTGGGGGGAAGGGAGGTTGTATGTGGGTATAACTGCAGTAGAGAGGAGAGGGAGCCATGCAGGTGTAACTGCAGTAATGGTCATGAAGGTATAAATGCAGTGACAGCCACGCAGATGTAGTTGTGGTGAAGGTAATGCAGGTGTAACTGTTGGAGAAGAATACAAAATTGTATTTTATTTTTGTTATTTAATTATCTGTGGTCTCCATTGGATCATCATCAGCATCCATATTATCAGTGTCATCATCCTGAGGAGGTCGCTCAGGAGGTTTCTCGTATGCCTTTTCTAATGCCGAAACGACAACCCCATCCCATACAGACATTTCACTTGCTATACCTGAAACACAAAGAACAAACCTTGTGAATAGTAGGTTGTCATTTATTTACTAAAAAATATTGCAAGTTTCTGGGTGAAAATGTGAAGCACACTCTTGTTCCCTGGGAGGGAACAATTGTTAAATGCTGCGATCCCTATAATCCCGACAATGTACCACATTGATTCCCAGAATCAATACAAGATAGGCCAACTTTCTGTATCTGCACAGCTGAAAACTTTGGAATGACATTGCTGGGGTCATACTGGTGCTATAGGTGCCATACTCCCTAACCTCGGACAGGGAGAGAAACCTAAACCTGAGAGAGATACAGAAAATCCAACCATTCTGGTTTAGACTAAAATATGCAATGGCCTGATCTGCAATAAAAAAGCCACCGATACCAACTCGATATGAAAATGCCCAAAGGTGCCCAATATGAAGAATCCATCAATAAGTATTGAGGATGTACAATGGGACTGATGGTGGGTACATTGTAGAACATAGAATGTGGTACCAGATGGTGACTTCCAAACTCTAATTCAAATTACAGCTTCTGAATGGTGGCTGTAATTTGCTGACTCACCATGTAGAGGAGAGAGCTGTGATGTTCACTGTTTCACTTTGATTAGTATGTGTAAAACAACTGTTTACACATAATTGCCTACAATGTAATACATACACCTATATTGCATGTAAATCTGCTCCTGGCACAGCTCAAAGGCAGCATCTTGTAATGTAACCCTTTCCTTTGCTGTTATTCTGTCTGGTCTTTCCTGCCAGTGTTTTGAATCTTTCTGGATGACATTCCCAAAGTATGATTTGATGAAAACCACAAGCTACTAGTACATTACCTCCTTGTATAGTAACCTATTAAAAACGATAGCAGAATTGTTTCATATACTGTAGATGTATAATACATCCATACAGTTATTATATAACCATATAAAATTATGATTATATTATAACCATATATTTACATTTGACTAAAACTAATAATAAATAAACTCAACGTGGTTACAACATTACCCTGGATATCAAGTGTGGCTATCGTCATAAATTGAAGGGTTTAGTAAATATATAAATAAATAACTTTTCCCATACATGAAATTAAATAAAGGTGGCAAATGGCTATTGATTATTCCAAACTTGATATTTTCATATTCTGTAAGGCTACACCTATATGAGTTTGTAATAAGTGATTTTGTATAATATTCTGAAAACTTTTAATGAACTTGCATTTGAAATAAAAAGTTTGACAAATCCAGTACTGGAGGATTAAAAGGCTTTTATTCAAGAGAGAAAGGGTTTAGCAAAATGAAAGATGTGAAGAGAATAGACTTACTTGAGTTGCCCTCAAGTCCCAGGATCTGCTTGTAGCCACCATGGGAAAGGACTCTCAAGAGTGTCTGTGCTGTTAAACACACAAGGTCCTGCTGCTCCAACGTCATTGCTGTGTGTACACGAATGTTACCGCCCTCACACGGGTCACTGATGCCTGCAGATAAGGTGTCTATGATCGGGTTGGTACCTTCACTTCTTAAGGTAAGAACAATTTCCAGACAGTTCAAACTAGAGGTGTACCGATACATCAGTACATGTCTAATTCAAACATCTCTAAAGTTCTTGTTTTTAAATAAAATTGTCACATGCAACCTGTCACAGAAAACTGATGGAAGAACTACTGATAAAGATTTTCTTATCAAAAATAAATCTACGATGAACCTTAAAGCTATTATGCTAATAAAAATTACATTACAAGTTTTATTAGTATAATTTAATAATTATTAAGTAGGTGGTTGCTGAAAACTGGGATTAATAAGCCTATAGCAAATTAAAGAGAAATTTCATTTCCAACTGCAGTGAAAACTTGCACAATTACAGGCCAGAACACAGTTTTGGGTAACTAGTATAAAGGCAAGAAATGTCTTATCACCAGCTTTTGAATTTGATGTTTAAAGAACACATCACAAATTATAATACCAGCATTAGCAGAAGTGTAATTTTTAATAAAAAAAAATTAAATGAATTTTACACATTTCTATTCATTAGTTTTAAAGTACACTGCACAGTAATTTGAAAATGTCAAGTCTTTTGTAGATGTATGCATATGTTTATGAAATTGTAATCATGTTTATTACACAATTTGAAAAGGTACAGTACAGTCTGTAAGTATTAAGAATGTCACATGCTTGCATTTAGGCTCTGTCCTCCAAAACATTGGATTTGAAATTAATCAATACCTATCAGGTTAAGGTGTAGACCTTCATAGTTTGAGGGGTATTTACATCCACACCAGAGGAATTTTGTGTGAATTACAGCCCTTTTTATAGTACCCCTCTCTGTAGAGGACCAAAAGTAATTGGATACCTGGTGGCTCGACAATTTCTTGGCCAGTTGAGTGTCGTTGTATTATATGTTAAGGTACAGGAGAGGAAACCAAAAGTCAACATTGTAAGTGTGGCATTTAAATTTGGAGTCTGTTTCTCTTGTGTGCCAACATCATGGAAAAGGAAGTGTTTATGAGAGTAAATCAAACCATCCTGAGGCTGACATTAGAATAAATTGATCAGAGACATTGCTAAAGCATTAGGCATGTCAAAACCAACCTTCCTGTATATTACTAAGCAAAAAAAACACTGGCAAGCTTATTAATAGTAAATCATGTGGTGGACCAGAGGAAACCTCTGTAGTGGATGATGAAAACTTAGAGTGGGCTGCTCCAAACAACAGTGTTGGACAAAGTTATAACCTTACCTTGCCTACCTTATGTTGGTTCCAAGGATCAAGATCCTGTGCTCCAGTCTGTGACCAGGCCTTCTGGTTGGTAGTCTGGTCAACCAGACCATTAGATGTGGGTGCTTGCAGCCTGACGTATGAATCACAGCCTAGATGATCAGGTATCCGTTGAAGGTGTTTATCAAGTTCTCTTTTGAACACAAAGTGAGAAGTTGGCCAGTTATGCCCCGTAAGTTTATTAGAGGGTGTTGAAAAGTCTTGACCCTTTATGTTGATAGTTCTCTCTCGGCATACCTATTGTACCTCTGTTTTTCAACACGGCTATATTTTCCACTTCCTGCCATCCTTCTCGTCTCATGATGTTATTTCCATGTGTGTGTAAATTTGGAACTAGTCCCTCTTATACTTTTCAAGTGTAAATTATAATATATCTCTTTTCCCTGCACTCTAGGTAATACAGATTTACAAATTTTAAGCAGTCCCAATAATTTAGACATTTTATCAAATGAATTCTAGCAGTAAAACACCATGTTCTCCACGTCAAACCTGGCCTCAGACTGGGCATGAGGAATAGAAGAACTCCCAGAACCCATTCCAGGTATACTATTCTCTTCAGGATGTAGGCATAGATGTATCAAGGACTTCAATAAACAAAAGACTACACTAGCATAATCTCAGAGTTCACTACAAGATGCAAACCAATTTAGCACCTTGGTGGCTAAAGCCACCAAGGAGCTTTTAAGGGCTGAAAAGAGAGATGCTCTTGACTGGCCAAGTCAATCATCTGATCTGATCTGAACTGAGCATTTGTTCAAGACAAAACTAACGGCATAAAGCCCCAAAAACAAACAGGAACTAAAGATGGCTGCAGTACAGGCCTGGTCGAGCATCAACAGGAAAGACACTCGGTATTTAATGATGTATATGGTCACAGGCTATAGATAATCATTGCATGCAATGGACTTACAACCAAGTATTAAGTAAGACTTTTATTTACATGTTGATACATCCAATTACTTTTGGTCCTCTAAAATGGAGGGACAATGTATAAACAAGACTGTAATTCCAACACAATTCCCCTAATTTGGGAATACCCTCAAATTAAAAATGAGTCCCTGCTTTAACCTCATAGGCATTGTTTAAATTCAAATCTAGTGTGCTGGAGTACAGAAACAAAACAACAAATACAATATTGTCACTTTCCAAATTCTCACGGACTGCATTCTTATGTGTCAGGACATCTCACGATACAAACCGTATTTTAAAATACAATGTCAACTCACTTGAATGAACTGTACGAGGCAAAGCCAATTAGTTACATAACGGATTTTATTTGATGTCAGACTTATGACAACCACCTTCCCACCAGGTAAAAAAATTAGTTTTGAGTGACTGTCACCAAAAAATAATGACAGTGGCTACATCCACTGTCCTGACTCAACCCATCCTTCTAACAGAGCATCGCATTTTGACGCATACTTTAATACCAAAAATCATTGTACAGTACTAGAAAATAGAAGCAGCTGTCTTGACATAATGTCCCGTTTTCTGTTTTGGATCCTCTGGTAGGTTGGGAGAGGGCACTTTAGTACGACAGTTCCTTGACGTTGGAAAACCTTAGGAGGATGAGCTACCTGAATATACAAGTTTGTCACTTACCTTACCACAAAAGTAGTATAGTGAAATATACTCGTAATAAACCTGAAGCACATTAAAGGCAAGTACAAATTGATCATAATCCACCTTTCTTCAAGACTAAATTAAAAAGAAATTCTAAATTAATTTATTCCAAAAATATGACAATTAGCAACATCGTTAGACTTTGCTAACCAAGCAGTTATGGTGTTCAGAGGCCTAGTGACTTTGGTAAAAAAAAAAAAAAAATTATCCATCCTGGTAATTTGTATATAGTTTTTGAGTAATTATTGCCTAACAAGAACGCTTGCATAATAATTTGTTGTTTTTCAGTATTTTTGTTTGAAGTTTTACGTACAAGTATCTTATTAATATTTCAAATTCAAATGTTTATTCAGGTAAAAGTACACACATAGAAGATGAGTTACAAACATAATTAAAATGTTTAAAATGGACGTGCACATTAAAATTCTTTAAGCTTTTTTGTGTATAATATTCTTTGAAATATTATTAACTGTTATTTGTAAGATAATGTCATATTAAAGGTAGTTTAATAGAATTTATGCACTGCACAATAGCTTACAATTAGATTAGGTCGCTGCAAATAGCTGCGTCCCAATGCCTGGGTTCGGCAATGGCTTAGGCAAACATTTCCCACTGACCAGTCTGCACTGAACATAAACTGCTTGAATCACTCAAGAATTCATTGAGAGAACAGTTCATTGGAATCTACTACAGACTTGATGTGATATCATTTTAGTTAAAAATCTTCCCTTTCCATTCATATTATGGGAATTTCCTGGCATGAATATTAGCTTATTACATCCAATATAAACATACAAACTTTCTTAGATGGTCAAAGACCTGCAATTAGATCAGATTGGTGGGGGTGAAGTTGGAGTAGATGGGTAGGAGGTAAGGGGAAGACTGAGACCTTAAGACTGGTAGGAAGAAATGTAAGGATGTTTTTCAGAAAGGATACTAATCGGATAGGGCATTAGGTGGAGGAGGGGTGTTACTGGGCTCTATACTGTCTTGATACTATTACCCGATTACTTTGATTATTTACCTTACCTCCCTGCTTCTCCAAACACCTTGTAGATTGGCAATTGTCAAAATCATGTATCGTCTGTCACTCCCAGAATTGCTGAATTACTTGTAGATTTTACTTGCCTACTATCGTATTACTATACCTTGTTCAGCCTCCCCACTATGTGGTTTTTCATTGTCAGGGACAAGAAACCCATTAGGCTTATTGAGGTCGCCTTAGGTCAACAACTGATGGGTACCTGGGTACCTATTTACTGCTAGGTGAACAAAGGTATCAGGTAAAAGGAAACATGCTCAAGCATCTCCATCCTGTGTGGGAATTAAAACCCTAGACCATTCGGAATGCAATGACCACTATTTTTAATCAGGGTAAATAGTAAGATACTTTACAGGTATGGTTTCTAGTAGAGACGAGTACAACCACAGCAAAATACTCACCAGTCAATCACAGGTCCCTAAAATATTGTTTCTCAACACAATGTTCTATAACTATAATGTTATTTATTTAGTTTTCAATATATTCTCTCAGTCTGAGTAAGCATACAATATACTATTGTACTGGATAGTACTAAAGGTAACTCTTTCAATGCTTTAAGAAAAAAATAAAGCACACAAATTATATTCTTTGGCACATAAAAAGGCAAAAAACAAAGAATTTCACTGGAAGCTCTGTGTGTTGGTGTCATATGTTTAAATGTCTTTCGGGCAAATGTGCCGCTTGCTCAATTTCACTGGAAGCTCTGTGTGTTGGTGTCATATGTTTAAATGTCTTTCGGGCAAATGTGCCGCTTGCTCAGCTGTGCCGGGTAAACTAACCAAGCAAGTGCTCTTTGTAGCTTTTAGTTTTACAATATTTTCAAAATATTTTGACCATGTCCCTAAATACAATCTTGGTATGGCAACCCAAAGAGATGATAGAACACATAGATTTAACTGCTTATTGTTTTACAATACAGTATATTGTTTGTTAAATTAACTCTATTGAATTTAAATAACTGAAACCTAATGAATCTGAATAACTTTAATCTGTTTACTCACCTGCAGACCCAGGAAGGAAAAGCCCTGCAGCAAGTAGCTGTAAACACCGTCGAAATGCAGAATTGATTGGTAGTGCTTGTCTACTGGGGTTGTTTAAAATAGCGTAATGTGCCTGAGGATGAAAATAACATGTTAAATGTAATTACATAATTATCTTCAATCAAAATTCCTATGTATATGTAAGCCATAACAAATTATACACCGTATCTAAGAAAATAAATGACTGCACTTGCATAATGCAATATGCTGTATTGTTAGTTATACAGTATTTTATAACATAAGGAAAGATTCCAGAAGGGGCCACTATGTCAGAGGGATCCCCAAAGAAAATATAAGCTTCCAATGTGTGCTGTGTATCTATGCAGCAAAATGTCCTTCACACATGATTTAATTTGAAGAAGACATTACATTCTTCCAAAAACTGAAACAATCATGTCACATTATAATGTTAATAGCACCAAGAAAATGCAACTTTCAGGAAGTTAAAACATATTAAAAAATATGTAGTACCAAACATTTCTTGCCAATTAAATTTTGTACTAAGCTCTTCATTCTGGGGCACAATTGACATCACTGCTAAACCAATGTTGGTTCGTTTGCAAGTATGTCAACCATTTCAGGCTTTTGCAGCCTTCAGCTGTGGCTAGTATGGAGGTAAAGGGCTCTCCTCTACTAGCAAAGGTGACCTAGAATGCTTTGGAGAATTATTTTGTCTTGCACTGCTTTGAGAGATGGTGGCAGACTTCTATGCAGTCTAGCCATTTTAGATCTAGCCCAGACTCCCGGAATGAAGTAATGACATTTATGCACTGGCAGCCCAGGAGAGATAAGATCCACTTCCTCATCCCTGTCTTGAGCACAGTGGCATGAGAGGCCACCCAGGGTTGGTGGATGTCAAGGTTCTCCTTGACATTTCTTTTGTGTTAAGCCCATGTCAGGGCTGTCTTAACAGCACTGTAGGCCCAGGGCAAAGCAATGTCCTAGGGGATCCTATTCAGAAAACAGGGCCCTGTCTTTCTGCTAAAGTTCACAATTACTCTCTTATAGTTATGCACAAATTATTTATATTACAAATATAATTTAAAAGGGGGATATGAATCCCCGGACGTTCCAGTGACGGGTCAAGTAATTACCCACTTTGCGAAGAGATCTCTCATGAATAATATGGCAGCATGGGGCCCTTGGGCAATTGCTCAGTGTGACATAAAGGCAACAATGGCCCTGGTGACATCCCGGTGGGGAAACAGTTGGATGCCTTCTGACAAGTCTGGATTTGGGATTCCTGGCATGTATGAATTCAGGATTCCTAGCATGCTAATTACCTCTCTAAACATTAAAGTTTTTTTTTTCCTTCTAAAGTTATGGACTGAATTGGCTTTGGCAACTTCTTCCATAAACATATTCCACTTGTTGACCACCCATACAGGGTGCAAAAATTTCCTTCCCACCTATACAACTCAATAACATATTCAGCTTCTACCAATGTCCCCTTATAGGTACTGATCACATCCTGTTTTTATCTTCTCTAAGGTGGTGAGGGTGAGTTCTATCCATCCTCATAGCTGAGACCTTTCAATTCTTATACTAATGTAGTAGCAAACCCCAGAACTTTCTCATTTTTTTTTTGTACTTCACAAGGTGCTGATTCCATGCTGGTGCTACACACTCTAGTAATGGTCTCACATAGACAGGCCATATGGACTTTAAAGCCTCCTTGTTTAGATTCTTAATTTATATTATGTTTGCTAAGTTCAAACATGCTAATGTTATCCTGTTCACATAAATTTCTGGTGTTAGTGTTTGGATTATAAAGTATTCACTCCCAGGTCTTTTACTCTTATTGTTTGCCTGTATGGTGTAGGTACCTACAGGTCTCTATCTCCTTTACCTTACGCTTATTTGGACTGAATTCCAGCAGCCACTTATTGTGGTCGTCCATCCCTCGTCCTGTTCCAGTCTTGTCCAAGATGTGCCATATTGATATGCAAGACACAGCGCTAATACTTAATACCTCTTACCTAGAGGCCAGTCATTGTTGTTTTATCCTTCATAGGTTAGCCCACCAGGTTTCCTTTTCTGTTTTACTTTTATATGTTTCTTATACTGTACAATACAATTTGTGCTGTCTCCAAGGAAAAATAAAAAAGTGCTTTTACCTCCAAATCTTTGTGATGAAAAGGCTCAGGCAAGTTCCTGAGAGGTTGAATTTAATAGAGCATTATATACAATAAAATACTTCTTTCTGGGTGGCATCTTAGTGGCCAGAAAGAAGTGTGTCATCACACTCAAAACTTATTTATTTTTTGTTTGGCCTCTAATATAATTTGTTTAAACATTGTCTACCAAAGGGAATTAGAGAGATTTCCCTAATCAAATAACAATTTTAACACTTGCTGAACATAATACTTACAAGAAGATCCAACATCCACGGTGACAGGGGTTCGAAACCTTCAAAACGACCACGAAGATCCCTTAGTAATCGGATGAGAACTTTAATCGTAGAGTGATGAGCATTCTCTTCAAACCATCGACTGAGATTAATACAAAATTATAAAAAATGTAACAATTAGATTTGGCTCTAAGAGTATACAACACTCCAGCAATAAACAAATTTACTTTCCTGCTCAACACTGTTAACTGTTGACTGTTAACTGTCAATGTACATATAAAACGTGGGTAACTATGAACAAGATTGTGAATGAGTTCCATAGTGTACAAGAGAAAAGTAAGGTTGTGGTGTTTGGGAGAAGGAAATGGGATGTTGTGAATTTTATAAGAACACTCTAGTGGTAAAACATGCCAATTTGAACTGTAATTCAAATTATATATTCCCCAAACAAGATACCTAGCATAAAGTAAGGTCATTATTAGGAGAAAGTCCAAAGCCAGTATGACCTTGGAACTTGAAAGGGATATGTATGACACAAGGAAGGAATAATGCCCAACCATTTGTGCCATCGGGGACTGAACGTCAATCTGCGGGAAGCAAGACAGCTAGCGTAATTTTCCACCAAAAGGATATCAGAGCAGTTAAATCAATACAAACACTATTTTATGCTAAAATACTTATGACATAACATTTGATGCTGAAAAAGCAACACTTGACAGGAATACCAAATTTCAGTCAATGATGTGTGCATACCTGTGTCTGATGGCAGCAAGGTGTGACTGCAGAATTTTCTGATCAAGGTGTAATTCTGGATCCAATTTACGCAAGTTCTGGTGAATGGTGGTGACGAGCACACGCACCGTTGCCTCACTGTTGCTGATCTCAAACCCTCGGTCATTGGGAAGCATGGTTAAAACCAGTACTGCAATAAGGAAGACTTTTATACTTTAGATTTTCACTGATACAAGGGTTTGTGTATAATACTTTAGCCAAAATTATGCTGTATGTGTACTATAGCATACCTGCAATCCAAAAGGATTTGAAAAGTGTAATGAAACAACTTTCTGGCTAGTACTTTAATGTCTTCTATACTTAACCCATACTATTGCCAAAATATTTTCACTTGCCAACCTCCATAAACACAATTTTGTTTAATTAAAAAATAATTGAATATGAATATACTGTACAGGGAAAGGGCAATTTGTCCATAAATACCTCACTTTCCCTCATTAATAAATTTTGTTTGCAGCATTATAGGAAAATACACGAAGATTACGAAGAAATAATTTACAAATTCCTAGTTGCCATAGTATGTATGGATATTGCAATATGACAAAGACAATATTACTTCCTTATCAAGAAGAAAAAACAGTGAAAGTAAATTGTTCAATAAAGTATATATTTATCTGTATATCTATAAATAAATATCCCGTAGTCCAAAGGTTACATGAGAAGACAGAGCAAAGCAAAAGAGACAAGAAAATACAAAATATATCACATTCTGGGGTCAAAATCCCCAGACAAAATTATATACTACAAATCATAACAGCTCACAAAAATTCACTTTTTCTATTTATGGGTCCACTGGTTAGTTAGGTTCAGGCAATTTAATACATAATTTTCTGTCAGTTATGACAATTTGATAGGGCAGGCTGTGTGGTGAAGGTGATCACAGATCCCCAGCTCTTTATGCCTCTGTGAGGGACCTGGGTTTTGGACGCTGGTCCAGTAGGATCTTAATGACTCACAAAGGCCTGGTGTAATTGGATGAGCTATGAGGTAATCACAGCAGCTAACAACAAGGACCCAATTCAGAACTTTCCCAGAAACAGAAGTAATGCATTGAACATGGACTGATCAAGATGAGATGGAGGGAAAACAAAATCCATTATGTTTTCAATATTTAGCAAGTCAAATATTAAATTGTTAACATTAAATGTCTGTTTGAGTGAGTCTGATATCAGGCTGGGCTCCTGGTAGGCCAAGAAAGTTTCCAGAACCTATAGATTGGCGTAATCCTGGGTTGTCAAGAGCCTTATGCTTCAGGTAGTTATTAAGGAGCTCACCACAAAAAGAATGTCATCGAGCCTCAAAGAGAGTACTGTACTCTATTTGAATTTGCAGTAATACTTTCTTTACCAATGTTGAACTGTAAATGGTAAGCTATTCCCTGGCAAAGTATCTAGCATTGGCTAATCTGTCAAATAACAGTCAGAGCATAACCTCAGGGAAGCTACTGAGGCAGCTGCCCAGATATAATACAGCACGATTAAAAAAGAATAAAAAAAATATTTACACACCTTCCTGAGGTTCTTGAGAACGCAGATCTTCACAGACTTTTTTTCCGAGTGCTTCCACTGCTTCCTTTGTTGGTAACGTCTTGAGAATAACAACAATATCAGCCACATTATGTCCCGTCATCATCGTGCCTTTCTTATATGAGCCCACCTGCCGCACCTCCTCAATTTGCTGCAGTGATCAATGTTTAAATTAATTGCTTATATAGTATTTGTACCTATCATCAGTTTACAGTGTACTTTGATAAATAAGTTACTGGCTTTAAAGCCATTTACGACTTAAAAAATAAAATATACAGTACAAAGTAAAATCACCCACCCAAGAGGCAATTGGCGTGCAACGAACTTACGGAACTTACGCATGCGTCAAAATTGCCCGGATCAACTATTAAATTGTCCATCACAGCTTGTATTTTTGTGACTAAGTTCAATACAGCTGCCTGCTCAGCTGGTGTTGGAGAAAGATCAGCATTCCTCTTCAGAAGAGCCTGTTAATAAAACATAAAAATTTGCATTGTCATAATTCAAAATTTAGTTGACTAACTACCCTGAATAATGACCTACGAGGTCATAAAATTTAAATAAAAAACAAATAAAACCCAAACATTCAAGAGAAATGCCACCAGATGGCAGAGCAAGTCAACTAGGGGTCTGGCAATACCAGTAACATCACTCTCGAGTCTGAGGGAACCATGAGAACACAAGGGGAAGCATGGAAAAAGCAAGCCACTGAGGGGGCATTGATTTTATTACCCATCTCTTGTTTTGAAAGCTCTCATGATTGACCCTTTAATTTTTTGGTTAAAGCTGCATTGCTTTGCTATACTTTCTCAAAGATATATGTAAGTTGTCTATGAAATGATCACCAGTATCTTGGAACTACATACACCAAATATCTGTAGTTAACTTTGTTCAAGAGAGACAAGAAAGGAAGAAACTTGTACGGTGTCCACAAAAACGTAGCTAATTAGATGTTGCCTAACTTTCAAAACATTTTCTTCATAAATTTGAACCAACCTGTGTAAATGCAGACTCGTCTGGTGCTGGCTTCACTCTGGGGAATGCTGATTCACAAAGCACCATGTCAAACGGAAGTCGTGGAACAAACTGCTTCATTTTTGGTCCAAAATGTGGACCAGGTCCCATGGGTCGCATCATGCCACCTCTCATTCCTCGTCCACGCCCTCGAGTCATTACCATGTCTTTGTCAAAACCTTAAAATATAAGACAATTTTAATATATATTTCTGCTTTAAATGCTCTGGCTAACTATGAGTATACAGTGGAGCTTCCAAAATCCAGATCATATTATTTCTGTCCTAATACAGACTTGCGTGAAATTAGAATCTTCCAATATATTGCCCCTCTTTTATGATTTATCTCCCAATTTCTTATTTTTCTCATAACAAATAATATATGTTTCTTAATTTCTGCCTGAATATATTTCCTCAGAAGCCACAGCTGTGGGTCATCCTCAGTGACCATATCATACCTAGGGGTCATCCTTCATGAATATATCATGCCCTGGAGATCGTGTTAATCACCTTCAAACTACTCGTCGATAGCTTCTCTACCCATCATCAACACCTTTAAACATATAAACGCCATCACCCTCAAAGGCTTCAAAAATTATTGGCAAGCTCGCTCACATTATCACAATCGCTCCAATATAAAGTCATGGTGGAATTTGACTGATGAATGGATACAGGTAACCTTGTAATCAAGACTGTTTGCCAACCAATTTTAAACCTACCAAACCTAACCTAACAAATAACCAACTTAACCAAACCTATCCAAAAATCAGCCCAACAACATATTTTTCAAATTTAACAATTAGTAAATAAGATTTTTTGAAATGCCTGACATTACCCCTGATGAACATATGCAGACTGCAGGCTGTAAAACTATATTTTATGGAGAACACCTTATGGAACTAGCAGTATATAAATCCATCTTCAGAAGCATACCGTATTGTCTTGTACAAGTGCAACCAAATTTACCGTAGATTTCAGAACAAGCAAAAATATGAATTACATAACAGCATCGTATTTCTATTTCTCATTGTATTGTATGTAACATGTATTTACCATGTTACATTGCAAGATGATGTTATTTAACTTCAAGGATTTGTTAATCTTGTCAGATTAAATCTACTTATTTTTATTAGGAAAGATGTCCAGCAGCAGAGTTAGTCATGCAGAAGGGAAGAGAAAAAAAGACTTGATAAGTACTAGTATTGACAAAAAGCAGAAATTCACCGAGCCATTTGAGATGTTTCAAAGATTCACAGCCCTCCCCTACATTCCCTCAGCTCCCCCTACACTCCCTCGGCTCCCCCTCCAGCCCTCCCCTACACTCCCTCGGCTCCCCCTTCAGCCCTCCCCTACACTCCCTTGGCTCTCCCTCCAGCCCTCTCCTACACTCCCTCGGCTCGCCCTTCAGCCCTCCCCTACACTCCCTCGGCTCGCCCTTCAGCCCTCCCCTACACTCCCTCGGCTCGCCCTTCAGCCCTCCCCTACACTCCCTCGGCTCGCCCTTCAGCCCTCCCCCTATACTCCCTCGGCTCTCTCTCCAGCCCTCCCCCTATACTCCTCAGCTCCCCCTACACTCCCTCGGCTCCTCCTCCAGCCCTTCCCTACACTCCCTCGGCTCCCCCTTCAGCCCTCCCCTACACTCCCTCGGCTCCCCTACACCCCTCCCCTACACTCCCTCGGCTCTCCCTCCAGCCCTCCCCCTATACTCCCTCAGCTCCCCCCTACACTCCCTCGGCTCTCCCCTACACTCCCTTGGCTCCCCCTTCAGCCCTCCCCTACACTCCCTCGGCTCTCCCCTCTAGCCCTCCCCCTATACTCCCTCAGCTCCCCCTCCAGCCCTCCCCTACACTCCCTCGGCTCCCCCTCCAGCCCTCCCCTACACTCCCTCGGCTCTCCCCTCCAGCCCTCCCCCTATACTCCCTCAGCTCCCCCTCCAGCCCTCCCCTACACTCTCTCGGCTCTCCCCTCCAGCCCTCCCCCTATACTCCCTCTGCTCCCCCTCCAGCCCTCCCCTACACTCCCTCGGTTCCCCCTACAGCCTTCCCCTATACACCCCTCGGTTCCCCCTACAGCCTTCCCCTACACACCCCTCGGTTCCCCCTACAGCCCTCCCCTGCACACCCCTCGGCTGCTCCTCCAACACCACCCAACAACCCCTCCAACACTACTCTGCTGCCCCTCCTACACCACTCACCTCTTCCTGCCCTCCCACGCTATTCACCTCCCCCTCCACACCACTAAGCCAGGCAAGGCAGCAACACTCACGTCTTGGAATTAAGTCACAACTACCGGCAGAGACAAGCCAGGTTAAAACAACGTCTTGACGACGCCGGGACTCAAATCAAAACAACATGGCTAGAACTTGTTCCAATAACTCTCACTAAACTGCATCCCATATTAGCTGTAATTCTTCATTATAAAACACATATTTGAGAAATATTTTCAAAATTATTTTTTCTGAACCAAATAAAGGTTTGTGTTTTACTAAATTTAATGAGATAACTTAGAAAGAAGAAAAGTTTAAAATAGTTTGTTTCATTTGTATGAGTATGAGTTAAGCTGTCTGACAACTGAGGCTCCTCACGCGTCGCTACTTGTTCACATATACTTGTATTCTTCTATAGCTATACTTTCCCAATTGTTCTTTCCTAGTTGTATTTTCCTAGTTTTATTATTCTAGTTGTATTTTCCTTGTTATATTCTCCTAGTTGTATTTTCCTACTTTTATTTTTATAGCTATACTCTCCTATAATAATCTATAGCATATAAGAATACAGAATTTACCTGAGGACCACTGTTTTTTTAGTGGCCTCGTTGAGGACAGGAAGCCAGCGGCTTGACAAAGGTCCTCCCATTTGTCCTAATGATTTTATCTGTTTGGATATGAAACTGCAGCAATTGTACTTGTAGGGGTTGAGCTTCGACTCTTTGGTCTTGCCTCTCAACTGTCAATCAACTTATGTCTTATATTGTCGCTTGTTGAGCTTGAAGCTGTTGTTCCTTGTATGTGTTACATTTGACATTTTAAGAAAGTGTTCTGGATTAATATCTTCCAAACTGGTCAGTTTTTAAAGTCACGGACCTGTAATTATGTTTTGTTTGCAGTATTGTTAGTTCTGTGACCCTCAACTGTTCATGGTATACCACGTAACTTAGTGATGGGATGATTTGTGTCACGCTATGTTCAACTTCCTCCAGTTCAGCTATGATGTCCTTTGAAGATAATGTCCCCATGCTTCGATACACCAGAGACTTTTAGTACATTTGAATAACCACATTCTTTCTCGATCTCTAAGGTTCTTTGAACTATTCGGATTATTTTTTTGTTTGCAGCTCCCAATTGATGGGCAACTTTCAATGACTGAAGGATTCTTACTCTTAGGTCCATTGCTTCATGAGTGTGCTGTATGGTAGTATGAGTGTGCTGTATGGTAGTGTTGCTTGTATGATAGTTGTGCTAGAGCAGGGGACTAGACAACACTCGCATCTCATCTTGTCTCTTAATTCCATATATGACTAACCTTCCTGTAAGATGGGGATTAGATAAATTCATAACTAGCCTTTGATCTATACTTTGCAATCCTTCATACAGAATATGGAAGCAGCACATTGCTGTGTACAGGTGTATACCAAAATTTGTTAATACAAAAATTTGCTATGCACTACGTACAAGGTCTTGCATTTTCAATAATAAAAAACATTTACGTCTTCTAACCATTTGTACATTTCATGTAGATCTCTTTGTAAGGCTTCAATATCAATTTCATGTTCTATTTTACCATATATCTGTTATATGCAAATTTGATGATGTGGTTTGCATAATATGAGGTATTACACAATATCGATCAAGAGCTAGCTATAATTAAATTCATTTAATATCCTAAGCTCACATAGAATCAAACACAAAAATTAATATCTATATTTAAAATATAATTCGCAGTCTATAAATAAAGCCCTGTTATTTATTGTTATGGTCCCTATGGCGACCCCATGTACATACGTCAGTGACAATAACAACAACAACAACAACAACAACACTAGTAAAGTTCCATATTAAATATATACACAAATGACCTCGTTTATAGCATTTTACACTTAACAAAATGTATATTATTATCATAATTATTCTTATTCTGATTATTATCATACTAATATTAGGTTTGTATTAGTGGGGGAGTATTGCAGTAAAGGTTGAACGACATTGTTGGAACAGTCAGTAGTTAGGGCCAGCAGCTGGCCGGCCTGATCAATCAGTTCACTCTCGGCCACCCTACTCCGGCCACCCCCTATACCGGCCACCCCACTCCGGCCACCCCCTATACCGGCCACCCCCTGTGTGGTTACCCCTCCCCCTATACCGGCCACCCCTGTGGTGATCTGTGAAGGTCGTGAACCTGGGCACAGCGAGGGTTCTCCCAGAGGTCAGGGGTCACCAGCCTGTGTCCCACTGTGAGCACCACTACTGTACTGTGAGAGGTGGTGTACTGTGAGCACCACCACTGTACTGTGAGCACCACTACTGTGGTGTACTGTGAGAGGTGGTGTACTGTGAGCACCACTACTCTGGTGTACTGTGAGAGGTGGTGTACTGTGAGCACCGCCACTGTACTGTGAGCACCACTACTGTGTACTGTGAGCACCACTACTGTACTGTGAGCACCACTACTGTACTGTGAGCACCACCACTGTACTGTGAGCACCACTACTGTACTGTGAGCACCACTACTGTACTGTGAGCACCACTACTGTGGTGTACTGTGAGCACCACTACTGTGGTGTACTGTGAGCACCACTACTGTGGTGTACTGTGAGCACCACCACTGTACTGTGAGCACCACCACTGTGGTGTACTGTGAGCACCACTACCGTACAGTGAGCACCATTACTGTACAGTGAGCACCACTACTGTACAGTGAGCACCACTACTGTACAGTGAGCACCATCTCAGGGGGGAGCGCCACCATCACCACCACTGTGAGCACCAACACTGTAGGGAGGACTGCCACTCATGGCCTCTTATTATTTTCCAACTTGTGTAGAACTTTATATAATAAATGTTAATGCTATTTCCTATATCAATTTTTCTTTTAGAAGCTGTACACGATATTGTATTATATAATTTTTGTTTGGTAAAACTATGCAAACTGTCTCATGTGAAATGACTTGTTTTTGGAAATAGCGAATTAATGAATTAACCCAGATGCAAATCCTTGAATGTATGTCATCTAGTGCGGATGTGGGCTCAGCAATGCATTTTAAAACCTAACTTATCCCACTCTATAATAACATAATCTCACCCAGCCAAACCTGATGATGCATGCCAAGTTAAAGTGAGAAAAAGAGGAAGGTAAACATGTTAAATACCAATGTACAACTTGAGCATATTCCAAGCATATCTTATACCCAGGTTGCCATATAGTTCTTTTATTTATTTATTTATTTATTTTATTTATTTATTTATTTATATACAAGAAGGTACATTGGGATTATGAGGATACATAGCATAGTAATTACTATCTTGTAAAGCCACTAGTACCTGGTTATAAGCAAGAGACTACACATGCTGCCTGTCTCTCCCAAAAATTAATTAAAACAAATTATGATATTGACAAATTTAAAAATAAAAGGAATCCAATAAAATCTGTTTCAAAATTAATTTATTTAGTCTTGTTATGAGAAGAAAATAGGTTATTTATAAATAAGTTTAAATACTGTGCTGTACATATGTATATACTGTACTGTAAAATTATGAAAGTCTTGAAATAAAAAAAATAATAATGTTATGTAGCAGCAACAGCTTTAAAGCACTTTCTGTAATAGATAAGAAAATCTATAGATCATCATACCAAGTGATATAATAGAGAGTTCCTGTGTATAAGCACATTTAAAAATATGGTGGAACCTTACCTCTATGGTTGGTGGAGGACTGGAACCCTTGGTGGGCCAGAAAGAATTGACTAATGGATAAATTCTTGGTGAACTGAAATATGGTGTTTTGGGATACCAGCCTTAATTGATGAAAAACAAAAATAAAACTTGCATATTTTGTTTTGTCAAAGATTTTTGTTTTCCTGCTTTTTCATAGTACAGCACAGCAAGTGCTAATAAATGTTATTTAATATTGGCAAAATATTTCTTTTATTGAATATTTACTTAAAGCTTGGTAATGTAGAATGTAATATAGTACTGTATTGTAACCCAATATGCCGGGGCCAGGTGCTTTTGCTCTTGGTGATTGTGTGCCGGGACCAATTGGTACTCTGTGAATTTCATCAAACTTTGTGTAGTTATTTCATTATTTGTTTGGTAAAGTTATCATCAGTTGTAGTGGGGGTGAGCCAGGTACGGAAAGAGCAGGTATCATCATGGAAGGAGAGGCATGTGAGCAGTGAGCAAGCCTGGGGAGTGCCAAGCCAGACAACTGGTGACAGTATTGATAAATGAAGCTGACATCATTTGAAATCATCTGAAATCAAAGCAGCTTATACTGTAATTGGTTTATGCATAGCAGTATATAATACAACACAGCAGTTTTGTATTTTTGTATACAGTATTACATATAGATCTTCTCCATACCCACTTTCTGCCAGCACCTAACTGGTATATACAGTACTGTAGCTATAAATACTTAAAAAAATAACCATTAAAAGAAAATTGTAACATTAATGTAATTATGTTTAGGGGTCTTATTTTGTTAGCATGTCTGATCTTGGCTAAAGTGGCAGAAGAAAGCTGTAGCTATTTTGCATAAGCTAGGCCTATCTAGTGTTGGAATGGTACAGGGTAAGTTGCCTTGTATTCACACAACATTGGTTTTGAAACAAAATAGAACTGTGATGGTGGTTTAGAAGAACTGTATACAGGGTACCTCCTTGCAGAGTCCAAGGTAATTTTTGTAAATTTATCAAGTTACCATTTAGATTCTCTAATTATGTTTATCTTGCATACTCATACTGAGGTAAATTGTAGTGATGAGAATAAACATTTCATTATTTTTGTGTATTCGGTAAAAATAAATTGGGTAATAGGTAATTTAAGAAAAATTGCCCTATTTAAAATTGTTTCATATCATTAGTCACCAGTCATCATTTGTCAGTCAGCAGATAGTTATCAGTTGAGTGATACAGTCAGCAGACAGAGTTATGAGTCAGCAGTGTCTCATTATTCATCAGACACAAGCGGTAATTAGTCAGAAGGGTGCTGATGGATCCTTGTTAGTGTGCTCTGGTTACCTTATAGGTGTGTGTGTGTGCACCAGTTCCTGTGTGTTAGGATGTGATACTGTAATTTGTGACATTTGGTGGCTGCTTTATTCTCATTACTGGCTCCTGCCTCTTCTGCTCTGGCTCTCCAGGTTGTGTTGCAGTGTCTTCTCTACAGTGGAACCTGTTTCTGCTGCTTTCAATTTTGCTGCCGTTCCTTTTAGTCTTTCACCCCCACTGGTTTCTCATGTTGCTTGGCTAAGAAAATCTGTTGGGCTTTGGCCTCAATGGATGGCTTGTTACAGGCCAATGCCTTGCACACTTGGCCTGCTTCTGCTGGTTACATTATGCTGGTTCTCGTGTCCAATTTCATATCAACATTAACATTGGCTGCTTGCGGCTTTTTTGGAGTTCACCGGGGGGTGGTTTTCCCAACCCGACCTTTCTGATGCTTAGTCAAGCTGTTTTTTTGGGTATCAACCTTCTCATTTGGTTTGTTTGCAAGCTGTTTTTTCTATTAGGGTCAAGGTGCCTCTTACATCTCATTTTGCACTGATTTTGGCAATGTTCATGTCCTAGTTGTCTTGCTTTTTTTTTTGCCTTGCTGATCACACCTATTGCCTAGCCAAGCAACATTTTTCACTTTGGCCTATTTTGCAACTTGCCGGAATGGTGGGGCATTCATAAGCATCTCGTCTGTTATGGACTGTGCAGTTTCCAGGCAACTGTTTTGAGAGGGAAGATGGGATGGGATGGGATGGGTTATGCATTCCATCTTGATGGGATGCATCGCTTGACATCTATTATCCAATATTCTGCTTGTAACTCACTTTTTATGTACTTTTACCTAAATAAAGTGTTATTATTATTATTATTATTATTATTATTATTATTATTATTATTATTATTATTATTATTATTATGTCAGTTGAATACGCCTGCCATTGTTTGCTGTGGCAGTGTTGTGTAGTGGGAGCCTGCTTCCTGATGAATGATAAGGGTGGATGGCCTTCCTGTTAGGGTGGTGGAGCTGGAGGGGTGGGGGGTTAGTATGGGGGGGATAGTTTACTAGGGGCAGGGAGGGGGGTCAAATAGAGTTGTGGGTCAGCACTGTAGGCCATCTGAATGGGTAGTGGGTAGTTTAGATAGTGAAGGCTTGGGGTCAGTTGAAGGGTCCGTGAGACACTACAATATGGATGACAGGTCAGCAGAGGTGATGGATCAGTGTAGGTATTATGTCAGCAGGGATGGCAGGTCATTATTGATGACAGTGAGTAGGAGTGGCAGGTTAGTAAGCCTGCTCTGTTGAATATGCCTCCCATTGTTTTTATGTACCAGTGTTGGTGTGAAAGTGTTATGCATGTGGTTTGTGAGGGTGGTGGCAAGGGTGGATGACCTCCCAGTCAGCCAGGATGTGGGTGGGGGGAGGGGGGGAGTGGGGCAGGGGTATGTAGAGAGATTGGGGAGGGGGTTGATCTTATCTGAAGAGGGTTTTGAGAATTGTTCTATTCCCCAAACCCAGCTTGGGGCCTAGGCTTGATGTGATAATTTGGTCCAACAGGCTGTTGCTTGCAACTGCCTGTTGGACCACATTTCAACTGCAGCTTGGTTAGTTCTGCATTTCTTGCAAGACTTATTTAATCATTTCTTGAAGTCCACCTTTGTTGATGGGTGGGGAGAGGTATGTTGAGGAGTGGGGGGGGGGAGGTATGTTGAAAGGTGGGGAGTGAGGGGGAAGGAGTGTGTGGAGAGTAAATTTGGGAAGGGGAGTGGTTTGCAGAAAAGGAGAGGCAGGGGAGTGTGTGAATAGAGTGGGGAAGTGTGAGTAGAAGAGTGTGTGAAGAAAGTGGGGAACAGGTGTAGTGTGTGAAGAGAATGGGGATGGGTTTTCTTGAAGAAAGTTGGGGAAAGAGGTGTGCATGAAAAGAGGTTGTGGGGGGGTAGAGGGATTTTTGTGAAGAGGTAGTGGTGAGGGGGGGGGGAGAATGTATTTACAGGTATAGAGGGGATGAAGAGTGAGAGGGAGGGAGGGAGGGAGAGTGCCTGGGGGTGGGTGGGGTGTACATTCAAGCCTCTGCCTGATGACAAAAACATGATCTCATTTTTCAATGCTATTTGCTTGCCATAATCATGTCCTCTTTCCTTTTAATAGAGAACAGTATTGTACATTATTCTGTATGATGGAGTGAAATTTGTTTATTGATTGAGCTCTACCAATTCTTTACTGATTGTCAATGGTTGTGGGATTTGGAAGCAGAGTTAGTATTAAATTATAATTTTATTTTATTTGAACTTAATATAGTTATCATTTTATCCTTTGAGTATATATAACTTATTCAGAGAAATGCTATTTGCTGTTTTTCTATAGTACTTTGTAGTAGCATTTCATGCTCGATTCTTCCAAAGATAACTTGTGCTAGAAGGTAAAGTAGTTGGAATGGTGCTTCTGGTGTTGCCAGTATCCAGGCCACGCATCACCTAGAAGAAGCAGAGAAGCAAGCTGGACACACCAATTGTGTGGACTCCAGGAAGTGATCAAGCACAGCCTGCTGTTAGGAGAGGCATAAAAGCCCACCATTGCACCCCACTTGGGAAGAAAGTAAGACAGTAGAAGATACAACACCAAGGGCTTCCAGGTCAACCTACAACTGTGAGGCAAAATATTCCCTGTTGTGCCATACCTATGAGCATCTCAACAGAGTCCACACCTTATGATTAACTGGGATCAAGTCCAATAATAGCTCAGAAACCTGAATGTGGAGCTACTAATGCTCAATTTTCCCGATGTATTTAGTTTTTTCCCTATGTTAACATCATGCTTCTTATCTTTCCTGGTTTAGCTTGACTATGCTTGCTGGTTGACAAAATTTCATCTCACAAATAACAATAATCAAAGAAAATTTTGTTTAAAATCACTGACTACCAAGAAGTCCTGCCCTGCCAGATGATCGCACAATTTTTGTAATAAATATTCAAGTAAAGGCATTGCAAAATATGACTGTTTTCAACAGAGGCTGAAATGGATACCATATTTCATTTTGCCATAAGTTTCAATGCCAATTGTTTTCAGTCCACCAAGGAGTTCTGTTCCACCTCGGTCCATTAGAGCAAGGTCACATACAGTTTTCTGATGTACTTGCACTGCTATAATTTTGAACGCTAAATGTATAATTTGTTATTTGACTGTATGATATTAACTTTCAGATGTGGTGCATGTGATGATGAGGGCGAGGTCAGGCAGCTGTGAGCCTACATCCTCGTTGTCATCATCAGGACGCGTGTCGCTGGAAAAAGAAGAGGATTGGTGTTCCAGGAGGAAGTGTTGGCTCTTCAGTGGTGGCTGGACATAACTTGTGTTACTTCCTGCACCAGCTTGTACGGTACGTCTTGCCTAGGGAGTGTTCATCACCACCTTACTGCAGTACAGTATACAATAGCAGTCTTGTAAATTCACATCTTAATAGTTATAGGATACATTGAAAGATTGTTCAAGGGTATAATGTTCAAGATTAGTCAACACTTAATGAATATAAATTGTGTACATTTTTGCTCTTGAATAATAATTTTACTTTACTATCCAAATTGTATTTCATTCTATCTTGACGTACCATACTGCACTTTAACTGCATTCGTGAGTATGAAGTATTATTCCATCAAAGTAACTTTATCCAAGAATCTGTTGGGAAACTGAAGAATAATAGGCACTCTTATTTTCTTGCTCCAAACAAAATTAACCTGGGGGCAAATAATTATCAGCCACAGAATTTGACTGTAAAATTATTTCAGAATTGTTGTGAATTTTCTATCAATATTATTTATACTGGGGTATTAATTTTTTGTTTAGATTGTGACCAGTATTAAGAATATTTGTATAAACAGCTAGTAAGACATGGAAGTCCCATCCAATATACACCACTAATGTCTCAATCCCCCTGTACCACATCCTCCATCATTACACTACCTACAATCATTTTACCTTCTGATTTTTAGCTGTACTCAGTGCATATCTTAAGCTATTTTTTCCTGTAGATAATGTTTTTGATTGTACTGTATATTAATCAAACGCATCTAGTTTTTTGTTTGTTCCATTGAAGGTAATATAGAACACATTGAAGTTTAATAAGGTTCTGTGTATAGAGTTGTGGAATGTTGCTGAATATTGCATTAGATTTGTGATATAGAATTTTCAGGTTGTTTATTAATGAATCACTATTTTATTTCAGCATTGTGGTGATGTGATGTGGAGAATGGTGCGGCGATACCTGCCCCATGCTGTGGTAGGGGCATTTATTTTGTTGCTTATCTACCGTGCGCAGCGTCCCTGCCAAGACACACTACAGCGACCACACAGAAAGGTAAACCATAATTTTATATGACAGTATAGAATAGTAAATCATGTGTCACATGATTCACATAGATGCAAGTCACTCAAATTATTTTTCCCAGCATTCTGTATATATATAGTGCTGTAGACCCGCAAACTGTGAAGGACGCATCTCTGGGAAAACCGTGTGAATAGCAAATCTATGTAAGTTGGATTTTTCTTCATATGGGGAAAATAGGCACAGGTACCAAAGGCCCGCCCCCCCAAAATGTAAAAAAAAAAAATACTTTATTTAATACTATATAGGTGTTAAGCAAAAATGTCCCAGTAATTGTTGTTAATAGTGTCTTCTTTTAATGATTCATTTAATTATAATTAGAGGTGGCATATTACAGGTAGTTGCTCCATGTTCCCAAATCCTTTGAAATCATTCACATTCCTTTCATAATATCTTCCAAACACCATTAATTGTGCTGTGCTTCAATTCTGGCTAACACACTAGATGTTCTTAATTACGTTATGAGAACCAAGCTACATAAAACGTCAACCATGAAAAGCAGGTAAGAGGCATGCAATCAAGTCAGTGGGGAAAACAAGCAGAGGACATGACAATCAAAAGAAAGCCAGCAATTGGTCTTTTTGTAAAATTTTATATTAAAAAATGCTAAAAATGGAGTTTGTTATTAGTACACCCTGCTACAGGTACAATAATACACATTTGCAGGCTTTCACCTGCAAATGTGGTGATGCACGCTGGTGGAGAAGGAAAAGTTGTGGTGATGCATGCTGGTGGAGGAGGGGAAGTTGTGGTGATGCATGCTGGTGGAGGAGGGGAAGTTGTGGTGATGCACGCTGGTGGAGGAAGGGAAGTTGTGGTGATGCACGCTGGTGGAGGAGGGGAAGTTGTGGTGATGCACGCTGGTGGAGGAAGGGAAGTTGTGGTGATGCACGCTGGTGGAGGAGGGGAAGTTGTGGTGATGCATGCTGGTGGAGGAGGGGAAGTTGTGGTGATGCACGCTGGTGGAGGAAGGGAAGTTGTGGTGATGCACGCTGGTGGAGGAGGGGAAGTTGTGGTGATGCATGCTGGTGGAGGAGGGGAAGTTGTGGTGATGCACGCTGGTGGAGGAGGGGAAGTTGTGGTGATGCATGCTGGTGGAGGAGGGGAAGTTGTGGTGATGCACGCTGGTGGAGAAGGAAAAGTTGTGGTGATGCATGCTGGTGGAGGAGGGGAAGTTGTGGTGATGCATGCTGGTGGAGGAGGGGAAGTTGTGGTGATGCACGCTGGTGGAGGAAGGGAAGTTGTGGTGATGCACGCTGGTGGAGGAGGGGAAGTTGTGGTGATGCATGCTGGTGGAGGAGGGGAAGTTGTGGTGATGCACGCTGGTGGAGGACGGGAAGTTGTGGTGATGCACGCTGGTGGAGGAGGGGAAGTTGTGGTGATGCACGCTGGTGGAGGAGGGGAAGTTGTGGTGATGCATGCTGGTGGAGAAGGGAAAGTTGTGGTGATGCACGCTGGTGGAGGAGGGGAAGTTGTGGTGATGCACGCTGGTGGAGGAGGGGAAGTTGTGGTGATGCACGCTGGTGGAGAAGGGAAAGTTGTGGTGATGCACGCTGGTGGAGGAGGGGAAGTTGTGGTGATGCACGCTGGTGGAGGAGGGGAAGTTGTGGTGATGCACGCTGGTGGAGGAGGGGAAGTTGTGGTGATGCACGCTGGTGGAGGAGGGGAAGTTGTGGTGATGCACGCTGGTGGAGGAGGGGAAGTTGTGGTGATGCACGCTGGTGGAGGAGGGGAAGTTGTGGTGATGCACCCTGGTGGAGGAGGGGAAGTTGTGGTGATGCACGCTGGTGGAGGAGGGGAAGTTGTGGTGATGCACGCTGGTGGAGGAGGGGAAGTTGTGGTGATGCACGCTGGTGGAGGAGGGGAAGTTGTGGTGATGGACGCTGGTGGAGGAGGGGAAAATGGGAGGAGGAGGATAGTGTTTTTCTTGGGCAGTGATTCCCTTCCTTTTCTTCATCTCAATATGCTCAAACAAAAATATTTCCCCCCCCCCCACATCAAAAATAAATATTTTACAATATAAAAAGGATAATTTTTTATAATTTATTGTACAAGTAAGTAGAAAAAAGCTTAAAATTTAATGATTCAAAGAGGAGGGTAAATTCACCTTTGTCACAATAGATTAAAACACCCAAGAGCTCTTATCATCTAAGTATGCATTGATGACCACAGCCATTCTTGGTATAGTACTATTTTAGCCATCCTTCTGGTCCTATGTTGGCAAAATGAAATCTCTTAAAGCAGTTGTTTCTGAAATCTTCTTCATTACTTGCTGTCTGGTGCTGAAGGCTTTGATCGTATACTAACTTCTCTTACATTGTATCTACTGACATGTTAATATTATTGCACACTTGGAATGTGTGCATGTCTTGGGTTTAGTTTCCAGTGTTGCCTGGTGGTTGCTGCACCATGACAGGTAAAGGGACATTGGCTGGCCATGGAACAGGCACAGAGAGGGAGTGAACTTTTCTCGTAGACAATACCATGAGGCCTATGTGCAACTGTTAGATCTTTATGGTGTCAATTGGTACACAAAAACTGACACCAAGAAATGCAATCTTCAGACGATACAAACTGCTAGTTAAGAGTTTACCAGTGATACATTTTTTTATGTTTCTTTTACTTTTATTTCTAGTGTTTTTCTATGTTATCCAACAGCACGTTGCATCCGACAGTAGTGGGGCTCTGCATAATTATGACCGAAATGAACCAATGATCTTCATTGGTGGAATGCCACGATCTGGAACTACACTTGCACGTGCCATGCTTGATGCTCATCCCGAGATACGGTGCGGAGAGGAGACTAGAGTGGTGCCTCGGATACTTCAGATGAGGCAGCAGTGGAAAAGATCAGCCAAGGAATCATTGCGTTTACAAGAAGCTGGTGTCACAGATGAAGTTAGTTTTGGTGAATATGCTTAAAGCCACTGAATTTTTTTTCAATTTCTTAAATATTTGTTTTTATTGTTATTGGAATGTTTAGATTACATATATTAGATATATATTTTAAGTTTTATTAGATAGAAATTGGTCAACTTGGAAATTGTGAACAAATTTAGCGAGGAGATTAGTGAAATACAAGTCATTGAAAAGTATTTACAAAAACATCATATAATTAAAAGTAATATTACTGAGGATTTATGATACTGCTATTTTTAGAGGGAAAGTTCAAATCTAAACATTCCAGATTGAGGGTTTATCTTGCATGTCTCCATAGCTTTTATCTGATTTTTATGACATTTTCAGACATTACACAAATTGGCACACTTTACAAAGTTTACAATTTATATTCTGATAGTCATTTTATTATGCAATACAGTACTGTATGTTTTGTTTAATCATGAATTTTCTGGGGGGAGCCCCGTCGGCTCCCCGGAGCTATCCCAGGCTGATATGCTAATGTCAGACTTTGGCATCAGTCATGTGTATGGAGTTCTTAGGCCTACCGGGGACCACGGCCAGAACCGGGCCCCCTCAGAGAGGCAAGGGGAGCAATGGCCTATAGAAGCCCCCGTGTAGTTGGAAGCATTCTATGTCTGCCATCGACCGGAACAGGCACCCAGAAAGGTAAGCGCCCCAAAACAAACCCCTATTCTGGTTAAAATTGCTACCTAATACCGAACTAGTGGATAGAACTCCCCAACCGAAAACAAGCAAATTAGTGTGACGTCACACACTGCCGCGCCGCTGTCTGCGCAGCTCCCCCCTCCCCGGGAGGGGGAAGGGGGAGCCCCAGACCCCCCGCGCCGGCTACCCACACCTCAGTTCTTGAGGCTGATGCTATTGGCGGTGGTCGTGTGCTCTGGCTCCGGTGTCGCTACTGCACTGTGCTTTGAGTGTGGTGTTAGTTTTGTGGGTGCGAGAGCCAGGAGTTATCTTCAGTACTCGGGCTGCATGCGCCTAGGGCTGCCTTCCCTAGGTGCCCTGTAAGTACTGCCCTTGGGGCTTGGGGCCACCTTCCACAGGCTCCTCGGGGTCTGCCTCTGCTGGTCCGTTTTACCTTTCGGTTTTTCGGCCGCCTGTTGGGCTCTTGGGTGTTCTGTTCTCCCTTGTTACCGGCAGGTAAGAGGCAGTTTGCACTGGTAGGGGCGCAGGGTGCTGCTCAGCTTGTAATTCCCGACATCGCGGCCGGCTCTGTTCCTTGGGGTTCGCTGTCCTCTTGCGGGGTTTTGTTTTTCTTTTTGTTTTTTGCCTGGTGGGGGGTTCTGTCATTTTATTCAGTTTGTTTTTGCCCTTCCACTGTTCTCCTCGGTGGCGCCCCCTGCTAGGTCCCCGTGAGTGTACACGTCCCTGGGGTTCAGCTTTAGAAGTTTGCTTGGTAGTTTTGGGCGCCGGTTTGCAGCGCCCTGCCTGGGACTACCTGAGCGCGAGTCCTCTTAAAGTAAACGCTCAGGACCCTGGGAATCCCCTAGGGGGCGCGTGGGTCCGATGGATGTGACCCCGGAGTCCCCACTCGCTGTGTGCGAGTTTGAGGGTTGCTCGGTCCCCTTGTCTCAGGGTGACCCTCATTGTTTTTGCCTCTGCCACGCTGCCTGTTGGGTCGGTGATACTTTCGACCCTGAGTCCTGTGAGTGTTGCTGCTTGCTTGTGACTCAATTTACCCAATCCTCTGATGATTCTATTCGGGTACAGGCGGCACGTGCGTTGCAGTCTAGGTTTCGTCTGTTGCAACGCGCTCGGTTGGTTGCTTCCCCGGATGCCCCGGGGCTGCCCCGCTTTGCTTTTCGAGACCCGGACTTGGGGGTGGGGGTCGCTTCGATCCTGGTTCAGTCCGCACCTCCTCGTCCTTCCCCTTCTGTTCGTTCTGGTCCCCCGCCCCTGCTTCCGGCCCCGAAGCGTCTGAGGGTTTCGGGGTCGGAGCAGGGGTTACTTGATCTCGAGACTCGGGCAGCTTCGGGGGTTGCCCCTTCCGGGGGGGCGGCAGAGGCATTCGAGTCTTGTCTCCCGGCCGAAGCTTCAGGGTCTGACCAGTGGGCCCCCCTTCCTCCAGCTTTTCCGGCTGCTCCGTCCTTGTCTTGTGGGGTCGGGGCTTGGGGAGAGGACTCGGCCTCGGGTCCTGTGGTGACGGACCTCGAGGCTGGGGAGGGGCTGACTTGGGGGCCTTGGGCCCCGCTGGACCCCGCCTGGGTTTTTCTTCCCACTGAGCGGGGCTTATTGTTACAAGGAGTGGGGTTTTCTTTCCCCCCCTCTGCGTACGAGTTGGATTTGGTGTCGGCCCCTCCCCGGGTACGGTTCCGTGTTCCCCCGGGTACGTCGGTTCCGTCCTTCAGGAGGTTTTCGGCTTATCGCATCCAACCTGGTGTGGTGCGCGCGGCCTTTGCAGCTTACCTCCTGCGTGACCCGGATTATGCCTCGGAAATGGATCCGTCCACGTTCAGGTTTGGGACTTCGTTCCCTTTCTGGCTCCGTTACGAGGTTCCGGAGTCATCCTGGCTAGCAGACTGCCCCTTGTTTGGTCTGGATTCCTGGCATTCCTTCTGTCGTTCCCGCACGCTGGAGTGGCGGGAAGCTTCCACGGTGCTTCAGGTTTTCCTGGGGGGTGAACTTGAGTACCTAAATGAGTGCTTGTTTGCCCCTGCCCTTCCCCGCGATGTGGGCGTTATTCAGCTCCATGTGCAGGTTCCCTCCCTTTCGGCGGCGCTCGTGGCGGAGGACTTGCGCGCTCGGGGCCTTTTGTGTTCGGCCTTGCGGTTCTTTTCCCTCCTGGAGCTGTCTTCGGATTGGCTCGTGGAGGATGTGGGGACGCTTGGGTCCGTCCCGGGGTCCGGCACCTTGTCCTCGGCTGCGCGTTCGTCGGCTGCCTTGTTGAAGCTGTTCACGCCGATTTTGCGGGATGCGGTTTCCCTGTTCTATGCTTCCCGTCTCGCGTGTCGGCAGGCGGTGCTGGGTTCCTCCGTGGAATCTGCTTGGGCTCTGGCTCTTAGGCGTTCTTCACCTTGTTGTCCTCTCCTGTTTGGGGAGTCGGCCGTGGCGCAGTTTATTCAGGCTGCGTCGGCGGCTTGTCGTCCGATGTCGGACTTGTTGGTTTTCCGGGGGTCCCGGGGTGGGTCTTCCCGGAAAGGTCGTGCCAGGGCTCGGGGTTCCTCTCGTCGTGGTAGGCCTCTGGTGTCAGGTTTGGGGTTGGCTCCTCCTGCGGACCCTCCCTCGTCTGGTCGGCGCGGTGTTCGCGCTGTGCGGGGTTCTGGGTCTCGTAAGGGTCGCCGGCCCTTTCGCGGTTTGCCCCTTTGACGGGGCGATGGGGGGGCGGCTTGCGCTGTTCGCCCGCGCCTGGTCCCACGATTCGTGGGCCTTTCGGGTCGTGTCTCGCGGCCTGCGGTGGCGTTGGGTGGCCCCTCCCCCCTTTGGGGGGTCGGGGCTGGCGGGGCAGGCTTCTTCCCCTGCGCTCTGTCGAGTCGTCTTGGAGTGGGTACGCTTGGGCGTCGTCGAAACGACGTCGTCCCTCAGATGGGTTTCCCGTCTGTTTCCGGTTCCGAAACGGGACTGCGCGGACCTGCGGTTCATTCTGGACTTGTCCCGTCTGAACCCCTGGGTTCATTGCCCCTCCTTTCGGATGACTACGCTGTCTCAGGTTCGGCTCCTCTTGGAGCCGGGTGCTTGGATGGTGTCCCTGGACCTCCGGGACGCTTATTGGCATGTCCCGATTCATCCGCGGTTCAGGGACTGGCTCGGTTTTGTAGTGGGGCGTCTGAGTTACCGCTTTCGTTGTCTCCCGTTCGGGTTGAACCTGGCACCTCGCGTGTTCACACGCCTTACACGGGTTGTGGTGGCTCGTTTGCGTCTCCTAGGTGTTCGGGTGTTGGCCTACCTCGACGACTGGCTGGTTTGGGCTCCCAGCCAGTCAGCTTGCTTGCTAGCCAGGGATTTGGTTCTTTCCCAGCTCGCCGGGTTCGGGTTCTTGGTGAACTGGAGGAAGTCCCATCTGGTTCCCTCTCAGGTTCGGACTTGGCTGGGTCTCGTGTGGGACTCTCGGACCGCCTCCTTGTCTCTCCCTCCGGAGTCTCTCCTGCGGCTGCGGTCCCGCCTTCGTCTGTTTCTGGAGGGCCCTCGGGTCACCCGGCGGTTGCTCGAGGGGCTGTGCGGGAGCCTGAACTTCGCGATGGTGGTCTACCCGCCAGGTCGGGTTTGGCTTCGACGGCTGTTCTGGTTCCTTCGGGGTTCCCCCTTCCGCCTCTCTCGCGATCGCAGAGTTCGACCCCCGGGGGACTTGCGTCGGTTGCTGCGTCACCGGCTTCCTCTTCGGGTTTTTCGGGGTTCAGTGCCTTGGCGCCTACCCGAGCCCTCGCTCGATGTGTACACGGATGCGTCGTCTCTCGGCTGGGGTTTTGTGACCAGTGCTCACCAGGCCGGCCAGGGGCGTTGGGATCCGTCCTTCCGTCGAGCTCACAGTACGGTGCGGGAGTTCGCGGCAGTGTGGTTTGCTCTGGGGAGGATTCGGGTGGCCCGCGGATCGACGATTCGGCTCCATTCGGACTGCTCTCCGGTGGTTCATTGCCTGAACCGCGGGGGTTCGATGCGGTCCTTGTCTCTTTGGGGTTGGTCGCTTCGGGTGACTCGTCTGCTGAGTTCTCGGGGTTTGGCTCTCCTGGCGGTTCACGTACGGGGCGTGTCCAACGTCTTGGCCGACGCCCTGTCTCGCTTCGTTCCCCTCTCCACGGAGTGGACGGTCGACGACGAGTCCTTCCGTTGGCTTTGCCAGACGTTCGGGCGCCCCGAGGTGGACCTCTTCGCGTCGGCGTGGTCGCGGCGTCTTCCCGTTTATGCGGCGCCCTTCCCCGATTGCGAGGCCGTCGGGGTCGATGCCTTTCGGCTCGACTGGTCGAGGTGGGGGTTCCTGTACCTCTTTCCCCCAGTTCGGCTGTTGCTCCAGGTCCTGACTCGCTTAGAGACTTACCAGGGGAGGGTTGTCCTTCTGGCCCCTTGGTGGCCGGCCCAGCCTTGGTTTCAGGCGCTGGTTGCTCGGTGTCCGAACCCGAGGGTTTTCCCGCGGCTCCGCCTCTTTCAGCAGATCGGGCCGGTACGTCACGTAGCTGGTTCGATCTTCTCCTCGAGTCTTCGCGTATGGTTTTTTTGACTCGAGTCTATCATCATCTCTATGGTGATCAGGTGGCCTCCTTGTTGGTGTCCCACCTGAGGGCTTCTTCTCGGCGGCAGTATGAGGTTTCCTGGCGGTCCTTCCGTTTCTTTTTGCGTCTTCGTCGTGTTAGCTCCTTGTCTGTTCGGGTGGTCTTGTCCTTCCTCTCGTGGTTGTTTCAGGACCGTCATCTTATGCCTAACACTGTCGCTTCGTATCGTGCGGCGCTGGCGGAGCCGCTTCAGCTTGCTTTCGGTATCGATGTTACGTCTGCGCCGTTTCGCAAGCTGTCTCGTGCATTGTTTCACCTCCGGCCTGCTCATGCGTCGCCTGAGCCGTCCTGGTCTTTGGACAGAGTGCTCGCTTTCCTTTCATCTCCTCGTTTCGTTGTGGCCCCTTCGGTCCAGGATTGTTTTTCCAAGGCACTTTTCTTGTTGGCTTTGGCCTCTGGGGGTCGGGTAGGGGAGCTTCATGCTCTCCTCCGGCGCAGGGGTTTCTGCTCTTTTGGTCGTGGTGATAGTTTTGTTCGTTTGCAGCCGTCTCCTTCTTTTCTGGCGAAGAATGAGACTGCTGCGTTCCGGAGGGGTCCATGGGTGGTTGATGCTTGGTTGGTCAGGCCGGGGGTGCATCATGTTTTGTGTCCGGTTGCGGCGCTTCGCCGTTATTTGCGCGCCACAGCTTCTGTGTCCGGGGACGCGCTGTGGGTTGATCCGGTTTCCCTTCTTCCCTGTTCGCGGGTTCGGGTCTCTCAGGTCGTCCGCAGGGTTATTAGGTCTAGCCAGCCTGCGGTCTATCCCCGTGCCCATGACGTTCGTAAGTTCGCGGCTCTTGCTGCCGTCTTTGGGAATATGTCTTGGTCTGATATTCGGGCGCGGGGATTTTGGCGGTCGAACAGGGTCCTGGTTGCTCGTTACCTTGTGAATGTCCCTGGCCCTCGTCGGGCCTGTGTTGCTTTGGGTCGGCGGTTGCAGCCAGTTGTCTCGGCTTCGAGTTGAGGGGTGAGCGACGACCGCCTCCCGGGTAAGTCCCTCTTTTTCTGTCTGTGGGTAGTTAGCTCCGGGGAGCCGACGGGGCTCCCCCCAGAAAACCAGCGTTGAATGTAATGAAACGCCATTTTCTGGGTGAGTCCCGGAGGCTCCCCGGCATCCCTCCCTCCCTCCGGTCGGCGGTTTTTCGCGTTTTTGACATCCAGCCTCAAGAACTGAGGTGTGGGTAGCCGGCGCGGGGGGTCTGGGGCTCCCCCTTCCCCCTCCCGGGGAGGGGGGAGCTGCGCAGACAGCGGCGCGGCAGTGTGTGACGTCACACTAATTTGCTTGTTTTCGGTTGGGGAGTTCTATCCACTAGTTCGGTATTAGGTAGCAATTTTAACCAGAATAGGGGTTTGTTTTGGGGCGCTTACCTTTCTGGGTGCCTGTTCCGGTCGATGGCAGACATAGAATGCTTCCAACTACACGGGGGCTTCTATAGGCCATTGCTCCCCTTGCCTCTCTGAGGGGGCCCGGTTCTGGCCGTGGTCCCCGGTAGGCCTAAGAACTCCATACACATGACTGATGCCAAAGTCTGACATTAGCATATCAGCCTGGGATAGCTCCGGGGAGCCTCCGGGACTCACCCAGAAAATGGCGTTTCATTACATTCAACGCTGGTTTTTTTAATTGATATTATTATTAGAGAACGTGTATTAATTTTGCTTAAAGTAGTATTTGTCTAAACAGTTTTCTTGTTTTTGTTTACTAATAGTAGCCATGTTTATGTTTTAAAGACTTGAATATTAAACTAATATAAAAATCTGAAAACATGTTCAAGAGTAAGCCTGGTGCAGTGGTCTTCAGTATTGAAGCACAAAAACAGTGGTCAGTTTCTTTGGTTAAGTATTATAAGTAGCATAGTATATAATTATTTATTAATCAGATATAAAGTATCATTTAGAACTATATATGAAAAAGATGCAAGTTCTTCTTTCAAATTTGTTCTTCTTTCAGGTGTTAGATGAAGCCATAGCCTCATTCATCCTGGATATAGTGGTTAATCATGGACAGCCAGCATCTCGCTTGTGTAACAAAGATCCATTCACTCTCAAGTCTGCTACATACCTTTCTAAATTGTTCCCCAATGCAAAATTTCTTTTTATGGTGCGTGATGGTCGTGCAACAGTGCATTCCATCATATCTCGAAAGGTTGGTACTTTTGAGATGAGAATTTCACAATCCCTAAATAAACACATTTCATGTATAACTTAAATTTCTAGCTTGTAAGCCTAAAAGCTCAGTGGTTAGTGCAGTTGGGTCATCATTCAATTCCTGCTGCAGAACAGATGTTTTGGCACCGTTTCCTTTCCCCTGATATGTCTGTTCACCTAGTAGTTAATGGGCTGCTGGGAGTTATGCAACTGGTTTAGGTTGCAAGAAAGGTCTATTTGTGTAAGTTGCCGTTTCTCTACCAAGTTTTGCAAACTGGAGCTCTTCTGAGATCTTTGGTCAAAGAGGGCTTGCATGACATTTGTTATATTAAGAAAGTGTAGTAATTAAACAGGAAAATAATTGAATGATGCACCAGAGTACTCTCATCAATTTCTACTAGTGTGTAATACATTAAATTATTTACAGAGGTTCGTAGTTCATGCTGGTGCAGACTTCAGGTTTTCTTGCTCAGTTTGTAATTTTTTATTCGGATGGAAACTAGAAATGCAGATGAGCCATAAGAATGTAAGTAAGCACTTGGGTATAAGAGCAGTGAGCAAGTAGAGATAAAAAAGAGGCAATCAAGTCAAACTCTGTACTGTACATGGTTTCAAAACAACTACTGTTTAATAAGCAAGAGGGTCAGGAGCATTAGTTGACTAGCCAACTGAAATGTGGGATTATTCCAGCTGAATTTTGAACTGGTGGTGATACTAATGTAGTGTAGGTGGTTCTCATCTGGTTAAATTATACCCAATGTACATTAACCCCTGCACTGTGCACCTGTTTTTGGCAAAAATTTCATAGTGCAATTGTTAAGGACATATTTTTGTTGTTTTCATAAATGGTTAGGTAAAGTTAATGTCAAAATGTTTCCAAACTCAACTATTTTAATTTCAAAATACAAAGAGTGATGAAAACATTCAAATATAACCTAAGTAAAAAAAAAAATGCACAACTCCCAAAACGACACTTGTTGTTTGACGCAGTGCAGTGGTTCACGTGAATCTGGATGATTCTAAAAACTAATGTTTCCACTAAATTGCATGTCTAGGACATGGATACATGGTGAAAAGGGTGGTGGTGATGCATAAGGTTATAAGAAAAGAATATAGAAACTGCAGAAGGTCTTATTGACCCATGCAATGCAACATCTATCTATATCTAATGAAACTCGTACGTCTAACGTACACTTGAAACAGTTCAGTAATTCCATGTCTATTATGTTACCTGGTAATCTATTCCATTAATCAACAACCCTATTTACATACCTGTAATTACCCATGTCTTTCTAAATCTAAATATATTCAGTTCATATCCACTCTTGTCTAATTTCTAGTTTTGAAAGCGATGAAAATATTTTGTAAAACTGTGTTAGCATACGTGGCTGGAATTTAAAATATTGTACTGTATTATTGAAAGGTGTTTATTGCATGCCATCTTCATAACATGGCCTATTAAAATATATTCTGTACTTTCAGGTGACAATCACTGGCTTTGACCTGTCATCATATAAACAGTGTCTGCAGAGATGGAACAGTGCAGTGCAGACGATGCATACGCAGTGCGAGGAGCTTGGAGCTTCTAAATGTCTGCCTGTATACTACGAACAACTAGTTCTTCACCCCCAAGAGTGGATGAGAAAGATTTTAGATTTCTTAACTGTTCCATGGAACGATGCTGTCCTTCATCACGAAGAACATATAAATAAACCTGGCGGAGTGTCTCTCTCAAAGTGCGTAAACATATTATATTACATACAGAGTTTATATTTATATACTTAAAACTAAGTATATTATTTAGTTTTAAATTCTTGTTTGTTAATATTATATAATCTACAGTAAAGTAATACAGTACCTTGTTTCTGAGCCAATAATTACTTACTTGTTTCTGAGCCAAGGCTCTCATGAATGCTGCCAGAGCTAGTATAGTTCACCTATGACTTGTATACCCATGCTAGGTTCTAATGACCTTGCTCCCTAGATGAACACACATCCTCGGAATTTTGTATGGTTTCCGATTGACGGAGACTGTTTAGCTTATCGAGGTCCCCCAAGGCTAATGACTGACTTTTCCCAGAATGCAACCCACAATGGTTGCCTAATTCCTGGGTTCTGGAAAGACATTGGGCATAAGAAAATCTGCTTAGACATCTCACCCTGCCCTGGAATAGAACTTGGCATTTGTGCTTACTGTGCTAACTATTGCACTACGTCACTTGATGCCTGCATACTTAATTGTTTGGCTTATACATTTTAATATACAGAAAATAAATGGAGCCACTTCACATAATCATTTGCATTCTAAATTAAATAAAATATTCATTACCAGTTATTTAACCTTTAAATTGTTCCTGTCGCCCTCAAGAGATTGACCCAATGTGCGAATCACTTCCAGGTGATTGTAGGTGTCCTGTAATTTTTAAAGTCCAGGTGATTCTATATGGGATGTCATTTGAAACTACTGTAGAGACCTCTGGTGATCATTTACAATGTTGGAAAAATCCTGATAGCCTTAACTTCTTTCTTCGTCCCTTGGTAAAAAGATGAGAATAATGTCTAACACATGACCATCCAACGATGGACAGGCAGAGTGACCACAACTTTGATCATTAATGCAGTGCAAAATTAGACTTTGAAGGACTTGGAAGATCTTAGTGTTGAGGAGGAATATATTACAAGTAGTTAACTTGAATATTATCCCTCGGAATATGAAATAAGCTGCGCTAACAGCAAGGAAAAAGAGAGAGACTAAGAAGTGAGCATGTGAATGGTTACAAACGTGATGCTGCAATTGCATCAGGTACACTTCTAGTTGCCAACTGGGGATTTTGTTGCAACAGTATCCAATTCTGCTGAAAATGTTGTGATAATATAGTAAAATATGAAATTGCACAAGGTTTTGTTGGCTCATGCAGGGTAGATCCTATTTATTCCCAACAAGAATATGGGAATAAAGGAAACTGCAGATGGTCTATTGTATTCTGTATCTCGACTATTTCACTATCACTACAGAACCTATAAATACAGTACCACAAATTAGTGATACTTATGTATATATGCATATAAAATGTTTATTGTGTATAATTGTAAGATTAAAATATAGGGTGTGTGTGTATCGATATATGCATATCTCTGTTCAATATATATATGTTCCTTCCCAAAGTTATTTATAATGGCACACTAATAAAATATATATTGGGTGTGTGTTTATTTTAATTATTTATTTATTTATATACGGTATTACTATTATTGAATGTGACTGAAAGGGCGAGTTTAATGATTATAGCGCTGCTACTTTATTTTCCTTACATTTTTCTTCACTTGAGAGGGAAGTTGAAAAATTAACTCCCCAAAGTTCATTTTTACTTTTATTTGGCCTGACGCCAAGAGATGCATTTCGTTAACTCTTGTTAACATTGTCAAAGGCAGAGTTTGAATGGTTACGAAGTTTCTTGCTGTATGATATATACGCGAGGACGAGGTGAAGGTGAGGCATGTTGCTTATAAGTCCATTGCAGTTTGTCTAGCCTCTGTTTGCATGATGGCTGGGGCAGTAATGTTGTATGTTACGTTGTGTTCTGGAAGTTGGCAGAGTTTGGTACTAGTTGGCTATTGATACATGGCTTGGTTTGCTTGATGTATAATACCTCGCCGCTGTCCAGTCTTCTGTTGTCTTCTTCTGTTCTTTAAAAATGTCTTACATAATTTATAGGTTATGTGAGGGTCTATGATCTATTCCACATTCCATAACATGGCATTTATTCATATTAAATTCCATTTGCCAAGTGGTGCTCAATATACTTATTTTGTCCAGGTCTTCTTGAAGGGTATGGCAATCATCTAAGCTTGAGCTTAGATGATTGCTGAACTGATTGCAAGAACTGAACCCTGTGGTAATCCACTTGTGACATTTCTCCAGTCTGATACATTGCCTCTGATTGCTGCCCTCATTTTTCTATCAGTTAGAAAATTTTTCATCCATGTTAAAAGCTTACCTGTCACCCCTCCAATATGTTCCAGCTTCCAGAACAACCTCTTATGAAGAACTCTGTCGAAAGCCTCTTTTTGCCTTTGTGTGTGTGTATTCACCTAGTTGTGCTTGCGGGGGTTGAGCTCTGCTCTTTCGGCCCAAATCTCAACTGTCAGTCAATCAACTTTTTTTTTTTTTTCACGCACACCCCTCACCCCCACAAGGAAGCAGCGCATAACAGCTGTCCAACTCCCAGGTACCTATTTACTACTAGGTAACTGGGGCATCAGGTTGAAAGAAACTCTGCCCATTTGTTTTCCGCCATCGAAGGGGATCGAATCCGGACCCTTGGATGCCGAGTGATTTTCTTTATTTTAAACAAATTGTTTCCAATTGGTTTATTTGAATTTTTATTGTTATATTAAGAACATAAATTATTGACTTAGTTGTACTTTTCTTACCATGTGGGGTTTATGTTATGCCTACCTTTCTGGGTGCCTAACCAGTTGATGGCAGATAAGGAAAACCCCCAACCTTGGGGGGGTTTTCCAGGGCCATTGCTTCCTGCACCTCTCTGTGGGGGCTAGGTTCTGGCTCATGGTTCCCTGTAGGCTGAACTCCATAGACTAATGCCCCAGTCTAATTTATCACATATTAGCCCTATAGCTCCATGGAGCTTCCGAGGCTCACCCAAAAAATGGTGTTTCATTACATTCAACGCTGGTTTTATATTGTGAAGCTTTTTGCTGACTTTGTGGATGCTTTCCCAGTGTGGTGAATTGCCACTTGCTCTCTGTGGGTTGGTGAGAGGGACCAGGTTTCAGCTCTGGTCCCCAGTAGGCCAAACACAACCCCTGTGTCTGATGTGACCCAATTGCATGGACCAATTGAACCTGAACTCAATGGATTCCTCCAGAAAATTAAAAACAACGGTAATACAGTAACTGGGAACATAAATTCCCGCACTGCATTCTAATTCATGTATCAACACTTCCTGGAAAGGGTCTGGCTCTTGTCTGAGCAACTGAACTCAATGATGTTATAAACATTTCTCTGACTCACTACTATTAAACTAACATTAAACTTTAAACTTAAAATTTGTTAAGTATTTTTCCCCAGGATTAACGTGTATTGTTTTATAACGTCAAACAAAATTTGTTTAATGTGCACCAGGAAATGTACTTTACTGTATTTTAGGCGTGTGCTTGAAAGGTTATAAAAGGTTTAGGTGGAAAGTATTGTGTATAACATTCGAAGGCAGTGATGTTTCACAAAAAAAATTACGCATCATAATAAACTGTTTTTAAGAAAGGGAAGCTCATACAATACAGATATGTTGCAATGGGTAGCAAAATGCCCTTATTTTAGAAAAACTCTATGGTATATCCTGTACAAGTATTTTATTTTGTATTCATGACATAATTTGACAGTGATGCTAATAATGATCTTCACTTTTCAGGGTTGAGCGATCAAGTGATCAGGTGATTAAACCAGTAAATTTGGATGCTCTCGGCAAGTGGGTGGGACAAATTCCTAAAGATGTGGTTGAGGACATGGCAAACATTGCACCCATGTTGGCAACTCTTGGATATGATCCCTATAGCAACCCCCCAAACTATGGCCAAGCAGATGCTCTGGTTACTAATAACACAAAGCGGATACAGAAGGAGTTCAGCAAGTGGGAGGATCGTGCTGAAGCAGTGCGGAGCCTTTCTAAACACCGAAAAGGTGAAAACACATGATTACGATCTTACAAGGAGCAACATATTTAATTTCATTCCTCTTTGTGGTCGTGTGTGAACATAGTGTGTTGCCTTGCAACGTGTGTATGGTGTTTACAACGGTGTCACCCTGCAGTGTGTGGATGATGATCAAAGCAATGTGTCATGCAGTGTGTGTGTGTGGTGTTCAAAATAGTTTTATAGTTTTAGATGCCTTTCTGCACTGGATTTTAAAGAGAATAGAATTGAGAATTGTAAATTTGTTATATTATGCTCCCCATCAATTTGTGATGGTACAAAAATAGTATTAAAATGTTTTCTTATTATCTGTATGCATTTATTTAAAAAGTAATTGAATTTTAAAGTCAGTAATCTAACATAATTGTAACTTGCTCTGTGGTGTCAAAAATATTACAAATAATGTGATGGCCTTCATAGTTCCATTTTGAGAACCTTTTGTCATAACATGTAATGGTAAGTTTATGTATGTCAAACCTAATAGCCAGAGTTATCTAACAAACCAAATTATTTAGATTTGTTGAAATTATCTTATGACTGATAATTTTAATTTATATTACAGTACAGATTTTTATATAGCAAAAATCAACTTGCTTTTCTTTTATACAGTAATGTTATGAAATATATACAGTATATATATATATATGTGTGTGTGTGTGTATAATATATATATATATATATGTTGTACCTAGTAGCCAGAACGTCGTACTTGGCATGCTATGCAAGGCCCGATTTGCCTTATAAGCCAAGTTTTCCTGAATTAATATATTTTCTCTAATTTTTTTCTTATGAAATTATAAAGCTACCCATTTCATTATGTATGAGGTCAATTTTTTTTTATTGGAGCTAAAATTAACGAAGATATATGACCGAACCTAACCACCCCTACCTAACCTAACCTGTCTTTATAGGTTAGGTAGCCGAAAAAGTTAGGTTAGGTTTGGTTAGGTAGTGTTGGTTAGGTTCGGTCATATATCTACGTTAATTTTATATCTAACCTAACCTAACCTATCTTTATAGATTAGGCTAGGTTAGGTAGCCGAAAAAGTTAGGTTAGGTTTGGTAGGTTAGGTAGTCGAAAAACAATTAATTCATGAAAACTTGGCTTATTAGGCAAATTGGGTCTTGCATAGTAGGCTGAGAAGTGCGTTCTGGCTACTAGGTACGACATATATATATATATATATATATATATATATATGTCGTACCTAGTAGCCAGAATGCAATTCTCATTTTACTATGCAAGGCCCGATTTGCCTAATAAGCCAAGTTTTCATGAATTAATATATTTTCTCTAATTTTTTTCTTATGAGATGATAAAGCTACCCATTTCATTATGTATGAGGTCAATTTTTTTTTATTGGAGTTAAAATTAACGTAGATATATGACCGAACCTAACCAACCCTACCTAGCCTAACCTAACCTATCTTTATAGGTTAGGTTAGGTTAGGTAGCCGAAAAAGTTAGGTTAGGTTATGTAGGTTAGGTTGTCGAAAAACAATTAATTAATGAAAACTTGGCTTATTAGGCAAATCGGGCCTTGCATAGTAGGCTGAGAAGTGCGCTCTGGCTACTAGGTACGACATATATATATATATATATATATATATATATATATATATATATATATATATATATATATGTATATATATATATATATAAAATAAATAAATAAATAAATGAAAAGGGGGGGTACCACCTCTGGTGCAAGTGTAGGGACCCATAGCCTCGGAGAAGAAAATAAGAGTACTCAGAGAAGACCTTGTGGATCCTCACTGAACACTTTGATATTTTCTTCTCCTACCACCCCTATTCTTTTGGTATGTGTGTATATTTATCTAACTTTATTTGAAAATGTCATTACACAAAAAAAAGTTACAATATTGATTACATGCAGGGTATAAGGCTGCTTGTCACAAGTTGAACAGCTCCTCCAGCTCCTCAGATGGCGGGCAGGAACCATGGATGCAGTGAGCATTTCCTCTCTGGATTGCCACACTAAGGCGCTGAAAAAGAAAACTGGCAGCTCTAGGGTCTCTAGTTGTTTCAATTAGCTTAGACCCCAACTCCTTCAAAAAGCTAGCAGCACTTTTACCCCAGGCACCAAGTGTCTTTGAGGCAATGGGGACAAAATTGTAGTGGTGCTCAAGGTCTCTGTATTTACGTGACTTGGCCGCTTCCCGGTGATTGGCAGCTGCTCCTGCTTGTGTAGCACTGAAGTCAACATAGGTATTGGCTAAAGGTGAAATGCAAGTGTAGTCCCACACCAACTGTCTACCATTCTTCCAGGGGTTCACCGTGATTCCGTCTGGGCGACCGGCAGGCTCATCAGAGTTGTGGGACATTAGGTAACGGGGCGCACGCTCTCTCTCTCTCCCCCCCTCTCTTTCTCTCTCTCTCTCTCTCTCTCTCTCTTTTTCTCTCTCTCTCTCTTTCTCTCTTTTTCTCTCTCTCTCTTTTTCTCTCTCTCTCTCTCTTTTTCTCTCTCTCTCTCTCTCTTTTTCTCTCTCTGAAAATATGTACACACACACACATCGTCAATGATCGATCCTGCAAGCACAAATAGGTGAGTACAAATAGGTGAGTACACACACACACACACACACACACACACCCCCTTTGTTATGTCCATTCATCCACCCGTACTCTTCCATGTCACCCCTAACTCTCTGCCTTTCCAGCGAATCCAATTTAAGCTTTTTCAATCCTGCTTCATATGACATGTTTCTAATTTGGGGGATTAACTTAGTCATCCTACACTGGATCGTTTTAAGTGGTAAAGAGTCTCTTTCTATGTTTATCTCCCTCCCGATTTTTGTATCATCGACAAATTTGCAAATATTGCTGCTCAAACTGGAATCTAGATCATTTATATATATACTGTATTATGAATAACAGAGATCCCAGGACAAAGCCTTGATACACTCCACTTACAGCATTTTCCCACTCTGACTTAACCATATGATGAATACAACCACACTTTTGTTTATTTTTACTGAAGTGTGGATGGCAATTTATTGATATAGCATATTAGAAGTGCTATTTGTGGCCAGAATCTTGTAAGAAAGTGTTTGGTAAAGGGTCCAATAATGGTATGGCAGGATGTATTACATACGAGTTTCAGGTGACTGAATGTGGTCGGCACAGTCGGTTCACAACTAAAATGTTCCAGGTTCAATTCCTGTGGCAGGATGGAGTTGTTTGGGCATGTTTCCTTTCACCTGATGCTTGTATTTACCTAGCAGTAAAATAGGTACCTGGGAGTTAGGCAACTGTTGTAGGATGTATCCTGGGAAAGGTCAGAAGTTGGACTAGTGTGGGACCTTGATAAGCCTATTAAGCTTCTTGTGTCTGACCATTTGTATAGCATTATATGCTGTGGTATGAACAAGTTCAGTTTGTTTGTTTCCAGAATCATTTTCCCAAGAGCAGGAGTGCCATAGGCACAATCAGAGAACACTGTATAAACATAAGAGGTCCACAGTTGTTCAACATCCTCCCAGAGAGCATAAGAAATATTGCCAGAACAACCGTGGACATCTTCAAGAGAAAACTAGATAATTTTCTCCAAGGGTTGCCGGACCAACCGGACTGTGGTGTGGATATGTGGGCCTGCGGGCCGCTGCAAGCAACAGCCTAGTGGACCAAGTCTAGCCTGGCCTTGGGCTAGGCTTGGGGAGTAGAACAACTCCCAGAACCCCATCAATCGGGTATCAACCAGGTATTTGATTAGAACAGTTTAAAGGTTGCTATTTCATGTATTGATGATCACCTCAGGTGATCATCAATACATGAAATCAATAAGAAAAATGACAGGTTCGATAACAAGAACCTTTCAAACTAGAGATGCTATACCAATGATGATGATTCTTTTCAAGATGCAGTGCTCTCTAGAGAAGAATACTGTTGCATAATGACAGCCCCTTTCAATGCTGGAGAAATTGATGACCTGGAGAGCATGCAGAGATCCTCTACTACTAGAATCCACTCGGTAAAACATCTAAACTATTGGGACTGACTAAAATGCCTAAATCTGTATTCACTCTAGTGCAGGCAGGAGAGATACATAATAATTTACACATGGAAAACATTAGAATCGTTGGTCCCAAACCTGCACACACAAATAGCACCACATGAGAACAGAAGGCATGGCAGGATGTGCAGATTATCCCCCCACCCTCTTGAAAAGCAGAGGTGCAATAGGTACTCCGAGAGAGAACTCTATCAACATCAGAGGCCCGAGACTGTTCAACACGCTTCCACTACACATAAGGGGCATAACTGGCCGAGTCCTCAGTGTTCAAAAGAGAACTTGATAAACGCCTCCAAAAAATACCTGATCGACCAGGCTGTGATTTATATGTCAGGCTGCGAGCAGCCGCGTCCAACAGCCTGGTTGACCAGTCCAGCAACCAGGAGGCCTGGTCGAGGACCGGGCTGCTGGGACGTTGAATCCGGAAATCATCGCAAGGTAAACCTATATGACAGCCAAGTTCATATCATGTTTGTCTTTGATCTCTACTTTCACTTTCTGTAACTTTTTCTTGTCAATATTAAATTCTGTGTTTTCTCAGATTATTGGTGGTGTCAAATATTCAGTTTTTATCCAGAACTATCATAATTTAAGTTGAATCTGAATATTAATGAAATGGTGTTACGCTTCTAAAAGAAGAGCAACTATCCCAAAAGTTGCAATGAAAATGTATATAGCAAAGTGCACTACAAGAAAAAATATTTAATTTGCTAATTACAAAAAAAAGTAATTCATGTCATTGTAAAACTTTATTTGTTGTTTTATGCAGTAATGCATATACTGCTTCAAATATTGTCTCCTGCATCCTAGTAAATTGTGTTTTTTCAAATGTTTCATGTATTCTTGAGCATATTTCATGCAATTTATCACAACTTTAATAGCATTCAACTTTTTTTAATTTTCATATTATATTAATCATACATTCTCAATTGCTATATTGTGTGACTTACTTTGTTGACCTTTCTATGGTTTATTGGAAGATGCTAAACAGACTTAGGAATCTGGATTTGCATGTATATTTGGCAAAATGGCAGCATCGTGTTGTAATGGTTCAGCTAGTGTTGCTGTCTAACTAAAAATTAAAATTAAATGCATGTCTTGAAGCACAAGTTAATGCTTTCCTCAGGTGCTAAAGATTCCAGGTGGGAAGCAGCATCAATCATGTTGTGATTGTAAGGTTTTGGATTGAAAGCAGCAACAGCCTATATGCAAATCACAGGTAATTAGCATTATGGGAAGTAAATGTGCATATATCAATGAAGATTACTAATAGTTTTTTTTGTTTTTAATTAAGAAAATGTTTAAAGCGTTAGTGAAGATTAGAGTCGTCAGGCTTAGGTCTGTGTTTTGAAGTTGTACAATGGAGGTTGTTATTGCTGTTTCTATCAGTGCTATCAGTTCACAACTGAAATGTTCCAGGATCAAATCCCTCTCAGGATGAAAATATTTGGTCATGTACATTCACACTTGATGTCCCTCTTCACCTAGTAGTAAATAAATACCCAGGAGTTAGGCAGCAGTCGTAGATTGGATCCTGGGAGAGGTCAGTTGTAAGGGCCCAATAGACTACTGCCCTTCACAATGAGAAACCATGTCAAGGCCATGTCAACCTTCTCTTTATCATGCATTATAGCATCAAACTATCTGGAAAGTGGCATAAATATAATTTAAGTTTAGCTCAATTAGATGTGAAGTTATTCAATATACTATGTATATATTAGTGATTTTTATACAATTGTAATCAAAATACAGTATATTGTTGCTCCTCATTTTAGACTTATTAAAGCCTTTTTCTATTATTATCAACTTGGACTCAAGGCCAAGTTTATATAAAAAAAAGTTTAATCAGGTTTACATTAGCTGTAGCTATTATGTTTCCTCGTATTATAGAGTCCATACATTAATAAATATATGTATTATACCAGTCATTATTAATTATCATTATTGTTAATATCACATTTAAAGCAAACAGTCTAAGTTGCCTGGTATAGTGTCTTCTTCAGGCATGGTATATCACATAAATATAATAATAATAATAATAATAATAATAATTTTTATTCAAAAGAATGTATGTGTGTTGCACACACACACACACGTGCAAAAAAATTTCTTGCTATAATCAAATACTGTACTGTATATGGGATGAAGCCAATGTGATTATATACATATACAGTATATGTATGTATATCACACCCACACCTGTCATAACTACATCTGCCATACATACACCTGTCTTGTATATATAATATTACTTTATATACATACTGTCTACTCACTAATCCGGATCATATGGGGCCCGCCTCCCTAAGAGTTAGCTGGACATCCAGATGAGAATTGTTTACAAGAAAGTCCAAAAAATTAATATATTCATAATTTGTTGTACCACAACCAACATAATTCATATTTCCACATGCAATAAACATTAATTTACATGCTTAGAGAGTCTTTTCATATACATGGTGTACCATTATTAGCTATCTCTATGAAATTGGATAAATATTTAAAACCCTACATATTTTAATGTTTTTAACTTGTAACAACTCTTGTATATATCTAAAAAAAAATAAAAAATACTTATTATGATACAAAAACAGAGATTTATAAATCATGAGTCAAATCTTTATGAAGAGCTTTCAACATGGGCTCCATCTGTATCCCAGCATATTTAAAATCTAAACTTAGCCTTGCGAAACACATTTTGAAACATCACAGGAATTATGACCTGCACTGTCAGCTGAATGCATACTTAAGTTCAGCTAAATTATTGATCCTTTGGCAATAAAACTTAGTTTGTATAAACCTCCCCGTAAAGAAATTCAGGGGTGTCAAATTTGGATGACGTGGAGGTCAAGGTCATGCACAGATCCAGTTGTTTTAAATTTCTACACGAGTTCATGAATCGGTGTGTCTGTAGGACTGATTATGTGAAATTTGCTTGTAAATCTCTGATTTCATTATGTTGCAATCCTTTATTATGTAATGTTGCAATAAATGTGCTTTCTTGTGTATTCAATAATAGGGTTAGGGTTCTGAAAAGATGAAATAATTTAGTAATTTTTACATTTACATCAATAAACATGGTTGAAGAGGGGCAAACAGCTGGTGTGGGACTACACATGTATATCCATCCTCTCTGACACCTACATAGACTTCCATGCTGATCAAGTAGGTGGTACAGTCAATCCCAGGGAAACAGCAAAATCAATCAAGAACAGGTGTGTAGAACGTCAATACACCTTTGTTCCCATAGCAACTGAGATGCTTGGTCCCTGGGGTAGGAATGCCTTGGGCTGTCTCAAAGAATTTTGATCCAGGCTCGTTGACATCACCAGAGACCCAGGGGCCGCCATTTTCTTGCTTCAGTGCCTCAGTGTGGCGTTACAGAGAGGGAAACCCATGCTGCATCTTCAGTTCCTGTCCAGAAGCAGAGGACCTCCAAGAGATCCCAAACTTTTAAGCACTTAGTGTATTAACCAATGTACAACTTGTAACCTTTAAATATCTAATAAAGAAAATCAAAATGCAAAAGGAGGACGGGTGGTATGACAAAACATGAAAATTGCATTGAAGGGGACCTAAAAATTCCCTCTAATGCATTATGTGTGCTTTTCTCATAGACTATGAGTCTCCTTCTTCCAGTTTGATTACCTCCTATTATCCAGCTACCCCCTTTCCCTTTTATATAACCATTTGTGGAGTTCATGTAGATTCCATTCAACTGGGCTGTTTGGGTCTTGAACCATGGACCCCACGCGTGCAAGGCTGACACTATCGACTGGGCCATGAGCAGTCTTCAAATTTTATTTTCATGTACAGTAGATCTCTTTGTAAGGTCACCTCACCCAAAAACATTTGTGTCATATCACCTTACCAAAAACGAATATAAGCATGTAAGCATGAAATGATATGTGTAAACCTGTCTTTGAAAATGTGAGAATTCCTTACGGAACGCTCTTAGGCATCAGACCATAAATAAAAAATGAGAAAATGAACTTTGGAGAGTTAATTTTCAATTACCCCCCGACAGTGAAGAAAAACGTAAGAAATATTAATTAAGAAGATCTTACCCTTTCGTGGTAGAATCAAAATAAATATATATATATATATATATATATATATAAATAATTTTATATAATTATTTTGTTTTCGAGATTTTTTTAAGTGGATTTTGAGCTGCTTTGGGAAGTATTTTTATCAATTATCAGGAGAAAGCACTAAGCCATTAGCCATAAGCACTCCCCAATGTAGCCATGCTTTGGGGAGTAGTGGCTTCTAAGAGCTCATACAGCCCTTGCTTTAATCAATGACCCAAAGTCCATTCCTTGCACCTGCCAAATCCCCCGTTTATGAATGAAAAACGGCTGGATGGAATGGATTTGATCTGAGGACGGGTTGTACACGAAATATATAGGTTCCCTTTAACCGGTTTAGCCAATTCAATTCAATTTCTTTCTTTATTATGCACCCCATATCCATCCCGAGGGCGGTGGTGTAAAGGATTACAGAGGCATATAATCGGTTAAGGAACTGAACCCTCTAGTCGTGGTTGAAAAAGTATGTGTGTTCTGTGCTATATTTTTGGCTTGTTGAGCTTGAGGCTGTTGTTCTTCGTCACTATCTAACCTTTTGTCATCTGTGAAAGTTACAGCTCCCATGCGTAAGGGCCTAACAAATTTCCTGTCCACGCTAATGGGAAAGTATGTGAACCAACTGAATAATTAGCATGTTGTTGTTGTTTTATATTTAGCTACTCAGAACAATATGTTCATGTAGCATAGGCTATAGTGAGCCCGTAAATAGTTAGTAACATGACATATAACTTTGTTAAACAAACTTTAGCTACACTGTAGGAGCAAACTATATTTTTTTTACCTTACACGCTAAGCATTTAAACTTGCTTGACAATCAATACTTAAATTATTGTGATTACTTTTTTAATGTAAACTATTAAATGTTCACAGTTTAAGTTACTTTTAATATTTATATTCAAGTTCATTATTTTACAGGAAACGTTTTCCAGTGTGCAATATTTCAGTATCACAAAGACTGTAAATATAAAAAAAATTCTCAATATTTCTATGCTAAAATTAAATTATATGCAATATATTTATAAAGTATATTGATAAATAAAAAGTGTTTCGTCAAAAAAATATTTACAAATAGGAATTATTAAATGATTTGGAAATGAGTGAAGGGAAGCGAGGCTGCTTGACCCGTAATTAGCAACGTTTTGGGCCGTTCACTCAGGCCTCGGCTCCCACACCTGTACAAAGCTATATTTAATGCAAATGTTTCTTAACTAGTTTTGTGTGTGTAGTGTAGGTAAGTTGCATCAACTTTGTGTCGTAGTGTGAGACAAGGGAGGTATAGGCTCCCTGGTGCTGACTGGAGGCCGCCGGCCTGGGGTCTAGGCTCCAGCTTTCTGTTTGGGCCATATTGCCAAGAAAGTTATCATATATACAAACTTTCTTCTCTGGGTTTAAGTTGGGATATATCATAGCATTAATGTTGATAACCCGTAACTATTTATTTCATGATATTTTAACTATGAGATTTGCACAATAGTGGCCCCAATAGTAGTCATTTTACATCTTCGTTAGTCATTAAAATATCTTGACCTCACAATGAAAATTAAAGAAAAAGTTAAGTTTTTGTATATATAATCCATGTTGTGTCACATCACAGACTTAATTCGTTTACCGCCTTGGATCTTGTTGGATATTACTAATTTATGGGCCACCACAGATGAGGTCTGTTTTGAACTCAATCAGTTTCCAGACAAAATTCATTGCCTGCCGGTGGGAATGGCTATAACCTGTAGTAGGTGTCTTTGGCATGTGACAAGATTCTGGCAACATCTAACTATTCATGGTGAGGTGGGTGCCTGGCCCCACTTTGCACTGAAAAAAAGACTAGAATACTGTCAATACTCAGTTACACCAAATAGCATATATGTCGGGTATCCTCATTAAACCTGGGCAATCAAATTAAATTCTAAACCTTTACTGAAAAATATACAAGCTGTTCTTGCCAAATGGCAAAAAATACATCAGCTTTCATCTAGTATCTGTGGGAGAGAAAGACCCACATGCTCATAATGTCCTAAAGGTAAATTAGGAGTTCTCCGAAGATTCACCAACTGCTGGCACTTCTCAGTCAAGCCAACGCTGGACCCGAGGACCGGGCCACGTGGACGCTAATCCCCAAAATCATCGCAAGGTAACCCCAACTGCCTAAGTATCAGATCAGAATACAAAAATCTATTGCCTTCTCATTGAGCTCATGCAATATGCGTGCCAATGACCATATCAATCCAGGCTGTTAAAGAAGAATGCTTTATGACAATAGAGTATCCCAGTGTGTTAAAATCTCAACACACTCCAGGTATAGTGCAAGACTGATGTCGGGCCTATTGTCAAGGTCAAACCAAGAGTCCAAATTAAGTGGTTGAGTTCCTTTTCGAGTTAAATGCTTTATAGGTTAGTGGTGGATGCTAAACACTGGTGATGTTAAGGGTTATCAAGCTAATGTGAATGTGACTGAATTTCTTAATGTATTTTCATAAGGCAAAGTCATTAGTTGAATGTGTCTCATATGTACATTAGCCAAATGATCTGCTAAACCTATGTTGTTAGAGTTCAGCATGAATTGTTAGGCAGCATGCATTTAAGAAGAGTCAGACATGACCCGAATTCTGTTGTTTAACAGTGATTTTCTCTCTTGATGCATAATAAAATAAAATAGCACTGCATTGCTTTGATAATTACAGCTATACTAACCTATACGAATAATGAAGCATCCCTGGGATGTACATCTGTTGTCTGTAATCCTTAGTTAAAGGCTTTGTTGCTCAGAAGATTGTCCAATTAGTACCACTGTGAAAGTCCTGTGCATTTTCTTATATGAGTTTATCTCATATTTTGCCAAGACCAAGATACTGTATTGTCTAGGGCACTTTTTGGGCATTGCTTTTCATATGTATTGTACAAGTGATGTGGAAAATTTTTGTTTTTCTTATACTGTACAATATTTTAAATGAAACCATGTACAGTATACATAATTAGAAAGAACATTTTCTGATTCAGTAATTGTCAAATTCTCATGCTAACAGCACACAAAATTTAAGCAAAAATTTTTATTTTTCCTAAACTGCTTGGATCATTTTGGTACTATTTATAAAACATAATTTTTTGCATTTGTACAGTATGTACAGTACTGTACTGTACAAATACATAGTACAAGTTAATAAAAGATATTTTTTCTTCCAGATACATTATTGGTATTATTTTCTGAAGCAAGGAAGATGTCGCTATCAAAACGAGAATATGAAGACTACAAGTCAGCTGTGGATAAGATGGTGTACAAGTATGTGGCACGTGACAGGTCAAGTGTCGTGTCCGCTATAACACACGCTGTTGATTCTGGGTGTGACAAGAGGAAAGTTGAAGACAAATTAATGGGCTATGTAGATAAAAACCTGGCATATAAATTGGCAGAAAAGGTAAGAATAGAGAATTTTGTTTTGGAAGGATGTAGGAAAATACTGGTTTGGAAATAGGGAAGTACTGGTTTGGAAATAGGAAAGTACTGGTTTGGAAATTGGAAAGTACTGGTTTGCAAATAACATTTTGAGTGGGTGGAATGGGCAGTCAGCTATCATTATTGTGACATGGTTTAACAGATTTCAAGAATAGGTTGAATAGGCACGTGGGTAAGACATTAAATTAAACAGGACCCTCCTAGTATAGGCCAACATGTCTGCTGCTGTGCTTACTAATTCATATGTTCTTATATTAGCGCTGAAAATCTTGAATAATTTTTTCAGGGGCCATGTTCTAAATAATGATTAGTCCAGATAAGATATCAATCTATACTGTTTAAAGGAACTTAAGTACAGTAATTGGTGGTCAGCGCAACAGCATGATGTGCCTCACACTGCTGAAATGGATGCTTTCTTTTGCCTACTACTCAAGTATGGAGAGTACAAAGATAGTCTGTTTACTTAACACTTTCGCCAGGGCATGACGCAGCATTGCGTCATCCGTTTACTGTCAGTAATACCGGGGATGACGCAGCATTGCGTCATCCACTTTAAATAATCGCCTAAAATCGGGTTTTTATCCGATTTTTTGGGGACTGGTTTTAAAATGTGCGCCGATGTCTTCCCATTTTCTTTGTTGAGCCTCGTGGCCCTCAGGTGGCTTGGCACATGCCATGGGCCCATTGTTTTCGCTCCACTGTTGTGACCAATGTCGCCTCCCCTCGCATCTCGAACGTGTGAACATTTCGGCTATTTTCCGTGGCTATATTTCTTACTGCGGCTTTAGAAACTATCTACCCTTACTCCACGATGGATAGTGATCATGAACAAGGCCCTTCCAGGAAGAAAATTGCGAAAGAAAGGCTTGAAAAGGGAGGGAATTGGGAGTGTAGCTGGAAGGCGTCTGAGCCCTCACTCCCGGCTAACGCGTGGCCCGTCTTCAACTCGTCGGCGGTTGGAGCGTGACCAGGTTTTATATTTTATATGCTAATGTTCCTCTAGAGAATTCTATTGCAAACCCATTGAGACCAAAATGAAAGACCTAGGACAAAAATTGAGGTGACCAGAGTGAAAATAGTGAAAACATTTTATCGCGTTTGCACGCTCCTGGGTAACTCGTTCGCACTTTCTCTGTTTGCTGCGGGTAATTAGCCGGGCTTTTGGAGTTTATATGCATTTAGTGCTGTAGAGAATTCTATTGCGAACACAATGATACCAAATTCAATCTCGTAGGACGAGAATTAAGGTGACAAAGTTGAAGAGAGTATACACTTTTCAGAATTTACGCGCGCTCCCGTGACACCCTGGGTCCCATATCGCACTATTGAGTGGTGGCGTGTGGGGTGAGCGAAAATGTTAAGTAGACTCACATTAAAACTAGAAAGAATGCTACTACATGATGCATAAAATTCACTTTGTTTGGGGAGAAAAGTAATGTTGAGCAGTCATGAATGTCAGCCTTGGCATGGGACAAGGAGAACTCCTAGGTGAAGCAAGGCATAATAGATACAGATATGTGCTTCTTATTAAGTCAGTTTCAATTCGCTTAAAATTTATGCATATGTTTTAAATGTCTTGCTGGGATTTAAATTTGAAAGCCATACCAGATGAAGGAATTTGAACCAGTTGAAGTGCACTGTAGAGGTATATAGTAATTTTATTTCTCAGTCTAAATCCAGCTGTTAAGTAGTACTGTATAACAGTCAGAGAATATGTCACAGTATTGTGGCTGAAAATAAACACTCAAATCCACTGAAGGACAAGAGCTACGAGGAAAGGTTAGAGGCATTAAATATGCCAAAATTAGAAGACAGAAGAAGAAAAAGAGGTGATATGATCACTATTTACAAAATAGTAACAGGAATTGATAAAATCGATAGGGAAGATTTCCTGAGACCTGGAACTTCAAGAACTAGAGGTCATAGATTTAAACTAATTAAACAAAGATCCCGAAGAAATATAAGAAAATTCACTTTTGCAAACAGAGTGGTAGACAGTTGGAGCAAGTTAAGTTAAAAGGTGGTGGAGGCTAAAACCGTCAGTAGCTTCAAAGTGTTATATGACAAAGTGTGCTGGGTAGACGGGACACCATGAGCGTAGTTCTCATCCTGTAGTTACACTTGGGTAATTACACATGAAAGGAAAGTGACAATGTTTTAGCCCTTCCTTGAACCCTTATCAGTTGGGACTTGATGAGAGTCCAGGATGGGCTGAAATGTTGTAATGACTTGGTAAGGGTTCAGGATGTGCCAAAACATTTTAACTACTTGATTGCGAATCAGGAAAGGCTGAAACATCATTATGACTTGATAAGGGGTCCAGGACAATTCAAAATGTCACTCGGTGACTGAGTACTGTATATAGGCCTGCAATATAATATGTACATCTATATTGCATGTAAATCTATTCCTGGCATAGCAAAAAAGAAATCTCTAGCAATCTTTTCCTTTGATTCTATGCTGTCTGATAATGTCCAGAAATAATGTACTGTAAATTCAGACACCAGCAGAAACACTAAATTATGATGATTTTATGAAAACTGCAAGTCAATAGTATGTAATAATCTCATCATACAGTAAGCAATTAAAAACAATAGCTGAATTTTTGTTACAGGTCTTTGTTAATGTTATTACATCCATATACGTGCATTATAACCATATTTACATCATTTGTATAAAAAATACTACTGTAATAATAAAAATCAACATATGATGGTAACCACATTACCCAGGGAATAACACATGATGATAACTGAACTTTAGGGGTTTTAGCTCCTAAACCACCCAATAGTATCAAAGCATGGCATGAGTATGCAAATTTCTTTGTGAAAATACCTGTTTTTTTTTTTTCAATAAGAAGCCATTCTTGCACACACTTGTTGGCCCTATCTATACCATTCCCAGACTGCGTCAACACCACCTTACTCTAGCTGGACTCGATACCTTCCTTGGGATGAAGTTTTGTGACACAGTTTTGTTATAGTGTTCTATGATCTTCACTTCGTAATATCAAGCACAGTTGGCATTGTTATACTGTAAAATACTCAGAACAGATCAGCCCCTGAGGAAAATCATCTTCAAACCTGAATTAGAGTATCTTCAGTTTGTTGACAATCAGTAATACAACTCATATCATTTTGAGTATACAGTACCACTAGATGAATCCTCCTTTGCTCACACATTCCTAGGGGTTTGAGAAGACACCAAGGATGTTAACATTAACCAACAAATGGGAATGGTTTCAGGGAGTAATTACATGAATGGGCATTATAAAAAACAATAATACATATAGATTATTCATCTTCCTTTCCAGCAGTGTCACCTTTCTCACACATACCTATAGGCCTGTTCCTTGTCATGTCTTGCCCTGTTCTCGTGGCTCGTAAGATAACTTAAGCTCGTTATCTGCATATTGTTTTGCATAGGCAGCTACATATACATAGGAGGCCTGGTCGAGGACTGGGCCGCGGGAATGCTAGGCCCCGAAACCATCTCAAGGTAACATGCTTTTATCATCCATTAGGTGACTGTCAGATACTGTGTAACTGAATATGAAATAGATAGATAAGTGATATTTTTTATTTTTTTAATATCAATAGCTTTCTTTCACTATATTATTCATAATTTTCCCCACCACATGAAATAATAATGTATGTATTGTACTGTATGTATAATATGTTTATGGTAGTAGTCTAACTCGCTCTATCTTTTGTTCTTATGTTTAGTTAAACTGATGTATGTCAAAATTCTCTACATACTTTTGCAGGCATTTGTATTACTGGAAGATCTAGGAGCAAAAGTTAAAAGTACATCATCTAGAAAACGTACCCACAAAGATGATAATGAACGCGATAAAGAGACTAAAAGGGCAAGGGTCAAAGATGAAAAGGAATCTTCCTCGGATACTAAGCCATCTCATGTGCCATCATCTGGACCAAATAATGCAGTTAGTCCAGGGCAAATTCAAGCTCAGCAGGTAAGCACTACTTTGCATAAACTATTTTAATATTGATAATAGTACAGTAATATGATTCTCCAGCTTGGTGCCTTCTTTTGATAATTACTGCATTTAATATGAATTCCAATATAGGCTAATACAGTAAAGAAATACTTATAAAATGCAAAAATAAGAATAATAAAATTGGTACCAGTGGCAAAACATTATTAACACTAATAGTAAACACAATAGTAACCGAGGTCACCAAAATTTCTGGCTTCACTAATAGGTTTGTCGAGTTACAGTCTGATAAGATCTTCCTCACTCTTGTGTTTGACTGATGAATATTGTATGAAGAAGGCACAGCATTTCTTTTGCCAGTCTTGCTGTTACTGACTTTTAGTTTAACATGTTATGGTGCAATATCCTGATTATTCTGCTCTCATTAGGCTTTCTCTCTTTTGCATTCTCTAGCATAAACTCTCAGAGACATTCATGCTCAATTCTCGCATCCTCACATCTCAGACATCTTACAGGGTCAGTATTCGATCCCTGATGATCCAAGTGGGCACTGTTTTTTCACTCTGTCATCATATCCCAGCTCCTTGTCTTTCCTATCCCAGCTCCTTGTCCTTCAATCCCTTCCAAGTACTATATAGTCACACTGGCTTAGCTGTTTCTCTTGATAATTATTTACCTACTTCACCCACCTTGTCCTCCCTTCTTTTTGGCCCTCCTTCCATCCTTGTGCTCTCAAGTATATTATTATTACTAGTCTTAATGGGAATTATATGTTTTTATTTGACTTTAAAGTGATAGCCATGCCTGCTAAAGTCTTATTTTCTAGCAACCTGAATCGTGTTACCGAAATATGAACACAATTGAAGGATCTTGGTACAGTAGTACAGTTGGGTTCATTCTTGACTCATGGTTTGGAATCTTGGGTTCGAAGCTTAGGGACAGGGCATGTTTGCTTTCACCTAATACCTCTGTTCACCTAGCAGTAAATAGGTACTTGAGAGTTAGGTAACTGTTGTGAGGTTGCATCCTGGGGAGGGGCAGTAGTTCAACCTTGGAGGAGCTCGATACGAGCTTAAGGTATATATACACAGGCCGCATGTCCCCAACAAAATGATTTACATAGTGTCTCCAAGAAGTATGAACATTCTTAAAATATTATCTATTCATTTAACATGTCAAACTATTTCAGTATTCTCTCTTTAATCTTGAGATTTACTGTCCAGCACTCCAAGGCTTCATATGGATGGTTTTTATTCCTTTATTCTAGCATCATGTGTTTCCTAGATTATAAATTTGTATTGAATAATAATGATGCAGTAATAATATGTTGTACTGTATTAACTTTAAATACCTTAGCCTTTTTCTGGTAGTTTGGGAAGCACATTTGAATCATGTGTTTCATTTTTAGTTTTACTTTCATACCTAAAGATATTTAAATCAGATCTAAAACAAATTGAGAAAGTTCTCAGTTTGCTTAAGATCTGGTTCACATATGTATTTGGGATCTGTATTGTTTGTGGGAACTATACTGTCCGTCATGGGATATATATAGTATAAGTACTGTATGTATTAGGAACGTATATTGCTTGTGGGCCTTTTAATGCCATGGTATAATATTTTAATCAATTCAATTATATTTTCACAGATAAAGGACATCATGGCTAAAGCTCAGGCTGTAATTGAAGAGAGAAAGAAGGCCATGGCCAACCTTCAGTCTCCGGAACCAAAACCGACCACTAATGGTGCAGGTAAGTCTAAGGTGTTTGTGTTTGTCTTGTAATTTTAGCATTTGTAGTTAGTAAAAGTGGCTCCAATGTAAGTGCAATATATGTAATTCCCATTATTGGGAACCGGAAGCCTGTACTTAGGCTTTTTGAGGTTTCCCTTTTTGAAGTGACTGTCCTTTCCCAGAATGCAACTGTTATATATTTTACTGCTTAGCAAGCAGATGCATCAGGTGAAAAGAAACATTCCCAACCACTTCTGTCCCACCCAAGGATTGAAGTTAGGTCTCAATGTGCTACATGACCCTGTAGAGAATATGTAGTTGGATATGTAGTAATTTTTAAAACTAGAAAAATCTTTCTTCCTAAGGTATTTACTTGTCAGAATTTTCAAATTTTTGAATGATTATTGATTGATTACCAACAATCATCATAATGTTTATTCAAAAGGGAAGAATTAAGATGGTCCTAAATGGTATTTGAGGCCTTCAGTAAAAATTTGCCATCTTAAGAAAAAGTGATGTAATATTTGGGACATTTTCCTGGGCTCAGGACATGGCTTTTAACAATATTGAGCAAAAACCTTTGTTTTGAATTTTATTTTTCTGTGCACATAAAAATATTGTATTTTATGTATCCTTTATGCATTGTAAGAATTAAGGCAACATGTCACAAAACCAACACAAGGAAAGAGAGGTGGCCGTGAGCAACACTAGACCTGGTGTAGACCTGGTCTTTACCTAAAATAAGGCACAAGTTGAGAAGATGGATTATGAGTAGGAAATTTATAAATGTTCATATCTTGGACTGATGAAGCTTGAAATGCTTATATGATTGACATGCATTTTAAATTGAATGCCATTCTTTGTGATATATAAATATCCATGTGTTTAACATTCATATTTTTTATTCATTCCAGCTGTGCCTTTAATACCCCAATCCCCATCAGTAGTGCTAGGATCTGTTGGTGGTGGTGGTGATGTAACCTCGCGTATTGCTGAGCTTCAGGCCCGCATTCAGGCACAGCTGGGAAATGCCTCTGCTCTAGGACTAGCAACTTTACACATGGGGGCAGCCCTGAGCACTACTGTTGCAACAACAACAGTTAAACCTTTAGGAGAGCAAAGCAAACCAACTCCACTCATCTTGGATGCAGAAGGACGAACTGTTGACCAGAGTGGGAAGGAGGTACATCTAACTCAACGAATTCCCACACTAAAGGTGAGATGGGTACCATATTTTCTGGCAGATAGGAGGCACAGTTTTGGGGCCACACAAAAGAAGTATAAATTGTATTTACATGCAAAAAAAAAAAAAAAAAATCATGTACAAAACCACTTGAACATCACTTTCAATAAATGTTTGATGAAACATACTAAAACTGTTTACTGAGAGGGTCCCCTTGTGGCTCACTGGTGCTAGCTACCTGGATAGCTCTGCACATATCATGTCAAACACCAGACCCTTGTGAGTTTTTAAAAGCCTGTTACACACCTGACTCCAAAACCTAGTCAACTCAAAGAGGCACAGGAAGCAGGGGGTCCATTTCACTGTCCTGTAGGTTTTTGGCAGTTTTAAAAATTCAGTTTTCCAGGTAACCCTTAGCAGATTTATTGGGCTCAATTAATTCTTCTAAACCATTGTTGTTTTTTGTTGCAAAATTTGTTCTCTCCAGATTCTTCATTCTTCATTATTTTCTGTAGCACTATGGAGAGAATGCATGTTATTGCAGGCATGAATGTTGTGGAAAAAGGTCTACAGGTTAAGGCTTCCTGTGTGTGTCTCCTTTTTAACTCTCTGTATTTTACAGTTTTACTGATAACTGGGCATTTACCTGTCATTTTGCATTACAGGGACGAGTAAGGGACAGTGGAGCACAGAGTACTCCTGCAGTCATTTTTGTCCACACACATTGTGATACCTAGTTTGGTTGTGCTGTCTTTGTTTTATTACGTCAGTTGTGTGTGTGCTTTCCCTCAGTGACTACAGTGCTGTCAAATGTTACCTATCTGTCATCTCCCATTCTAAGTCTTCTCTCTCTCTCTGGTTCTATTGTACAGTATACCATTTCTGCAATCCCTTTGTTTAATTACTAACAGACCACCTGTCATTGTCCATTAGGACATTTCCATCTCTTCTTAGCTTAATCACATTGTACTTTACAGTTTTTCCTTCCTCTGTAAATATGAAAAACTTGGGACTGTGTTTTCACTTTAGCCTCAGTGTCATTTTCAAACTGCTATTCTGTTTTCCCCTTTACTCCGGAGTACTAATTTCTGGCTCTCCTTATTGCCTACGTGTTGTCTACAGTATTTTTTCCGTGCCTTCTTGTTCTTGCACTGTCTGTTAAACCATAGGCTAATTTTATAGATAACCCTTGGCCACCTATAGTCTCCCTGCCTGTAGTCTAACATCCATCTTGGCTCATTGCTTAACCAGTTCACCTTCCTCAACTCAACAGTGCTTTCTGTTGAGTTGAAACTATAATATTATACGTCCTCAACTATAATATATTGTTCAGGCATATTTAAAACATTTGTGTCTTACAAATTACTAGTTCATCCAGAAATAACATTCTTTCAGGTATAACAGATGAAATTTCTTGTTTTAATTGTTATTACATCTTTTTGTAAATATTATCTCTTGACCTCCATCAGGCTAACATTCGAGCAAAAAAACGAGAGGAGTTTAAGCAGCAGTTGCAAGAGAAGCCTATTGAGGACACTGCAGAGAGTAATTTCTTTGATCCACGAGTCAGCGTGCGTCCATCTCTGAGAATCAAGAGACCTTTTAAATTCCACGACCAGGGCAAGTTCATTCAACTCGCTCAAAGAGAAAGGGCTAAGGTGAGAACGTATTCATGTTTGGGTTAGTCACGCTACTTACTCAACAATTCTCTTCTGGTACGAGTTAATGGTAGCCGAGCTGTATATGGGTTTACTCATTTTTTGCAATTCTTTTGGTTAGTTTTACGGGATATGCAAACAAGTTGGAGTAAAAAAAAATTAAGTGCCAGTAAATGGAAAGAAAGTACCTAGGAATGGCACTAAGAGAGCCCAGAGAGCCAGGGGCATTAAGCACTCTAAATATGAAACACAGCCAAATTGAAGGAGAAAAAATTGGGGTAATTTGCTATCACCACCACTACCATCACCACCTCTACCATCACCACCACTACCATCACCACCTCTATCATCACCACCACTACCATCACCACCTCTACCATCACCACCTCTACCATCACCACCACTACCATCACCACCTCTACCATCACCACCTCTACCATCACCACCTCTACCATCACCACCACTACCATCACCACCACTACCATCACCACCACTACCATCACCACCTCTACCATCACCACCTCTACCATCACCACCACTACCATCACCACCTCTACCATCACCACCTCTACCATCACCACCTCTACCATCACCACCTCTACCATCACCACCTCTACCATCACATATTAATGATTTGAAATGAATATTAATGAATAATGAAATATGATTTTATATATAAAATCTGTTTCTCAACCCACATAGATGATCAGTAATTTATTTCTCATTTATTTCTCCCACAGTCTCGGTTAGAAAAGCTGCAGAATGAGATCTCTCAAGTTGCAAAGAAAACGGGCATTTCGTCGGCAGCCAAACTAGCGCAGTTGGAGCAGCGCGAAATGAAAAGTATAAGTGATGAATCTCCTGACATTGAGTGGTGGGATGCAATTATCCTTCAGGGCAATAGGTTGGAATAAATCTCATACAGTACTGTATTTTATTGTATAAATAGTATAAGCTGTTTTCTAATATTGGCCTATTTAATTGAATGTGCAAAAATAAATTGTTAGAGCCAACAATGTTCATGTTATGTACTATTAATTTTGCAGAGGCCACAACAAAAAATTAAAAACCTAAACTTTTTTAGGTCTAATGTAGCACACACGTGTACTAAATTTGGCACAGGATTGCTTATTTGGGCCTTGGACAGGTTTGGTTAGAGTCTTTAATTAACTATTAATTTTTTCCTGCTCCTCAGCCCAGGACTTTGAGGTCTGACCAGCGGTCTTTCCTGACCAGAGGTCTCTCCACAAAAAACCAGCGTTGAATGTAATGAAACGCGATTTTCTGGGTGAGTCCTGGAGGCTCCTCGGCAACCCTCCCTCCCTCCGGTCGGTGGTTTTCGCTTTTTGATATTCAGCCTCTGAACTGAGGCTGAGGTTGGGTAGCTGGCGCGAGGGGTCTGGAACTTCCCCTTCCCCCTCCCGGGAAGGTGGGAGCTGTGCAAACTGTAGCACAGCGGTGGTTGAGGCATCATGCTTGTTTGCTTGTTTTCAGATTGTGGAATTCTGCTCGATAGTTTGGTTTTCGTTAGTTTAAATAAAGTATGAACCGAGGTGTTTTCGAGTCATCCCAATCAGTGGCTATAGATTTACAATCACAGATAATCATAAATTACCTGTTGTTGAACCTTTATAACAAGCTTGTTGAGATTTAATTGAACTATAAAAACTAGTTAAGTTCATTTCAAAACTAACATTGTTCTGTCATGGAAACTCAAGCTTTGGATCAGGAGAATGCCAGCTTAATGCACTGTTATTAAGGGATTGCCAGTTGATATCGGTTATATCACAGAGCAATACAAATATTGTGAGACAGAACCTAAGGTGTCTGTAAAGTTTTCTTGAAATTTAGTGATTATTTTACAAAATAATTGTGATACTCTTTTTATCCAACCACATGGACTGGCCAGTACAATAACGGTCTCACTTCTTGCAGTGTCAGGGTTCAGTCCCCAATGGTCCAAGTAGTTGGGCAACATCCATCGCTCCTTCCTCATATCCCACTTCTTTGTTCTCATAGAAGCCGTCCATTTGGACTGGTCTGTAGACTCGGTACACTGACCGCCTCACTTCTTACAGGATTAGCATTTAATCCCAGTAAACAAAGTGGTTGGGCACCATTCCTTCACTCCATCCTGATATCCCTTACAGGTGCTGTACAATCATACTAGTTTAGCACTTTTACCTATAATTAACTAATCTATATTATTTTTCTTTTAAATTCTGGAGACAAGTGTCCTCTGGAAATCTAATTTTTTATATTATGCCAGATTTCCAGATGAAGGTGAAGCAGTTAAAGTGAAGGATGACTATATAACGAGGTTGATAGAACATCCTTTAGAGATGAGATGTCCATCAGATCCTTTAAAACCCGTGACACTTGAAGTCCTTCTCACAAAGCAAGAGCGGAAAAAGCTGCGCCGCATGAACAGACGAGAAACTTGGAAGGAGAAACAGGAAAAGATTCGTTTAGGACTGGAACCACCCCCAGAGCCCAAGGTATGATTGTGTTTGGCCTTTTTATTCTTTTTGTTTTATTAAGTTATTTTCAGTACTCATATATTTGTGGTTGCAGGAGTTGATAAAAAACCTTTAGCTCTTGGATCCTACCTATCAATCTTCAGCCAACTAGTGTATATGTCACCAAGCTTATTATTATGATTTAATATGACTGCCAAATATTAAGTAATTACTAACAATGTGTGATAAGAAGCAAATCAATTGTTTTGTTAAACAGTTTTCCCATAATTTTTTAATAGTATTTTTTGTGTTAATGTCAGTCTTGCTAATTTTTCATCTGCATAAAATGCTAATTTATTGTATTATAATTGTTAATTTCACAGTAAACATCTTTCAGGTTAGAATGGCTAATTTAATGAGGGTTTTAGGAACCGAAGCTGTTCTAGACCCCACAAAGATGGAGAAACATGTGCGTGAACAGATGGCCAAGAGACTTAAAGCCCACCAAGATGCCAATGCTGCACGAAAACTTACACCCGAGCAATTAAGAGATAAGAAAGTTCGGAAAATTAAGGAAGACACCTCAACTGGGATTCATGTTACTGTTTACAAGTAAGTTTTATTATATTTTCTTCCAAAACCATTTTTGAGGAAATAAAAATTGTTTACATCACTCAACAAGGTAGATGAATAATAGAGAGGGATGTATGACAAAAAAGGATGATGGAGAGATTGCTGGTGCAGTATACATTTATGGATGAGAAAGAGGGAGGGTGCCCACTCCCATTCAAGTTAGCCAGATTTTTGGCCAGAATATCCATAAATAAAAAAAAAATTATTCTGGTTTTCATTCTGTAGAAATATGAGTAACCCACATTTTTGTTTGAATTGAAAGGTCAAGAACTCAAACTCAGATTTTAAGGGTTTTGTTTGGTAGAAATCTCATTAATCCAAATTTTTATTTGATTTAAATTTGAATGTGAATTCATTCGGATTATTAAGAGATGCGAGTTACCGAGCTTTTACATCATTCAAAATTTAAGTCACATTTGCAAAGTACTGTACTGTATTTGACAGCAGATAGGACACATTGTTGTAACTTTAAGTTTAACCACGATGTCAAAGCTCACTCTAAAGATCATGGTAATAGGGAAACTGAACTTGAAAATCACTTCTAATAAGTGTTTTCCACAGGCTTCCTAAAGGGAGGTACACTGTATAAGTCAGAAATATAGAATACACACATGCTCACATTTTCACGTGAATATGACAGTGTTCAGTTTCCTGTATCAAAATTTATGCCAAATGCTGTATTGTAGAATTTTTTGAGTTCTGACATTGATGCCATGATTGCATATGATTTTATTGTTAACATATCATGCATTTTGAAACTTTCATAAGGGTTGCAAAACATAAACATACTTAGTCTGACAAGACTGAGTGAGTTACAGTTTGCACGTGGATAAGAGAAATATGTATAACAAATGTAAAAATGGCTGTTATCGTATTTTTCTTCTTTAGGGTAACGGATTTTTCCAATGGGTCACACAAGTTCAAGGTTGAAACTAATGCAAAGCAACTCTTCCTGACTGGCACTGTCGTGCTTTTCAAGGACATTAATGTTGTTGTCGTTGAGGGCGGCCCTAAACAGCAAAAGAAATATAAAAGGTAGGTACACAGCTTCATATGCATGTGGAAATTCTGGGTGGGTTTGTAGGGCATTTTTTTTTTTTCTGGAATAGAAGGATAGCTGCAAATGATGTAAATTAAGTTATTTTCTGCCAATAAATTTTTTTTTCAATTGAAGTAGACATTTTCCACTTTCTACATTGTTCTTTTATGTGATTCAGTGGTCCACTTATGTTTTCTTAATGAGTAAGCATCAATATGTATAGTGATTCTCTGCACCTTGTAAAAATTTTGGCATAGGTCAGGCAGGAAAACATGTATTAAGGGACTTGTAGCATAGACTTGTCTATGTGCTTGTCTCACAATCAATAAACCTGGGTTCATTTCCTGGGCAGGACAGAAATATGAGCACAGTTCCTTTGGAATTGATTCCTCTGTTCACCCAGCAGTAAAATAGGTACCTGGTAATTGGCAACTGTTGAGAGATGGATTTTGGGAAAGGTTAGTAGCTGACTTTTATTGGGTCAGGACCTAGGGGACCTGGATAAGCCAAAATACCGGCTTCCTGTCTTAGACAACAATAAGCTACAATATTGTATGACAACCCACGAAGGTCCATGTAGAGGTCTTTGGGAAACACCAGACACAAATTTGACCAGGATAACAGGTATTCAGAAGTAATATCCAAAGTAAACCCTTGTGGCTAATGGGACAACCAATATTGGCCTAAATTAACCTAGCCATTGATGAAAGTACACTGTGAAGTACCTCTAATCTACAGTAGGTGGCAGCACTGTTGATAGCTATGCTTCCCCTTCTATCCATGTGACCCACTGTCCATGTCTTAGACTTGGGTAAGTTCCCTCTACACACATACATACCTCATACTGTACTGTTGTTTGGTCTGCTTTGTTTACCTTTCCAAGCAGGTCTCTCTGATGCTGCAATTCCTGTCCATTTTCTCCTTTCTTCCGTGAGAAAGAAAGTGAGAAAGGAGACGTTTTTTTATTTCTGGCAACCCCCCCTCCCTCTCTCTTCTACCAAAACTCTTAAGCTTTTGGTGAAGAGAGGTGGGGGGGGTTGCTTGCTTTGCTGAAACTGATGTGTGGTGCTGCCACCTGATGACAGTAGGAGTAGCTTTTTCTCTTAACTGGCAGTTAATTGAGCAAAGCTAATTGAGCAATAATTGGTGTTGCTTGTGTTACTAAGTGCAGGGGGGTGTTGAGCAGAGATGTGTGGTCAAATTATACACAAGACTGTTTGATATAGCTTATGTTCTGATTATCATAACCATATACTGTATATCATTTGGTTAGGATATATTAGCATAGATTAGGCTGTGTTAGGCATGGTTAGGTTAGATTGGTTAGGGTTAGCTTAGATTGGTAAGGTCAAGTAGGTTTTAAAATCCATTGGCAAACCATCTTGTGTATGACGTTACTTGTATCCACTGAGCACATTCCAGAGGATAAATTAATGTGATCTTATTAGTAATGACATTGTTATTTGCCAGAGACATTGTTAATATCTCTAGGCACATTTGCATTAATGTATTTGTTGAATTTAAGTATTATATTCACTTAAGAAATAGGCCATAGTTAAAACTTGTATTAGTAAATAATATGTTCGTTTTATAATTTTTATCTGTTATACTTTTGACAGATTAATGATGGAGCGTATCAAATGGGCAGAAGAATCACGGTGCAAAGATGCAGATATTGAACCGAAATGCCAATTGGTTTGGGAGGGAACTACCTCGGAGAGGAGCTTCGGTGAGGTGAGAAACCTTATCATGCATTGTTATTGTTGGTAGTCCTGGTCAGGATACCTTGTGCTTTTTGCCATGTTTCTTTACTAATTTGTATTTTACTGCAAGGATTGTGCATGAGACCTTGGAGTGCTTTATCATTCTGATGTGACGCTTACAGCATAATGTATGACCATAGAAGTAAGCTTTTCATTTAAATTGGTTGCAAAATATACCATTTGCCTTTTTTCTTTGTTTAAGTATGATATCTTGAGAATGTCTATTCATATTTACCTCAAAATTGCAACACAAAAGTTTGAACATAAAACTGAACTTCCTTTTGAAATTGTGCAGTGCAACCTCTTGGAGATCACTTTTAGTATCTTTGTATTGTGACTTTTCAAAAGTTTATCACACACATTTTTCTTGGAGGGCTCTGTCAGTGGCTCCTTGTTGCTACATCCTGGTTGGTTCCATCCAATTTGAATTACACCAGCCCCCTGTGTCTTAAAAAGCCAACTAGAGACCAGAGGTCAATACAGTACCTGGTTACCCTGATAGAGGTGCAAGGAACAGACGATGCAAGATCACTTGAACCAAAGGACATAACCTGCAGAAAGAGAGGACAAACCAAAAACTACAACATCATCAAATTAATTTAAAACAAAAATAAAAATCCAAGGAAAGCAAAATGAGAAAATTTTAAACAAATAATTAAATGGTATCTGATGGAGTAGCTGGAAAGGAAAGGAAGAGGTGGGGAGAGGAGAGGTGGAGGAAGAGACAGGGAGAGGTGGAGGAAGAGACAGAGAGAGGTGGAGGAAGAGACAGGGAGAGGTGGAGGAGATGATGGGGGAGGGGGCTGAGAGGAAGGAGGGAAGCTAGAGAGCTACAGGGGGGGGGGGAAGGGGGCAGTTGGTTGTTTGTTAATAATAATGCTGCTGTTTATACCTTGAAATACACCAACTATACCTGATCAACTGGGCTGTGATTCATACGTCAGAGTACAAGCAGCAGTATTTAACGGCCTGATTGACCAGACTACCAACTAGGCAGCCTAGTTAGAGACCGGGCTATGGAGACACTGATTCTTGAATTGCTTTGTGGTAACCTCAAGGTAATCATAGTGGTTGTGCGATACCTTCCTCTATCCTCTATCATGGCATTTAGTAAATTTTAAGTTTTTATCTTTGCATATTGATAAAGCAATTTACTTTTGTGTAACATATGTATGTTCCATTCTTGTTCCACTGGCATTGCGTTGTTGTTTGTGTAGTGGCTAGAGGACCTTGGCTTTACTTGCATGAGAAACTTGCTGGAATTTTGTTTGATTAGATAACAAAATATACCATTTTTAGCATGAGGTTATTAATTGATTGATACAGATTGAAACATCTTTGTTTTACCATCCTACTTAAAAGTACGTGAATAATTCATTACATATTTTAGCTCATAAATAGGAACTTGTTAGTGAAGTGCTTTCTTTTCCAGAAGAGATCATTTCCAAACAGACATGTTATCTCATTATTTTTTGCCTCCACAGATGCTGTTCAAGGCCTGTCCTACAGAATCCTTTGCAAGAGATCATTTTAAAAAACATGGTGTGGAGCACTACTGGGATTTAGCATATGGGAAAAAAATTCTTGAAGAAGCTGATAGTGGTATTTGAATTATTACTAGCAATACCTTCAAGAAATTCATTGCAGATAATGAATTTTTATTTACCAAAACAGTACTTTTTAAACTGGATCAAAGGTCCACGTTAACTGTGGCATGAGGAAACTGACATGGCAGCAATTGACAGTACAGTAATTTACTATTAAGAGTACCCTCCCGTGAAGAAATCCATCTCTTTCAAATATTTTCAGTTAAATATACTGTGTGTGTTTATATATATATATATATATATAAATAATATAAAATGCATATACACACACACACACACACACACACACACACACACACACACACACACACACACACACACACACACACACACATATATATGTGTGTGTTTGTCTTTTGGTGGTGGAGGCCAAAACCATCAGTAATTTCAAAGCGTTATATGACAAAGAGTGCTGGGGAGAAGGGACACCACGAGCGTGGCTCTCATCCTGTAACTACACTTAAATAATTACACACACACATACACACACACACACACATACATACATATACGTTGTTGAATATGACCGAAAGGGTAAGATTAATAATTCTAACACTAATCTTCTCAATATTTCTTACGTTTTTCTTCACTGTCGAGGGTAATTGAAAAAATTAACTTTCAAAATTCATTCTTTATTTTTGGTCTGACGCCTGAATGCGTTTCGTAATGCTTCTTACATTTTCAAAGACTAGTTTACACTTAACATACATCATACTTATACTCGTTTTGGGTGAGGTGATATGGCACAAAAGTTTTGGGTGAGGTGACAGAACTATGGCAGAACATGAATCAATGGGTATGAAAACGTAAGAATGGAAGTAACTGCAGAAGGCCTATTGGCTCATGCTTTCTCTTGCTGCTTCTCTGTTGGTTCGGGGTCTTGAAGTGGGTAGAATATAGTTGTGCATTAATTGGCTGTTGATTGCTGATGACTTTTTGAGTCAGACCAAAAATAAAGGATGAATTTTGGAGAGTTAATTTTCAATTACCCTCGACAGTGAGGAAAAACGTAAGAAATATTGAGGAGATTTGTGTTAGAATTATTAATCTTACCCCTTCGGTCATATTCAACAACATATGTTTACAAGAAAGACTGCTCCCAAAATATACTAACATACATATACATATATAAACATACATTTATATAACATTTATTATTACACAATTAACTTTGCTCTCAAATGGAATTTGTTTCCATTTTGTGTTATTTCCATCAAGGTAACATAGTGGGTGTTAGTGTATAATTAGTTACTTGCTGCCATATTAACATAAGGTCATTTGAGGCAAAATATTTGTATGTAAAGCCTGATAAGTGGCAACCTTGGTGAGTAAAGGTCATTAGTGATATAATTTGAGAGTAAAGACTCTTAGTTGGAAAACATTTGAGAGTAATGATGTTAGGTGGCAACATTTTTGAGTAAACACTGATAAGCCTTGCATATTTTGTTCACTAATCTGTATTGATATAGTTTGTTTCACTCATTTAAGAAACTATCAAATTTATCAGTGTCTGTAGTCATTCAGAAATATATAATAGACATGATTGAAGGTATGGAATGTAGTTTGCTCTCCATGAGTAAGATGTCAAGGAACATATTCTTAGGTATGAAAAATCTTTGGAGCGGGACAGCGAGACTGAACCAGGTAATTATCATTATTGTTGGAGATGAAGTAAGTGCTTAGGATGCTGGTGTTTGTTAATGGTTATCACCAGTGCTTTTAACCCTTGAAATATACAGTTATTTAAAAGTACTACATCAGTATGTGCATGATAGAAAATAGTTAACAAATCAGATTGGGAAAAATTACATACGGTGATTGGAGCAGTATAGGGGTTAAGGAAGGCTGAACTATATGAAATGTATATGATATTTTTATAATTCTCTGATTTTAACAGTAAAGTGGACCTTTTGATAATATTTGCAGTTTTCGTACTGCTATGAATACTAGACGACACTTCTAAAAAAAATTGTGAATTGACGTAAGTCTATTTGCCTCTTGCTTAAAGATTTCATTAAATAAAGTATACATGCGCATTATATATATATATATATATATATATATATATATCCTCCTTGTCATAACAAAACTTTTGTTATGACATTATTTGAATAAGAATTGTATTAAGTTTCAAATACTTTACTTTCAACACGATAATTTTTATCTAGAAAATGAGTATTCAATGACAAACATACCAATTCTAAACTGTGTGCGTGCGTGCGTGTGTGTGTGTGTGTGTGTGTGTGTGTGTGTGTGTGTGTGTGTGTGTGTGTGTGTGTGTGTGTGTGTGTGTGTGTGTGTGTGTGTGTGTGTGTGTACTCACCTAGTTGTACTCACCTAGTTGTGCTTGCGGGGGTTGAGCTCTGGCTCTTTGGTCCCGCCTCTCAACCGTCAATCAACAGGTGTACAGGTTCCTGAGCCTATTGGGCTCTATCATATCTACACTTTTTTCAAAGTTTCAAAGTTTTTCAAAGTAGTTTCAAAGCGTTATATGACAAAGAGTGCTGGGAAGACGGGACACCACGAGCATAGCTCTCATCCTGTAACTACACTTAGGTAATTACACTTAGGTAATTACTTGAAACTGTGTATGGAGTCAGCCTCCACCACATTGCTTCCTAATGCATTCCATTTGTCAACCACTCTGACACTAAAAAAGTTCTTTCTAATATCTCTGTGGCTCATTTGCGCACTCAGTTTCCACCTGTGTCCCCTAGTGCGTGTGCCCCTTGTGTTAAATAGCCTATCTTTATCAACCCTGTCGAATCCCTTGAGAATCTTGAATGTGGTGATCATGTCCCCCCTAACTCTTCTGTCTTCCAACGAAGTGAGGTTCAATTCCCATAGTCCCGTACACACACACACACAATGTGTGTGTGTGTGTGTGTGCGCATGTGTGTGCGTGCTTGTGCGCGCGCGGTCGTTCGTTTGTTTGTTCACCTAGTTGTGGTTTGCGGGGGCTGAGCTCTGCTCTTTCGGCTCGCCTCTCAACTGTCAATCAACTGTTTCTACTACTACTACTATTTTTTTTTTTTTCACACCACACACACACACATCCCAGGAAGCAGCCCGTGATAACTGACTAACTCCCAGGTACTTAGTTAACTGCTAGGTAACAGGGGCATAGGGTGAAAGAAACTCTGCCCATCGTTTCTCGCCGGTGCCCGGGATTGAACCCAGGACCACAGGATCATGTGTCCAGCGTGCTGTCCGTTCGGCCACCGGCTTCTGTGTGTGTGTACGCTCGCCTATTTGTGCTTGCAGGATCGAACATTGACTTTTGGATCCTGCCTTCCTAGCCACCAGTTGTTTATAGCAATGACTCCTGTCTTATTTCCCTATCATATCTAGTTTTAAAATTATGAATAGTTTGTTTCCACAACCTGCTTCTTAAGTTCATTCCATTTTTCCACTACTCTCATGCTAAAAGAAATCTTCTAATATCCCTGTGAATAATATGAGTTCCCAGCTTCCACCCATGCCCCCTTGTTCTGTTAGTATTCAGTGTGAACATTTCATGTATTTCCACTCTGTCAATTCCCCTAAGTATTTTATTTTTCTATCATATCCCCCACCCACCCCTCTATTTTTTCTATTGTTGTCAGGTTCAGTTCTTTCAGGGACTCTTCATACCTCATCCCTTGTATCTTTGGGACGAGCCTTGTCGCAAACTTCTGAACCTCTTCCAGTTTCCTTATGTGTTTCTTCAGGTGGGGACTCCATGATGGCGTGATATACTCTTAAGACTGGTCTCATGTAAGCAGTGTAAAGTGCCCTAAAAGCCTCCTCACTTAGGTTTCTGAATGATGTTCTAACTTTTGCCAGTGTACAGTTCACTGCTGCTGTTATCTTATTTATGTGTGCATCACGAGTTAGATTAGGTGTTACATTCACTCCCAGGTCTCTTCTCAAATTGTCACAGGTAGGTAGTTTCCCTTCATTGTGTACTGTTCCTTTGGTCTCCTGTCACCTAATCCTTTTCCATAGCCTTACATTTGCTCATGTTGAACTCCAGTAACCATTTCTCTGACCATCTCTTAAGCCTGTTCAAGTCCTCTTGGACGATCCTACAATCCTCATCTGTCACAACTCTTCTCATTAATTTTGCATCATCTGCAAACATCGACATATAGGTCTCTACTCCTGTAGACATGTAGACTTGGGGGCCTCGTAGCCTGGTGGATAGCGTGCAGGACTTGTAATTCTGTGGCGCGGGTTCGATTCCCGCACGAGGCAGAAACAAATGGGCAAAAGTTTCTTTCACCCTGAATGCCCCTGTTACCTAGCAATAAATAGGTACCTGGGAGTTAGTCAGCTGTCACGGGCTGCTTCCTGGGGTGTGTGTGTGGTGTGGAGAGAAAAAAAAAGAAAAAGAAAAAAAAAAGTAGTTGGTAAACAGTTGATTGACAGTTGAGAGGCGGGCCGAAAGAGCAAAGCTCAACCCCCGCAAACACAACTAGGTGAACACAACTAGGTGAATACATGTCATTTATGTATATTAGAAATAGAACTGGTCCCAGCACCGATCCTTGAGGTACTCCACTCGTTACTGTTCGCCACTCTAACTTCTCGTCCCTTACCATTACTCTCTGGCTCCTTCCTATTAGGTAGTTCCTTACCCATTCTAGGGCCTTTCCACTTATTCCTGCCTGCCTCTCAAGTTTGAATGGCAGTGTCCTGTGCAGTACTGTATCAAAGGCTTTTTGGCAGTTCAGAAATATGCAGTCTGCCCATCCTTCCTTCCTGCCCCATGTATGTGTGTGCGTGTAATTACCTGAGTGCAGTTACAGGTTGAGAGCTACGCTCGTGGTGTCCTGTCTTCCCAGTACTCTTTGTCGTATAACACTTTGAAACTCCTGATGGTTTTGGCCTTCAACACCTTCTCACTTAACTTGTTTTGACCGTCTACCACTATGTTTGCAAAAGAAGACTTTCTAATATTTTTTTATTTGTGTTTGTGTGTGTAGACTCTTTATGTGAGGCAATTTTTAACATGGATAGCTTTTAAATTCAGAAATAAAAATTGGCTTATGGATTAGAATATTAGTCAGTTTCATATGGTCAGTTATTGGCTAGAATAATAATCAATTTAATGTGGTCAATAATTGATTTTTGATGAGTGTTTGTGTATCAAATTATTAAATAATAATTAATCAGGTGAAAATGAGTTGAAAGAAAATCTTGTCATGTTGTGCAATGGTTCCCAAGAAGTGCCGGACCAACCGGGTTGTAGTGGATATGTGAGCCTACGAGCTACTCC